TACTCATCTACTAGAATAGTGAGCTGACATACACTTGTACACTCGGCAACAAAATTATCGCAACAAAAAAATTCATCGAAATTTTTTTCAAATTTCAAATTCTTCTATCTTGGGCAATCTATTTCAATTAAGATAAGATTTTAGTTAATGTAGAGTTACCAGTAGTATTTGAGCGTGACACTAAAAATTACTGAAAAAAAATGAATGTTTGAACGTGTACCAGTACCACAGTAATTTTTCTATAGAAATTTAACATACACCATTACAAAGTGCTCTTTTTAACGAGTAATTTAAAAAAAAAGGACCTCTCTACGATTTTTTTAACGCCCTGTAGGTCGTTTTGAAGATACCATTTCAGGTACGTAAAATCCCCCGTTTAGCTGAAATCAATCGACCTACAGGGCGTTCAAAAAATCGCAAAGAGGTCGTTTTTTTTAAATTACTCGTTTAAAAGAGCACTTTGCGATGGTGTATGTTAGATTTCGATGGAAAAATTACTGTGGTACTGGGTACGCGTTCAAACAGTAATTTTTTTCAGTCATTTTTAGTGTCACGCTCAAATACTACTGGTAACTCAACATTAACTCGAATCTTATCTTAATTCATATGGATTTAAAGAGGATAAACTTTTCAAGAAATTAAAAAAAAGCGTGTCGATACGATAAATCTAGCCCAAGATAGAAGCATTTGAAAATCGACAAAATTTTGATGAATTTTTTTGTTACGATAATTTTGTTGCCGAGTGTATAATAATAATCGAATGATACATTTCTTATAATTTATGAATTTTATGACCCTTTTGCTCTTTTTTTTTTTTTTTTTTAACAACTATTCATTATCAACAGAATTTCAACATACATGCAACCGACTTATATCGAAATACAGCATTAAATGTAGTATTACAACATACATAAAAGAACACAACAAAAGTTGTGAATTTATCATTAGGAGAAGGTGCTGATCCTAACAGTGTAAACAATTAAGGATATACTCCGTTGCATCTCATTTGCAAACGGAACTATTACATATAAGGGGATACTTTAATACTGAAAATGTATTTTATTATTTTTTTAAGGTCATTTTAGAGGCGGTACAATTAGAAAAAAAAGCCCTTACTCGAACTTAATTTAAGGTTAAATGAGGGTTTTATTTGCGTCTGTAACGCCCTCAAAATGACCTTGAAAAAAATAACAAAATACATGTTTCAACGTAAAAGTTTCCTCTCTTTTCAAATCTGAGGGTATCCATTTGAAAAATCGATTTTTGGGTCGCTGAGGCTTCAAGGTTACGTCTAAGGTCAAATTCAAGGTCACCATTGGATTCCACGTGCAAAAATACGTTGGATATAGGGTCTTTGATTTTATTTTAACGAATATTTTGCGATATTTCCAGGGGTTTTTATACTTTTGTCGCACCCTGTATAATAATGATACAGACTTTAATCTCAATAAACGAAGTTCATAGGTGGTGTGGAAACGATATATATGTGTCATATCATAAAAAAGTTGATAGCTGAAAAAATCGAATTTCAACTAACTATATACTCTTAAAGATCACTTGAAAAATAAAAATCCTAAAAATCTTAGCTCTCTAGCTCCATCCCACAAGGATTTATAGGGCCTTTTCCTCATTAAAAAATAAAATGTATATCACCCTAACGGGGGGGTTGGCGAGCGGAGCGAGCAGGGGGGCGCAGCCCTCCTAGTATTAATATAGTTCTATATCGTAATATATCGTGATATATCATGATATATCGTGATATATCGTGCTATATCGTGATATATCGTGATACATCGTGAAATATCGTAATATATCGTAATATATTGTGATATATTGTGATATATCGTGATATATCGTGATACATCGTAATATATTGATATATTGAATGTATTAATATATTAAGATAGTGATATATCGTAATATATCGTGACATATCGTGATTTATCGAATTGATTTCAAAAGCGATTTCGAGCATTCAACAATTCCGGTAGAGAACTGCATGGCTTAAAAATTGAGATTAATGCTCGACCTGTTAACGAGACAGAACGCGCGCGAGTCAGATTTTCTCTTGCGTTACGCGTGTATACTTATATCCTACGAGGCAAGCAGGGTTTATTTCAATAGAAAAAAAGACAATATCAAGAGCTGCTCACGTCTGACTGTTGCGCCTCAAAATTGATCGCATTCGAGTGATAAACTTTCGCTCGCGTTTTAATATCATCTTCTTTCTCGTGTAATGCACATTACAACATACGTATGTATGTAATCGCGAGTGGTCGCCGACGACGCACATGCTGAATAATATCGGTCTTATTGGCATGGCTTGTTGTTGTTGCTACTGCTATTCATTGTCCTTGGCCTCTACGGTCTCCGTTGCTGCCGGCCTCACTACCAGTAGCACCTCGTATTGCGTTGAGTTCGAGGATAATATTGCATTATTTGTCGTGCGATGATAACGCGATTGAGAATTTTAGCGAAAAATTTAAGCAAAGCGTCTTCGAAGTTGTTCCAGTCTAGTCATCGTCACCGTTGATGCTCGTGTTCAGTGTTGCCGCGTTGTCATCGTCCGACATACGATGTCTTGACGGTCGCAGTCGTATAACGAGCAGATTAGCTTTGTCGCGAAGTGAGCAGTATTTCTCGATGTGACGAAACAGAGCGTAATCTGACTTCTTCGTTGCACTTGCGTTCGTTTGTGATACGCCGCAGCAACTCGGAGAGACACTTTCCCCTTTGTATAACATGTATAAACGTGTATGTGGCACGGCGCAAAACAAGTCGGACCGAAAAGAGGCCCCAGAAACCGTGAAATGCCCCCTATGTAAAATGCGAACGCTAGCAAAACGAAGCTGCACACAGATGCCTCTGCACTAAGCTTAGCGAAAATGCTATTTCAAACGGATGTAATTAATGAACTGCAACTTTTATAATGCTGTCTAGGACTGAGAAAATGGCAGTCACAGTGGGACTGGTCATTGCGCAATGCCCGTTGAAGGGCATCGAGACTTCGAAACCTAAGAACATCATCGTACTCATCATCGCGAGCCAGTTTGACTCGCTCGCGATAAGCTCCGTCACTCCCACAATCGTGACAAGAGTCAAGACTGAAAGACGAAGGAAATAGCTAAAAGAAGATGACCGGACGATGCAGTAGAAAAGTAGACGCCGCGCTAACTAAGCCTCCAAAAAGAACGCTCTGCTAAAACCTTCCTCCTACGAAGTAATGCCTAACGGTAGTCCCACTTGGATAAATTGATTGATATTTGTATTAATCACGGACTGTCTATGCTTGATTAAACGCTACTCCGAAAGTTCGATATAGATCATTCTGGGACGTTAAACTGTACCTCTGTTTCCTCAACCGCCTCTTCTCTCCTACGAAAACCATCCTCCTGGAATTGCTACGTGACCCAAGATGGCAGCAAACAACAAATACTTTAGATCACACGAATATGAATTTTCGATTAGCGCTTCATCGCTTCGAAAAAGATATTCGCAATCTCAGTCGAAACTAAACGTTAATATAAGGTGCTTTTTTGATGTTAGTGATGTAGATTAAAAAGTTTTTTTACCAATAAAATGAAATCAGTTGATCTTCTAGCGCTTAGTATTACGAAATTTTAAGCGTGGAAATACTAATGTTTTTAGAAAAAAATGATTTTTCCGGTTTATGAAAATAATTAAAACACACGATTTCAATCGTAAGTAATAATCGTAACGGTCATCTGTAGAAAAATGCTGATTCCCTCGACCAGAAAAAGGCATCAACTCCAAAAAATCTCACTATTTGATGCGCTTGCGCCTGACGAGAACAGAAAACAAACTAACAGGAATTGAAACTTTTAAGACATGTCTTATCGCTTCGGAGAAGATATTCAAATTCGGTAAGACTTAGATGTATAAGCGAAATGGTTTGAAAATGTCAATCGATGTACAACAAACATTAATTTACCAATCAATTAAAATGAGTTACTCTTCGGTCCTAAAACATAAAACGAAAGAAATGACAAAATATGCTCATAAATTGAAAACTATACAATTCTTATCGTGACTATCTTTTCGATTGTCAAATTTCTATATTTCCGTAGGGAATTTGATAGGAATCATAATAACGGATTAACACAGGCTTTTCAAAGTTATAACATATATAATGAGGACGTGCGAGTCGTAGAGGTTGATTAAACCAATTTTTCAAGTGTAACATTTTGAAAATCTTTCTATTTCGGTCAATGACTGTTACCATTCTCGCTTAAATCAAGCTAGTCGCATTCACGAAGCTTTTGTACAGAAATGGAAGTCTTTACGATTGACGAATTTCTATATTTACGTCTTGAATTTCATAACACTTTTTAGAAACGGCTTGACTCCAGGCTTTCGCGATTTAATTTCAAGAAAGATAGGTTTTTAAACATTTTGTTCAATTTTGAACGTTCCGTGCTTTAAAATATTTATCTCGTGAATTGCTTAGTTCAGAGTCATCGATGGCTCAATGTGGTGCTCATAGCTAGTTTGTTCGCATTTTTTTGCTGTAATCACGTCTTAAAATATGTTTGGCAAAGGGAAAATTTTTTTAGGTGACCTATAACTAGCTACTTTATTTTATACAAAATTATTTCATACTAAAAAATAGTTTGCTTTTTTATTTTTAAATCTAATTATCTAATCTAATTAATCTAATTAATATAAGAGCCATTGCGATTATAGATCGAATTGAACCCTCTTAGAGCCAACTTCATGTAAGTACAAGAAATATTTTAGTGTCATCTATATACGCCCTCTGTAGTTAATAATATCTTTCATATATTCAATTATGTTTCATGCCTCGTTCGAGAGATTCAACCATGTAGTTACCTCTGTGTACGCTAGATGGCACAGTTTTCAGAGAGAAACTTGCTCCCTGCCTGTGCGCTCGTGCCGTGGTGCTTCATACCTCTTTTCTGTGCGCAAGAGTTCGGACGTGTATTCGCACAGCATTCGTAACCTTACTACTAAACTTGGAAATGGGTAAACGCAAATCCGAAGTAGACGTGGACGAGATGGAGAGGAAGATGCAGAAGCTACAGGAGCAAATCGACACTCTGCGTCGAGAGCGAGAATCAAATGCAAATGAGAGCGAGGACGGCAATTCGGAGAGTGACTCTGAGGATGACGGGGATGATAAAGAAAACGGTAAGCACGCCTTGGAAGGCGATTCGTTGAAACGCATACTTGCAGCTGCGTCGCTGCGTTACTACACGATAAGCGCTCTATTGTAGCGAAACGTAACTCGCGTACAATATACGCACAAGACTCATCAAAAAGGGTCGTCGCATACAAGCTATGTGAATTGCAAGGCCAGGGCCAGAGTGCCGGCCGTGCACAAGAAAGGCTTATAACCTCCAAGAGGGGACTATCGCGTACAAGATACGCTAATAACCTCCAAGCGAGGGCCACTGCGTACAAGATACGCTAATAACCTCCAAGCGAGGGCCACTGCGTACAAGATACGCTAATAACCTCCAAGCGAGGGCCACTGCGTACAAGATACGCCTATAGCCTCCAAGAGAGGCTCATCGCATACAAGTTATGCGTAAGGCAAGGCCATAGCCGAAATGCCAGTAACGTGCAAAATCTGTCAATAACCTCCAAGAGAGGTTCGTTGGGTACAAAAGAAGCGTACCCTGAAAAGAAAACGTCGCTCGCGGCAGCACATACAAGCTATGTGATTACCCTTGCAGACATAATCTCCGATCACGGAGCACATACTTTACAATAATAAGTTGTATACATGATACCCGGACGCAAAAATTGCTCGTAAAGTAATTGAATGTTTTCTGTCTAAACCAGGTGACACTGGGAAGAAGGACGCGGAGGAAAACTCAAAAACAACATCGAGCAGAATCGATGCTATGGGCAAAGACCCGACAATCTCCGACAAGATCGATGTACCTATTAATGAGCATATGGAAAAACTGTGGAACAATTGGGCTCACGAGGGACTTGATACTACAACCTTAGAATTTTTACTTGAGCAATATAAGCTGCCTGAATTCATTGTCACGCCGGAAATAAATCCGGAAATAACAGAAGTTATGGAAGCGAACGCCATCAGACGCGACAAATTCATGAAACAAGCGCAAGACTTGACTGCTAACACTATTATTACCACTGGCTCATCCTTAGTGGTGTTGATGGACGACGATGTAGCTCTCGAAGAGGAGACAAGGCTCAACATGATTAATATGATATCAGAATCGATTCAGCTGCAATGTCAACTATTTTATGAACAGTCTCAGTCACGAAGAGCTCTGATCATAACATCTATCAGAGACTCGTCCATGAAAGCTATGCTAGCTAAACAAAAAGTGGATAAATTCCTATTCGGCGAAGACCTGCCAAGCAAATTCAAGACACTTAAAAGTATAAAGTCAGTGGCAAAGGAAATAAGCAACAGCTCAAAAACAAAAAATTCAAATGCAAAGAATTTTTTATACCAACGCTCCCAGCATCCTTACCGAAACAACCAACCGTGGTCAGGCCAAGGCCAATCGCAGGATCGCTGGCAGTACAAAAACAAGCCCCAATTCTACAATCGAGTGAGCCAAGCGAGGAAGAACACCCAACATCAAGCAGGAAGGAGAAAACCAATGACGCAGAAGAATTAATCCCACAGGTGGGTGGAAGATTACGTGGGTTTTATAACGAGTGGAAAGAGCTCACATCCAACTCCTTCGTGTTACAGTGTGTTCAGGGATACAAAATCCCATTTAATGAACCAGTAAAACAAACACGTAAGCCCAAAATAGTGTTCGCGTCCAACGCAGAAACATCACAATGTGAGAAAGCGATCAACGCTCTGCTAAGTAAAGGAGCGATCAAGAAATGCGAGTACACGGAGAATCAATTCTTGTCCTCATATTTCTTGAGACCCAAGCCGGATGGGAGTACACGGTTCATCCTGAACTTAAAAAAGCTAAACTCGTTCATTAACGCAGACCATTTTAAAATGGAAGATGTTCGAACAGCATGCAAGTTAATCACTAAAAATTGCTTTATGGTGACTCTAGACATAAAAGATGCATATCTGACGGTCCCAATACATGAGACTCATAGAAAATACTTAAGGTTCGAGTTCAAAAATGTAATCTACGAGTTCCAGGTCCTCCCATTCGGCTTATGTACTGCTCCATATGTGTTTACAAAAATCCTTAAGCCTGCATTGAGCAAATTGAGAAAATCAGGCTACTTATCAGTGAGCTACATAGACGATTTTCTTCTCATTGGTGAATCGGTATCAGAGTGTGCTAAAAATTTAAGCACTACGAAAGAGCTTCTAACTAAATTGGGCTTCTTGATCAACGAAGACAAGAGTGTACACACTCCTACCCATCGGGTAGACTACTTGGGCTTTGCTCTTGATTCAAATAAACTTATCATTGAGCTCACCGACAAAAGGAAATCAGAAATCACAAAAAAATTGATATCATTCACGAATAAAAAGCACTGTACAATCCAAGATTTTGCATCAATGACAGGAACACTAGTAGCAACGTGTCAAGCAGCTAAATACGGCTGGCTGCACATTAAAGAGCTTGAACGCGAAATTTACTTAGCACTAAAAACGAACAACAAAAAGTACAGCACGAGCATCACAGTAGCTGAGCCGAGCTTGCGCGAGCTGAAATGGTGGACCAGCAACGTCACAAAGTTTTCAAAGTCCATTGGAAAAATTGTGTACCATGCGACGCTCTTCTCGGATGCCTCAAAATCTGGCTGGGGGGCCTCTGATGGTTCGAACAGAGTATGGGGAACATGGACTGAAAAAGAACGAGCAGAGCACATAAATCTGCTGGAACTTTTAGCCATAAAAAACGCCCTTTTGAAGCTGGCTGCAGACAAGCTCAATGTAAATATTCTGCTGAGAGTAGACAACACCACTGCTTTATCTTATATTAATAAGATGGGGGGCATACAACACCCTAAGTTGCTCTACTTATCGCGCGAAATATGGCAGTGGGCAGAAAGAAGGAACATATATTTGTTCGCAACCTACATAAAATCGAGCGAAAACATTGAGGCAGATTATTTATCCAGGATAAACCCGGACACTGAATGGAGCTTATCGAACACGGTTTTTAAAAATATCACAGACGTACTTGGCCAGCCAGAAATAGACTTATTTGCTACAAAACACAACGCGAAGTGCAAAGTTTATGTTTCAAGATTCCCAGAAAGCGACGCAGTCGAAGTCGATGCGTTCACTTTCTCGTGGGGGAGAAAGAGATTTTATGCTTTTCCTCCGTTCGCAATCATTCTCAAGGTACTGCGAAAAATCGAAGAAGACGGGGCCATGGGCATTTTGGTGGTGCCAGACTGGCCCAACCAACCCTGGTACCCCCTATTTCATAAAATGCTCATAAAAGCACCCATGTTTCTAAACAATAATAATATTGCAATTTGTCCTTCTAGGGGGATGCAAATACCTGCCACGAGTTTGATTGCGGGGCTAGTCTCCGCAAGGCGTACGAGCTAAAAGGCGTTCCGCACGAGGCAATTGACATCATGATGGCATCAATAGCTCCAGCTACATTCAAACAGTACAAATCAGCATTAAAAGAATGGTTCAATTTCTGCCAAGCTAACGAGGACACTAACTTTTTCAATCCGTCAAGACACGCGGTACTAAGGTACCTTACAAAAAAGTACGGCGACGGAGCGTCGCACGGGTCACTTAATACACACAGAAGCGCTATCTCTCTCATATCCCAAAATAAAATTGGAGAAGACCCGTTGGTGTGCAGATTTTTAAAGGGGGTATACAGAAAGAGACCAAGCACGACAAAATATAGCTCCACCTGGGACGTGTCAGTCGTCCTGGACTACCTTGGAAGAATAGATATAAACAAACCTGACTTAACGTTGAAAGAAATTACAGATAAAACGGTTATGCTAATAGCCCTTGCGACGGCCCACAGAGCCCAAACAATCGCGGCTATCGACATTAACAATATCATAATATTGCCATCTGGAGTAGAAATACGAATTACGAAGCTGATCAAAACCTCAGGACCTGCCAAACCTCAACCCCGCTTGAAGCTACCGTACTATCGAGATAACACCGATGTATGCGTCGCAAGCTCTTTACTGAAATATCTCGAAATCACAAAAGACCTCCGAGACAACGTCACAGGCTTGTTCATCTCTTTGAAACAACCTGCAAAACCGGTAAAATCACAAACAGTTAGCAAGTGGTTAAAAGGAGTCCTTCACGACAGTGGTGTAAACACCAACATTTTCTCAGGCCACTCAGTGAGACACGCTGCAACCTCGCAAGCATTCAGTAAAGGTATAGATATCGAGACAATAAGGGCAACAGCGGGATGGGCAAATGGCTCAGAAGTTTTTGCAAAGTTCTACAATCGCCCCATTCAAACAAAAGATCACCAATTTGCCAATGCGGTGCTAGGCAAGCCGAACGCATAAAGAATCTGACAATCAATACATATACCTACTATTTTCAAATGTAATACATAATTTTGTTACCAAACTTTATAAGAACAATATCCTATATATCATATATGTAGCACGTAATACTAGTTAATAAAACATACATTCTGGTTGATTTTATATAATAAAAAAAAAAAAAAAAAAAAATTGCTGATAATCTCTGAATAACTACATGGTTGAATCTCTCGAACGAGGCATGAAACATAATTTAAAGATCAAACGAACTTGTGAAGTTCGATCTTAATTATGTGAAAGGCCTCGTTCGAGAGATAATCACCCGCCCAAAATTTTTCAAATTTCCCAACCCCGACAGCAATTTTTCTTTCCTGCAATACCTGGTGAAAACTCAAACTTCCCTCTAAAGGTATGAAGCACCACGGCACGAGCGCACAGGCAGGGAGCAAGTTTCTCTCTGAAAACTGTGCCATCTAGCGTACACAGAGGTAACTACATGGTTGAATCTCTCGAACGAGGCCTTTCACATAATTAAGATCGAACTTCACAAGTTCGTTTGATCTTTAAATTATACATACTCATAAGAGTTCCATGCGCGCGTAGCGCGCACATAAAAGTCTAGTAAACACAAAATCGTTCATATCTTTTGTTTCAATAGATGGATTTTCATCCTGGATACATGAATCACATTTTATTTTTTAAAGAATAAAAAATCGGTTTCGGATCGTTTTCATGTATCTACGATAATTTACGAGATACAGCCGTAGAAACAATTAAATTGTTGGTAACTAATTCCAGCTTCCATGAATCGATGTTTTCCAACATTTTGAAAATAGACATTTCGATCTCCCTGTTTTTCATAAAATCAGAAAATACCCTTTTATCTGGTCGTACTTATTGTCTTTATATTATGGCTACAGCAGAAAGATGTCAAAACTCGCTCAGAGGCCACTAACAATCGCATCCGGAAAGACGCCTTGATTCCACAGACGCGTGATTCTTGAGTCTACTAAAAGACTTGCCACATGCCTTAATAAATTTTTCCTTTCTATCACAACCCGAATAGAAGACATTTTTAGAGTCGATAAATAGGTCATTTAAAAATTAACGGCTTCAAACACTTTTTTAAAAAATTTAAATCTTGCACGAGTTATATTTTCTAATGTCACATGCTTTTTTACTAAATAAGAGAACTACCAATTAGTTATTAGTTTTATTTCACTTCAACAATTAAATGAAAAATCTGAAATAAATCAGTTAAAACTAAATCACTACGGTAAACTTTAATGGTATAAGAAATAAAAAAATTCTATAATGAGATGATATTTATTGTTTCATTATATCCACAGTACTTCTACATATTTTTTCTCTTCATGTGCGTAGAAGAATCACTCAGTCTACAATAGTTTTTTTCATAAGAACTATGTGCATAACACGATACGAGGTGAAATTAATCACACACATATGTACACATATGTTAATGTAGTGAATATAAATATATACATATATATAAAATATATATGTACCGCACTTTTTTTTAATTTTTTTTATTGTTACAAACAAACAAAATTAAAATTGTATTGAAAAATAACTACTTAATATAGAATAGTATTACAAATATTATTATCTATTCGATTTTCAACATATACTTTGAACAAAAATGTTATATATTATCACGTACTAACACGACTTGTGAACGTACCTAAACGCAAAAAAAAATTTGAAAATAATCAAAATACTTCTAAACATTCAATAACTTATTCGCGCTGTGTATCATGTTTTAAAACATTTTACATTGTATACAATATGACTCACACTAAATTTTGAAAATTTAGTATAATTTCGGACCACAATCAAACTTGACTATCCTTTTAATTTATGCCGTATTTTTTACATAACATAGAAATAAGAAGCTATCATACGGCTTTGTTTAAACTTATAAAAAGAATTTGATACGTGACTGTGACTTTAACATACTTTGAACAAAAAAGACAGCTCTACTTACATAAAATACGAATACTATGTACAGACATGCCATTAATATTAATAGGAATAAAAAAATTAAGACTAATCATTTGCAGTTCTTTTGTTTTGCACTTATTCTTCTAATGTCTTCTTTTTGCTATTGGAAGCCGATGCAGATGGCAAAGTCAGTGGATCAATAATCTAAAAAAATTGTTAAGATTGCAATCATAGAATGTGTTTATTTTATCTTAGTACTGAAAATAGTTTCAACGGTTTATTACCTGCACATCGTCCATAGCATTACTGACAACTCTACTTGTCATTGGATTAGATACTAAATTATTTCCCAATGTGTTATTTGCTAGTGGATTACTTCGCATAGCAGCTTGCTGCATGGCTTGCATTTGCATAGGTGCTTGCATATTCATATTAGCTAAATGTTTAGGAGGTCGTCCTCTGCCAGAATAAACTGGCATATGATTAACTCCTGTGTAATTCATTTGAGGTGGTAAGTGCATCAGTTGATTTTGTACATTATATGTATTTTGCTGTTGAGAGTATACTGGAGGCATCTAAATTGATTATTTCCAAAGTTAGGCTATTTTGATCATTTTTAAAATAAAGTTGAATAATTTCTTTACTTACTGCTGGACCAGGATTGAGTAAATTTGATAAAATATTTTGCCCGGGAACCGCATATGGATTCAACATATTTTTAACAGCTTCATGGTCAACTAGACGGTACATATCATAAAAAGCTTGACGTGCTACCGTTTCGATTTGATCAGGAGGTACAGATGGATACTAAATAGAATACAATATTTAGAGAAAACTTTTTTAACAATTATCGTAATGGGCTACTTTAAAAACTTACATCTTTTTGAATCAACATTTTTATGCTTTCTAGCTCAGGGAAATTGATTGAATTTAAATTCATGAATGGATTGAGGGCCATATTATTATATGCACTCATATTGTTCATCATTTGATTTTTGCCTTGTTTTTCTGCTTCATACTCGAGCCACGCTTGCTTTCTTTCTTCTTCATCTAATTCTTCTTCTTCTTTATTTTCTAGTAGAGAATCGTGTTCGTGATAAGTATACACTAAATCTTTGTATTTTAGAAATATTTCAGCTAATAAACGATCTTTAGGTAAAGCTAAAGTTTTAGATTGACCCTCATATGATTCGAACTGATAGAGTTCAGCCAAATCATTATTACTGTAATGGCGTTCGATTTGTTGTTCATCAACAACTCGACAGGCCAGGGATAATTTTGTAACCTGTCTATTATAAATTTTTTCTTCCATTGTGCCCGCAGCAAGAAAACGATAAATGTAGCATGGCTTTTTCTGTCCAAATCTGAAAAACCAATATCAATGATCTTTTAGTGATTAATAATTTTTTTTTGTTCACAAAAATTACCCGACAATTTCTGTTACCTGTAAATTCGAAAAATACTCTGAACATCGTGAGATGGATTCCAACTAGCATCAAATATAATTACTCTATTGGCGGCTGTTAAATTGATGCCCAAGCCACCAGCGCGAGTTGAAATCAAAAACAACCTGGCTCGTGTGTTGGTTGGATTATTAAATGTTTTACACCACGCACTCCGATTTTCAGCTGACGTAGAACCATCTAGTCTAAAATAGTCTAAGCCTAGACTCCAATTTCCTGAATGATTACCAAGATTTTCTAATTTTTGATCATTTTGAGTTTCGGAATCGATCATATTTAAAAATTGTTCGATCAATGTCAGAGAATATAATGATTGAGAAAAAACCAGCCTATTAAAAATCAAAGAATGAATGACAAAATGATTTTTAACTAACACCTCAAACCATTATTACACATATACTCACAGTTTATCACCAATTTGTTCGCTTTCTTGAAGTATACCAAATAAAAGCATAAGCTTTGTTGAGTTTCGCAAATCGTTGAAATCATTTTCTTCTATATACTTAGCCCACCAAGCTGTTTCTTCTGTCGTCTCAATTGGTGGAGGGACTGGCTCTTCAAGGTCAACTACGAATAATAGAAAATATATATCAGTAAATTATTCTTAAATTATCACATCTGAAATGCTATATTACTACTTTTTGCATTCATTCGGGCTGAGCGTGTCATTTTAACAGGTTTCTTTTCTGCATCCGAATCGAGACATTCAATGTCACTGTCGCTATCGCTATCACTACTAGGTACTGTACTAGCTTCAGAAGCATCTCCATCGTCAATAAAATCTTTCAAGGATCCTTCAGAATCACTTGCTTCTAAGCGCTTCTTTTCATTTGCTTTATCAATTTTGGCTGCGTTTAAACGCAATACGTAAGGATGAGTCCATACACGTTGAAGTTCTTGAAAATCAGAAAATAGAGATCCATTTCTTCCATCATGTCGCCTGAAAAAAATACAATGAAACTAAAAACAGCACCTTACTTTAAAACAGTGATGCAACAAAAAGGTAGTGCTTACCTTGCCAAGTTTTCCAAGTAATATTGATACATTTTTATTTGTATTGGTGTTAAACGTACGAAAATTACATATTCTTGTTTAGGCGGTAAGAAGGGCGTAAGAACAGAGTAATCAAATCTCTGAACACTGCCTTCCAACATTTTGTGCAAAACGTGAGCTCTTTTTTTCATTAATTTTACATCATATTCCGTGGAGTCATCGAACTGTCCGTTTGTAATAGGATTAACGAACCTATTTAAAAATTCTTTTTTGGTACCCAAAAGACTGGGTTTTACAAATTGTACCATGCAGTGATCTGTGAATTGAAGAATTTTCATGAATTTCAATTTTAATATTTAATTAAAGTAGGTGTCATTAAAAAATATTCTTACACTCTTTAAGATTATTTTGAAGCGGTGTTCCAGTCAAAACAATCCGCCGTCTAGTTTTCACGAGGTTCATGGCTTTACTCAAAGCCGAATCTTCATTTTTAAGCAAATGACCTTCGTCACAAACGACAAGATCGGCTCCTGGATCAACAAGTGATCTCATCAGTGACTCCTGCATAGCCTTTCTCAACTTCTTACCAGTACTGGTTAAATTACGGAACATTTCGTAACCAATTATCAAAACTCCACCTGTTCTTTGCCAACTTTCAAGCATATATCTTCTCTCGGTATTTTTCTTTTGCCTTTTTAAAAATAAAAAACATCAATAAAATTTCAATTTTCACAGTAAATAAAAACTTAAATAAAATATACATCAATGTTAGAACTCACTTTGTTAACTCGTAAATTTCAATATCATCGCTATTCTTGACATGTTTAAGCCAAATTTTGAATTCATTGCACCAATTTAAAACTGTACTTAAAGGACAAACTACCATTACTGTCTTCACTCCTGTCTCCTCATGGCTTAATAAAGTATGCGCTAAAGTGACAACTTGAAAAGTTTTACCCAAACCCATGCAATGAGCTATTATACAGCCTGAACCTTCACTCTCCGAGATCATTTTTAATGATTCAAAACAAGCGTCCCACATGAATTTTATACCCTGAGCTTGATGTGGCTTTAATCGTTTCACCAGTTCCTTGTCGACTACAACTAACTCTTGTTTAGTTTCTTCGTCGAAATCTAAAACCAATTTATCAACTTTTGCTTCACCAGCTAGCCGAGCATCGTACATTTCATTGAACTAAAACAGAATAGAAATTAAGACATTTAAATTTAAATTTAAATGATCTTATAATGATTATACAAGCAGAAACGAAAGTAATTTGTTCTTACAATTTTTTGACGTTCAGCTATACGCTTCATTCGTTCCTCCTCATCTTGCGCCGCTCTTTTTGTATCCTCGCCTACGTGTTTATCCTTTAAAACTCTGCGGATATTCTTTCTGCCTTTAGATGGTGAATCGCCATCTTCACTTTCGCTGTCACTGGCAACCTTTTTTATTCTTTTTCTTTTCCCTTTGGGCCTGATAATAAGTATAGGGATGAATAAATAATATAATAGCAGCAGAAACTAATATCAGAATAAAACTTACTTTTTTTCACCGGAAGAGTTTTCAGAAGATGACGACTTCGATCTTTTCTTACTCCTTCTTTTTTTAGTTGGTTTGGAATCATTTTCGCTATCTCTTTCATCGCCTGAATCATCTCTTTTAGACTGGAATTCTTCTTCGCTCGATACAAGTTGTACATCTGAATCCGAGTCGATGACTTTTTTTTTCTTTCTACCTCCTTTTTTGACATTTTTTTTTAACGGCGAATTACTTTGGTCCGAACTAGACATTTTTTTGTTCTTCTTAATCTTTTTTTTATTTTGTTTTTCAGCAGATTTATCTTGCTTTGATCCGCTAGCTTTGAATTGCAATAACTCGTCTTCTTGCCAACTGCCTTTATCTTCCGAATCGGTATGATCAGATCGATCGATTTCTTCTGCGGTAGCTTTTTCACTTGACGATTCGTTCTTTTCAATAATTTTTTCTTTGCGTTTTTTCGACGTTTTGTTACTTTTCGAGTTGGTTGACTGATCTGAATTATTTTCAATATCTTCAGCTGAAACAAATTGAAGCTGTTTTAGTTTTGAAGATCTTGATGCATGCAAGTAAATCTAAAATTTGGGTTAAATAATAAGTAGTGCAGATGGGATCAAAATAAAAATAATTATGATTTATTTCATGTTTGAATTTGTTATACAAATTAGGTATTTGGGACCCTCCCAGGTATGGATGCAAAGTAAACAAGGGTTCAGAAAGGTAAACAAACATTCGATGCAGAAAAAAGGCCCGTTTGAAACGGAAAAAGATTATCAAGCAATACAAGTACTGGCTAAGATTGCATCAACGTGTGCATCATTATCTCACCATTGGCATCATCGTATTGCTCGCTATCGGAGTCGTCTGTGAGTAGGGCATTTTTAGCCTCGATCTCGCCCTCACTCATTTGTTCATCATTATCGTCAACATCACTGCCGTCAACATCATTGCCGTCAACATCATTGCCATCAACATCATTGTCGTCGTCATCAACTTCGTTGTTTTCATCATTTTGATCATCGTCGATAGCTGGTACCTCGACTTCCATAAAATCGACATCTGACATCATTGAATGACCTCCACTATTGCAGGCACTATTTTCGAGTGACTCGTCCTCCTTGTCGATCGTTACGTTGTATAGTTGTTTTTTCGACGACTTTTTGCTCGATTTTGGTCGCTCGAGAAGGCTTAGATTTGTAATACTGCATCAGATATGAGCAGATCGGACACATAAAAAGATTGAAGAAGTTAAATAAAGAGGCACAAATTAGTTGGCGTAAATTTTTAATTATGTTTATTTTTTTCCGTTCTTCTCGTAACTCTTAACTTATCAGTAGCATTTATAAAATAAAATTTATATAAATAATGCAACTGCCAAATTGAATATGTATGAGCAAATTCAAAGGTTAAAACTAATAGAGCTTAGGACTGAGAACATGATAAGAAAAACTTTAATAACCAAGTTACAGGTTTCATTTTCTAAAACATCAAAAAGCATTTAAAATACTGCCTGCAGTTAATGATTATTAATCTGACATTCAAGTCAAGTGTATTGTTTAGGGTATAAAAAAAGAAAATAAACAAATGTTGTATAAATGAGCAAAGTTAACAATGTGTTAGTTTGTTCTATTACTGTAACAAAATTGCAAGAATAATAAATTCAACAGTCACAATCGCACATTTTCTTACCAAACTATTTAAATTTTTACTTATTACATAGAAAATATAAACGAGTACAGCGAAGACGTGAAAAAATGTTCAAAATGTTTAATTAATAATAATTGAAAAACGTAACTTTGCTTTACTTTTCACGTTCAATTAAAGAACTATGAATATATACACCCATTAATATGTATAAAATAATATATTGATATGATCATACACTCAAATGTATGCATTGTTTATAGATAAAAACAAATGTATATAAACATACTTGAGAGCCGAGTAATGCTATTTTAATATATTTATACATGATAATTGAATGCGAGTGTTGTTTTTTGATAGTTTCAATCTTGCCGGTACCTTTTCAACTTTTTGTTAGCTAAGTAACTCTTAGATGCTTGGATCGCGCGCCTGTACTTCTTCAGTTCGGTGGTCGTCATTCTATCCAGAACAACGCGACAAAATCTCAGCTTTTTATCAGCTTTGTAATGGTGATTTGTAGCTGAGGTAAAGCGCGGCTTCGATGAGTTTTTTGAGCAGTCATCGTCGCTGTTGGTCGAATCATCTTCATTTAAACGTCGACGACGCTTTGGCGGTCGTCGAACTTTGCGTGACGAATTGTCGTCTGGCGAACTCAAGCTGTCGGAAGAAATCGAACGTGACCGTTTAGAAGAGGTGAACTTTTTAGGTGATTCAATTTTTTTACGGGTTTTCATTTTGGAATCAATAATGGTGCTAGCATTACTATCAACCGATTCATTACTATCGGACTCACAAGATTCAAGCAGCTTCATTTTTATTTCTTCAAACTCCATGTTATTTATTTTAGAACAAGATGACTCTGAACATTTTGATACATCGCTATCAGAATCATTTCTCTTAGTAGACATTTCTTTCGTACAAACACTTTGTTTTGAAGAATCACATTCGTTTAAATTTTCACTTTCAGATGAATTTTCAAGCGTCGATATTATAGTACTTTGTGCCAATATTGATGGCTTGGACATTTTTACTTTTACAATCTCTCCTTTTACTCTACCACAATTACTTGAACCAGTTTTTTTTGTTGATTTAGAACTACTTAGATTTTTATCGTCTTCATCTATATAGCTATTTTCATTTCCATGGTTTCCTTCAAGATGATTTTCAACTACAGATTTTTCAGAAAAATTATCTTTTTGAATACTTGCATTTTTTGATGATTTAGATGTATCAACATCATCCTTTGAGATACTTTTCATTTCATTTTCAATTTTACTTTCTGATGCTTCTGAATCATTGTCACTCAATACTCTATTACGAGAAGTCTTTTTTCTTATAAGTTCATTTTCAGAAGAATTCTCTGAATCGCATGCAAGTTCAAGGGAAGAATCTTCTTTATTTTTGGAATTTTCAATCAAATTATTGCACATAGAATTTTTTGAAACATCATCTTTATTTTCTAAAGAACGACTCAAGTTCTTTGTCTTTGGTTCCGATGAATATTCAGTTTTTGATTCCTCTGACAAATTACTCTGTGATGTAGATTGATTTCTTAAATCATTTTCTTTTTCTGAATCATTCCCCTTTGAAGAACACTTTTCTATTACTTCTTTGACCTGTACATTATCATTGTCTTTTTTGTTTTCCTCATTTGATAACTTTTCAAGCAATGAATATTTATCCGCTGATTTATCTTTGGAAGATATATTAGTCAAAAGGCACTTGATTTTTTTATTTTCATTTTGAGCAGAGTTTATTTGTTTAGTCATTGAGCTACTTTTATGATTTTTGGCTTCTTCTGACAAGTTTTCATTTGACAAATATTTATCAGCAACAGAACGCTTAATATTGACACTTTTGTTGTTTTCTACACATTTAACTTTTTCTTGACAAGAATGACTGCTTGATGGAGATTTATCTTCCCTTTCTTCATGAGTTTTTGATTCATCATTGTCTTGTTTTTTATTAATTTTCAACGAATTATCATGTGATAGAAACTCATCATTTGATGATATTTCTTTCATTGAATTTTCTTTTTCAGATACATCAATACTCATTCTCAATTTAGAAGAATTGGAGGCCTCTTCTTCAGAGGAATCAGATTCCAAAGATTTTTCACAAATAGAATTTTTGTTTTCATTACTTTTATGCATAGAAAATTGATGACCACCAACTTCATCTGTGACGGTTCCTTGAATTTCAATATGTTCATTTGATGTTTTTTCATGAATTGTAGATTTATTAGGCTGAGCATTAATATCTTCAATGCTATTGCATGATACTTTCATTTTTGGATTAATTTTCGTGGAAACATTTTGAGTTTTGGCTCCCTTTAAAATCCGTTGATTTTTCAATACTTGAAGAGAAGTATTACTTTTATTCAAATTTATCAATTTTTCTTCATGTTTTGAATCATTTTTTGATAATTCTTCAACATCTACATCATCTGTTTCACTAAAATCATCGACTATCCATTTAACTGTTTCGTTATGGTTTGATTTTTCTGATTGTTTAATGGTCTCTATTTGACCTGACTTCAATTTTTGTAAATGAACTTTTTTCCGTGAATTATATTTATTTGTAGATAATAGAGCATGGCGCAATGTATGATTACCATCGTGAAGAATAGGAGACTTCACGGGAGTATTAGCTACTTCTGACTCCTCAGTGCTAAATAAATCTTTTTCAGACGAGTAATCATGTTTTTTTTTCAGAGATGCATTATTTTCATTCTCGGTTTGTTTCTTCAATTGAGTATCTTCTCCTGAAAATATATCGCTGTCATATTCAGATATTTCACCAGTAGATTTTGCCAGTTTAGATTGTGCAGAGTTTTCATTTTTTGAGTCCTGTACACCTTCCACATTTTTTAAACCTAATGATTCAAGAACATTCAAATTATTTGTTGAATTGGAAACTACTGATTTTTCTTTAATCAAGCTATCATTACTTTGAAGAACACATTTTTCCGAATTATTCATTTTTTTGGATTTTTTGGTTTTTGTATCAGAATCTGAACTAGTACTGCTAATACTTCTATTAACAGATTTAGATTTTTCATCATTGACTTGTGTAAATTCTTTTTTGTTTTCTGCAAATGACCCATTAGAAATAGTTTTAGATAATAGTTTTGACTTTGGTTCAATGATTGGTTCTGAATCGGAGGAAGATTCAATTGATTTAATTGTTTTTTTCAAAGTTGATGAAACAGTAATTTTTGGTGATGAACCTACATCTAAAAGTTCATTAATTTGAGCATAACTTTTATTACTTTCATTTTTTTTAAAAGTTGAAACATTTGATTTATTATCATCATCATCATCATCATCATCTTCAGACAATGACAAGTTGTATTTTTTTTTTGTCAAGTCTTTTTGTTTAGTGGTAGTTTTACAATTGCTACAGGATTCAATCCACTTTTCATATGAATTAGCAAAATCATTTCTGTATTGTTTGAGTTTTTGGAAAGTGTTATTATAAACTTGTAAAATTTTGTGTGCAACAAACTTAGAATCTCTGATAGCATTTATCTTTTTAGAAATCAAATATTCACTTTGCACCTCCAAATCAGATTTCAAATCCTCAGTCAATTTTTCAATATTACTAACTCCTGCTAGTATAAGACTTTTCAATAATATTTCTTGTTTTTTTGAAACTGGAATGTTCTCATCGTCTGATTTACTTGGGGTTTCTATAACAGAAAAGTCTACTACACAAGTACTATTGTTTAATTTAGATTTAGATTTAGATTTTTCAAATTCCTGACTGGAATTCTCATCATTTATCATCTTTGATCTTGTCAAAGACTGTCTGATCAATTCATTCTGTTTCTTTTTCCTTGAATTATTTAAATTTTTACTTGCAATAACTGCAGGTAATTTTTGTAATTTGGATGATTTTTTTTTATGGCTTGTGAGAGAACTTTTAATTTTAGAGGTTTGTGGTTCTGAATCCGAACTAGAAGAAGAAGTATCTGTGTAAATTCCTTGTTTGACAGCTTTCACCTTGGCTATTGGTAGTTTCATTCTTTTAGGAATTTTTTCTTCACTGTCTTCATCACATATATTATCTAGTACTTTCTTAATTTTATTAGTTTTTTTACTTGCTTGTCGTTTCACATATGAAGTATTTTTGATTTTTTTTATTTCTTTATCAACAGGTTCAGAATCACTTGAGCTGGAACTTTCACTCAAATCTTTTCCAATTCTCTTTCTGAAACACAGTTTCAATACCAATGATACTTCATTTGCTTTAATTTATCACTTTTTAGCACTCATGCATATTGTCTCTACACGCTCTTGCTATATCACATAGTTTACTGTCTCTATTCATTTCATAACATCTTGATTGTCTCACGCATACTTCAACCGATCTTGAGGTCAAGTTCCCGGTTTGAATCAATTTTTAAATACATTTTGCATGTTGCTGGTATCAAGTAGTTTATGTTAAATTTCTTATTTGTAGTATAATAAGCAAATTGAATTAATCTTTAATAATATGCATCTATTATTCAATGACTATATTTGTCCTTTAAGTGTTAATAAAAGATTAAAAAATAAAATATCTTTAGAAAACTACACTCAATCGAAAGCGGAAGATAATATGCATGAAAATGCACTAAAAAGTAAAAAATAATAAAATAAATATATGTAAGTTAAAGCTTAAATGCAATTTTACATTTTACGTTGAATTGTAATAAAATATACATGCAATATTTCAATTTTTGGAACTGAAAATGTTCAGTTGTAGTTGCAAATGTTTAAAAAAAAAGAGTTGAAACAATTCCATTGACTTTTACAAAAAAAAAACTGTTTTTATAACCTAGTATTATATTATTGCAAAGAATGTTAATAACTTTACCTGTTTTTGGCAGCCATGTTCTAGAGTTTTGATATCACTAGAAAAGCAATATTATTACACAGATAAATAAAAAATGTTTAGTTATGATAAAATAAAAATAAAACTTGAACTACCTTGTTTAACTGCAATGCTCAATCGATGCCACCAGCATTGACATTTTCACAACACACCTCAAGCGCGAATCTGAATAACAGAAAAGAGGGTTATGAACATTTCCACATTTGAGGATAAAAGAGATGATAACTAAGAAGAAAAATACAGACTTGATTCCGTGAATATGTGAAAGAACGATCGAACAGAGCATCAGCGTCCAATGACTAAAAATCTGTAACAGTAAAAGACACCCGCTTAATTAGCGATTCCATATCCACACGCGTTTCACGGCAACCCACTTCTTGACCAATTTGAGACGCCCTCTCATGGATCCCGCATTTAGGTATATATAAAACGAACTCTTTCAAGGAAAATCAAGCGAAATTCGCTAATTCAATCAAATCGATTGATAGATGATTTAAAACGTTCTTTGTTTGAGTAACAAGTGTAAAAGTGCCAGTAGCCGAACACCAGCTAGTTTTTAGACACTACGAATTAAAACACTTTTTTAATACAAGCGTCTCTAACCAATAGATGGTTTAGAAAAAAAAAAAACAAAACAAAATAGTATTAAATTAAAGTTTTAATGAAAATTCATTATACACTTTTCGAATGATGGAATTTATGTACACAATCTAACATTTTTAATTCTTATTATCGAGTGGTATGTTATTATATGATCATAATAAATAAGAAAGATATAAAAAAATTAATTTTCCTCGATTGTAGAAAATTTAGCTATTTTACCGATATAGTAATAGTCAAGGCGCGCGCACTCACACACTGAAAGCCAGAGAAAAGTTTGCGCACGCAGTGCAGAAACTATACATAGGATAAGAGGTGTAGGTATACAAGAAAAAAAAAGAAACGTCGGCGTCGCGATCTACTCGTCTTATACCCATAATACTGCAACGTACCGCCCTATTCATCGCGAAACACTAGCACATATTGTTCCATGTTTATGTACTAGGTATAAACGTATAGAGATAATGTAGAGAAATGATGGACGAGGAAGGAAATGGAGACAAGATTATATACGAACGTAACCCGGCAATACCAAACGCACTGCAGCGTCTCACTGCCTTGGCATGCTTTTTTTATTATTATGAAAAAATACATGAATATTATACGTACGTCAAAAGTAGTGCAGGCCGACGTGATAAGCACTAGACACAGTAGCAGTGGTCACGGAAGCAGAAGCCAAGTAAAGCCAGCCGCCGTCGTCGCTTGTGTCCTTGTGTCGTGCGTCGCAAAGTTGATTCTGCACAAAATCTGATAGGTGTTGCGCGCTTGTGTCAGAAGTTGTGTGCCGGAGTGCTGCTGTGTACAATGACGTTCACTCGGCGAGATATCTCTCGAGAACTATCTGGCGGCCAGTGCCGACGACTGCCGAGAAATTATCTGCGCCCTGCGAACTTGCGAAGCGGAGCCGTAGTGCGGCCACTGTAGACTATACTTGGAACTTAGACTCGGTTTATGCGCCTTTATGGCCTTTATGGTTACTTGGAAAGATCGCGAACGCATGCGCGTCGGCTCGAGCCAAGTTTTGCGCCTTTTTTCAAGCCGCCCCTTCTATTCTGCAAGTCTGCGGGCGGACTGCCGCAATCGCTCACGCGCCGAAGGGGGACCGGCTCAAATATACATAGCTATACTTGCATGCATGTAAGGTATGCGGCGTACTGAAACGGAGGCTCACAACTTGCAACTCTAGTACAATAATGTGTACCTACGCTCAGGACTCGGTGCCCTGTTCATGCTTCAGTCTCGAACTTGGAAGGTCTTGCTGAATTCGACGACCTACGTTGGCTACATAGCTTATGTGCATGCTCATATAGGTATAATACGATGCAATGATGTTGTTGATACTCTCCTGTCGTGCTACATAAATGACTTGTGATTTTACAATTTTAGTCTACTCTCGGTATAGAAAAAAAGATTATTATAAATTATAATGAATCGCTGTCGAAGGTCGCGCCTGCGCGAGACGATAAAAAACACAGTAGCCGCGCAGCAGCGCTTGCAGCGATCATCGGCACAAACGCATTTTACGGGCGCAGCCGCCGAGAATTTTTTACGCCGATCTTTGGCCGAGCATCGAGCGACGATCCGCACAAAAAGTCCCTTTAATCGCCAAGTCGCGGATATCGCTCGTTGCTGCGGTCGCACTTGCAACAAGCTTACATTTGCCACTGCGGCCATATCCTATACATATCTATATAGGAATAGCTATAGCATTCGCCGTGGAATAGTGGGGATAGCTGCGGCTGGTATAGTCAGGACTCGGCTGCGAGAGTTGGTATTGATCGCGAGCTCAATCGAGTCCGCACAAGACCGGGGTGCGCGCTCGATAGATTTCGATTTTTTTCGCTCGCGCCCCAAGCCCCAAGCCCGTGGCGCTGCTGAGCGACGACGCGAGATCGGTTCGTCGCTCGACGTTGACGCTTTTTTCGCGCTGCTTCGTAGGTTTTTTTTAAGGGACGCGACAATTTCGCTTGGCTCGATCGTGCTTATCGAGTGTCTTTTTGCTTGATAAGTCAAGAGTACAGAGAAAGAACGTGATAGACATGCTTCGAGTTTCGCACTAGAATATAAGAATGAATTTTTTTTACCTGCTATCCTCGGCGTGGGCGCGACGCAACAGGCAAGCGGACGATTCTTCACGGAACGCGAGCGAGAAGCTCAGCTGCGCTAAAGTTAATGACGTGCGTGTGCAACTACGGTGCGTCTAGTAGGCAAGATGAAGCTGGACTGTTGAAGCGTTGCACAGGATACTAACTGCGATGCTCGCTCCATGGCTTTTCGACCGAAGAGGATGTATACCTATATATATCTACGTAATACAGCACATGAATAACGCACACGTATACTACGCTCAACGCGCGCGTTACAAGGGGTTGCAAAATTTAAGCTCGAGGTCATTGGCCTGCACACGTTGCAGCGGCTGCGTGGGTGACGACGTTCGACTCAAGCCGAATCAAGCAATCCTATCACTTCGGATTAACGTACGAATATTATTTTACTTCGATGGGATGCTGCGCGCTCATCTTAACAAGTTTAGCTTTTCGTTATAATTAGACTCCGAGTACTTTTTTAACTAATATAGGTACAGCAATTGATACGAGTCCCATTTTGAATTTAAATTTACTAATATATACAAATCGAATGATTTAATTTTAATTAAGTTAACAACCAGCTAGACAATCGCTACTGTTGCATATCGAGCTGTACTACGCGAATCATTCAGAAGTTATACAGCTAGTCTAAAATCTTTTTTGCAATTGGCAGTAATGTGTTGCCTAAATATTTGCGTGTTTTACTATTATTTTAAATGTGGCCCTTTTTGAAAAAAAATTACAGCATCGACTTCGTACTACTATTGTTTAGAGGTCAATTATTAAGAAAACTTTTTTTACAAAAAATATTCTTTTTTACACTCATTTTTTGTGCATTAGTTTAAGACGCTTTAAGCAATTAACTCCTTTCTTAAAAACATTTATTTTTTCAAGCCCCTAATTTTCTTACGCACGTTTATTTTTTACGTTTTCGTAAATTTCGAAACTATCCCAATGGGTTATTAACATATCCTCTCTGATATCATAATTACGTGATTTTCTATTTTTTTTTAAATGAAAAAATATTAATGAACTACCTTTATTGCATCAAGTTCAAAAATGATTCAATAAAGATAGTTTTATTCATGTTAAAATCGTTGATCATCCTTATACACTACAATAATTCAATTTTCATTGTGTACCTGCAAACAATATAATTTGCAGCTGTATACTCTTTGTGTTCACATTATGAGTTCTAGTTACAATTAATAATTCTGGTAAAATTGATTAGTAGAATATTACTTTTCAATTTAAAAATTAAAGTAATCAGTTAAAATAGAAAATTTATTTATTTATTTTTTATATTGATTATGGAAAATAGTTTTTACAAAAAAATAAATCTATTAAACCTAAATGAGTCAAATTCAGATTATATTGTATTACTGCTTAGAGGAATTACTTGTAGGTGTCTATTTTGCAGGCACAAATCTAACATAATCAATTCTATTTTACGTTTCACAGTGCCTATTTAATTAAATGTGATGAATAAACCCACTTGACACTTTTTATGACTCTGCTTACAAAAATTTGAATTCAGATTTACAAACTTTGGCAGTTATTTGTTGCAGATTGTTTTCAAGGAATATTAATGCATTGTATTATTGAAATATTAATAAATTTTTATAATCTTCATAACTCATCATTTATCAACTATGATCAATTTTTTGTTTTTATGGAATAAAATGCTTCAACAATACAGATTTAATTATTTCAATCAGTAATAGTTTTTTGATAATAAAATTAAATTTCAATTGAATTATTATTGAGATAATCATCATTGTTGTGTTACTTTATACATTCAACAAGTACTTTTCTGTACCAGTTTGGTTTGCTTTGCATTCTATAGAAAAAGTAAAATAATTTTTATTATTTTAAGAATTTAATAGTAATAGTAGATCATAATTACAACGGTTGAAAATTTATTTAATCAAGAATTATTTTAAACTAAGTGTAGCAAGTATAATAGAGTTATACATATGGTAGTACTTATAAAAAGTAGAGAACATTGACCAATACAATGAATTTTGTTTGGTATGTATGGCCATTGTTCAGATAATTTACAGCTCTTATTATTATTAACCCCGGCCTCTGCCAGTTTGTGGTGCACTGCCCTGATTTTGTTGGTTTAACCAAGGTGCAGAACCAGTACCCCTGCCACGATGAGCGGCTGCTCCCCTTCCTCTGCCTCGAGCTGAAAACAAACATTTATTCAGAAATGACATTTGAAGTTTGATGAATATAAATGTTCAATGAAAATAAGTGAGCAAAGTAATAACAATTGAACATTTTCAATATAGAGCAGTTTTTTATTACCTTGTGCTCGAAGTATAGCAGACTTCCCTCTTCCAGCACCACCAGAACCTTTGCCGCCCGGTCTCTTAAACATGGGCGCATTTTTCAACATGTCAGGCAGTATGAGAAAACTGATTTTCGAACCTCTGATGTAGACATTTTCCAACTGGGCGACCCGGCCGTCGCGATATGTGACAGTAATATTTTGCATTTGACAATTCATGTTGTCCTCGGCTTCAATGAGTTTGCCACGATAAACCTCTCCATTGATGGTCTCACAGGTTATAATGTGCCCCTCGGCTTCGTGTAAAACTTTAATTGGCACACCGATAGACATTTTAACGAATTCTTTGATTCTAATGCAATGTAAAACAAATAGAAACTTTTTTAATTGATCCGAAGAGAATTAACTTTTGAACATGCGAGAATTTGAAATATAAATGAGAGTAAATATATCAATGCTTAGCGCTTTGTTTCTTTACGGTTTACGAATATCAGCCTCAGTCGCGTCACGCGTGTGGCATCAGTTTGACTCAAAAGATACCGGCGCCCGGCCTGCTTGCGAGTTGCGACAGGCGGCTAAATATTAAGATTAAGGGTTAATTGAGGTAACAGTAATATAATTTAAGATTAGACAATTTCATTCAAAGAATTGTTGAAACGCTCGATGCTTTTAATAGTGTAAGAAAAAAAAGACATGCATGAATTTAATTTTAAGCACTTTCTCATCGTGTAGGCTTCTTTGAACATGCGACATGCACATGATAATTCATTTTTCATTTTTAACAACATATGATAAAAATGAATTTCTGTTGGTACTTAAATTCTAAAACCTTTGAATGGTACCTTAATTATTTTACACAGAAGCGGATGAACAGATAATATTTTAAAAAATATAATCCGCAACCAGAGTTGTGTGTAAAAAGGTAGGCCAAGATTGTAAGTGACAGTCACAGTGTGCAGTTTTCACACAGCTTTGCCCGCAACACGTTAAGTTTGGTTTACAAATTTAACCTCCCGGCAAATCGTAAAATGACCAGTAGTGACGACTGTGGAAAATACCTTGAACGATGCAAACATATTTCAAAATTTGAATTAAAAAAACTTTTTTTATATTAGTTTAATTATTAGTATCGTTCTAAATTTTAAACGGAAAATTAACTGATCAGAACTAATTTAATCTAAACCTAACTAGACCTGATTTTAATTGTAATCTATAACAAGCAGCTAGGTATGAGCAAACCCACCTCTCTCCCAGTTATGGTCAACCTTGAGCTCTAGATATTTTATTTAAATAAAATATAAATGAATAAAGATTAAATTTTGACGGTGTATATTTTTTTTTCAATTTCAATAAATATTTTTTATTATAAATCTAGTTTGTATGTTTACTTTTTATACGTTCAGTAAAATAAATCCAATAAAAATTAAAATTAAATGGTAAATTTCAAATGTACTGAATATATATTGCCGTAGCTACTCGTCAGTCGTCACCGTAACATTCGGCGTTCCATCCCACCATCATACTTCAGGGCGCAAGTCGAAATCTCGAGCAGCGCCACCAGCTCTCAGCCATGAGCCATATTACCTCTTCGTGGTTGAATTCTCTGTCTTTCTGTTCTTAGTCTGCAAGCTCCGCGCACACATCTACACAATGACGTAAGTTTTAACTTAAAAATCCTAACTGAATCTAATCATCGCTTATACTTATTCAAATTTTAACATTTGATCGTGCTTTTATTTAATTCATAATCATTTAATTGTAGATATTTTTAGTTTTTTTTTTCTTGAAGTCGTAAGCGAGTACCGAAAACTCCACATCACAGTCTTCAAATTGTGTTCGTCATCTCTTTTTTAATAATACCAGTAAAGTCGCTTTTAAAGTTTTTTCCATAAGAATTCTTGAAAAAAACGTATTTTACTGCATTTATTCATTTACTACAAATCACAAATTATAACCTTCTTGCTCGATCTCGTGTTTCACGTGGACAACCTTTAATCTTCAAAGGTTATGAGCAGCACACGAGGAGACTTTGCATACGGAATTAATTAATCATTTTACATTATTCTAGGTCGAAAGTATCTCGCGATACTCTTTACGAGTGCGTAAATGGAGTCATCAATGGCTCACAGGAGAAGAAGAGGAACTTCGTTGAAACTGTGGAGCTTCAAATTGGTCTCAAAAACTACGATCCCACCAAGGACAAGCGTTTCAGTGGCACAGTCAAGTATGTTTTTACCTGCTTCAGAATGGCTTTTTTTATCTTTTGAAATGTATACTATCAGAAATTTTAGAGAAAAATGAATAATTAGATACATGAAAAAAGCCTATTCTGTATGTCAGGAAGCTAAGTCTAAACAGCTTAGCGGACCTGCACCCAGGGTCTTAAATTAATTGGGGAGGTATTGTACCGCAAACTTAATTATTCAAACCAGGATCAATATGATCCTGCTGGTAAGTTAAAATAAATTAGGCAGCTAAAAATTGACTATTCTTTAATGTTGTATTCAGTAAAGAAATGGAATGAAGTTTATATTGAATGAAAAGCTCAATGATTTTATTTATTGCATGTATTAGCTGATTTATCCTTGATGATAATTTATTACTGAGAGCTTTTAAAAAATTCCATTATAGTTATTTTCAATTTTTCATTTCGAAAGTTGTTCATTGTCAATTCAACTTTCAGGCTAAAGAACATTCCTCGCCCAAAGATGCAGGTTTGCATTCTTGGAGATCAGCAGCATTGTGATGAGGCTAAAGCCAACGGCGTCCCTTTCATGGATGCTGAAGCTCTGAAAAAACTTAACAAGAACAAAAAGCTAGTTAAGAAACTTGGTAAGTTTGTTAAAAAATTGTTATGTTTTCTTCCTAAAAGCACCTGTGTTATGCAATTACCTTACAACAAAGGTTGTCAATGGAAGTAGAGAAAAAATCTTCACTAGGTGTGGACGATGTGCTTAATTATCATGTTGTACCTCAATCCGTGTTGAAACAATAATTTTAATGCTCATCATATTGTCAATACATAATTCAAAAACTTTAAGTGTAATTTAATTTTTAAAATTTTTTTCAGCCAAGAAGTATGATGCTTTTCTTGCTAGCGAATCCCTTATCAAGCAGATCCCTCGTCTGCTGGGTCCAGGTTTGAACAAAGCTGGTAAATTTCCAGGTCTTCTTTCTCACCAAGAATCGATGGTGGGAAAAATTGACGAAGTCAAGGCTACCATCAAGTTCCAGATGAAGAAGGTAAATTTCATGATAACATTTTTTATTCAAATATATTTATGACAAATCTTCCTAAAAGCACCTGTGTTATTAAATTACCTTACAACATAGGTTGTCAATGGAAGTAGAGTAAAAATCTGCACTAGGTGTGGACGATGTGCTTAATTATCATGTTGTACCTCAATCCGTGTTGATACATAAAATTCAAATAAAAAAAGAAGTTTAATTTATAAAAGTCATTTATAGGAATATTTTACTAAGTAAGAAATTATTATGTTTTAGGTCTTGTGCCTCTCAGTTGCCGTTGGACACGTAGAAATGTCACCTGATGAGTTGGTTCAGAACGTTCACTTATCAATCAATTTCTTGGTGTCTCTGCTGAAGAAACATTGGCAAAACGTCCGATCCCTTCACATTAAATCTTCCATGGGACAGCCACAACGACTTTATTAGGATGTTTTTACTGTTTTAAAATATGAGCAATAAAATCAGCTTTCACAAAAAAAAACCCATCATTTTATTTCTGAACTCACTCTAATTAACTCCACTATACTGATATAAGGCACTGCAAGCAATATTTAAATTCTCATTATTGGTTAAAAATTCACTAACAAAATATTGATACTTGACAAAAAAAAATTTAGCTTCTACTTTGATCATATATAAAGTTAAATATTGAAACGTTGTTTGTACTTGCTAAATTTAAAAAAATTAGGCGGTCGCATAATATCGATACACAATAGAGTCAAGTAAATCGCGCACCTCTTACATATGGGATTATTAATAAAAAAAACAAATACTTTTGTAATTTTTCTTCAAAATCAAATTTTTTCGGTGCAACACTATGGATTTGAAAATTAATCAAATGATTCATAACGTATGACAATATGGTAAATCTTAAGTACTAATTAAAGTGCAACTTTATTTTTAATCGATAAATCTATTATTAAACTCGACTTGGATGGATAAGAGAAATTATCATTGCGCGTGATTGTCAACGTAAAATTAAATATCATAATAAGATAATTTATGCATGTATTAAGAATTCTGTGCATTGTCAAGAAAGAATGAAAACATTTCCAATCCGAATCAAGTGTAAAAGCTAGCAATGATGTGAAAAACAACGGAATTTTACACGAGCTCAAATCCCGTTTATAATTGTAATAAACTAATAATCTACTTGAATCCTTATTAAATTAATAATTTCGGAGTATCGAGCGCTTTAAAAAAATTTAAAAAAAAAGATCCTCAATATAGATTTTCTTAGTTAATTTGTAAAGTGTTGTGCACTGCGAGAGTTGACGATTCAATGAAAAAAATATAAAGTTGGAGCGCGATCGATTAAAGGTTGAATTAACAGCTCTTTGAGTATCGTCCAAAACGACTTATGTACGAAAAATAGCCAATATTCTTGATTTCAGTGTAAAAAGCATAATTTTAGTCGTAAAGTAGTGAAATTATAGAATATAATACACAATGAATGTGCCCGATAAGTGGGTAAAAGTGTAAATGCAGTACTTTAGCAGCTACGAAAATTGAATGTTCGGTACAGGATAAGACGTTATGTAGGATGCAGCACGTGCTGCTGCAGAGATGCTGTGCGAAAGAAGGTAAGATGCAGGTAGATGATACTTGCTGCACACACAGACGTCTTGGGCCTTGAGAGAAAGTAGGGGAAGTAAGAAAGAGGAGAGAGAGAGAGAGAGAGAGAAGAAAAAGTGGATGTTGGCAGTTGGCGGGTTGTTGTATATAGTGCGTTTGGGTCCTGCGAGCTGCGGCGATGGGCACGCGTGTAATACAGTCACGGTGGTAGCAGCATCAATGGAGGTCGTTTTAGGGAGCGAGATACCGCTGGACCGATGCTGATTTATCGCAATAACCAATCGGTGTGCAATATCATAAAGTCCAATTGGAATTTCGTCAATTGACATCGATCGCCGGTGAGTCGAGTCGTTGAGAATCGAGTCTCGTGCGTGCATACGTACCTAAGTGCATCGCGTAGATCACGGCAAGTTATAATTATGGTGCGGTGTGCGCGACTACAGCGAGTCGATGCTATTTCACGCTATATAGCGCGTAGGCGGCCTATATCCTAATGTAACGTGATAGAGACAAGAGCCACAGGCCGATCGGTCCGCGAGCGAATACACGAGAAGAAAGGCAGAGCTGCGACTCGAACGTTGCCACACGATTACATTATTTTATGTATATATGTGACTCGTCGCTCGGTGTACAGAGCTACATATCTATATCTATACTGTAGCGAGCTATAAGGCATATCGTTATCAGTTGGAACGCGCATCGAGCTCGGCACATACTCGACGCGCGGCTATACGCGAATCGCGCCTCGCGCTTACACCTTGCATTATCAAACGCTTCCCCGTGTGTCTCTTGTGCGTCATTAATATACATGTATTATATGTGTAGACACTTTGTCATCGCGAGCGCTGGACAGGAAGTCGACACTGTTTTTAGTATAACGAAAGTGTGTCAGTGAGCAGCGAGTGCGAGCCAATGCGCTCCGCGCGGCCAGATCGACTCCAAACTCTTGCACCTCTCTCGCTCTTTTTTCGCAACCGCAAAATACGAGCATTTTTTTTAGCGCCGATTTATCCGGCCCGGCTGGCTTCCTACCTTCGATCGTAGCTCCCTTTCAAAGGTACATCACATTCGCAGTGCAATCTTACGCATACGTGTACATCGCGTTCGCTTGTACGAGCTTGGGGTCTCGCGCTGTGGTGCGCGCCGATATATATAATACATGCGGAACGCCGCAGTGCGTGATTTTCGAGCCGTGTGACAGCTTTGCGTTGTGTATATTATCGCCTACTATCGCTACATTGCAGCTATAGGCTCGATTCCACTCGATACGTTTGTAATCGTGTTCGTATAGTCAAACGCCATTCTCTCCTCGTGTCTCGACATTATAACGGCGTATCTCCGACTTTTACCTGACATTTACGCACACCAAAATCGACCAATAATAACGTCAAATTCATTACGATAAAGAAATTTTACAGATTCCGCTGCTTAACGTCGACGACAACGACATCGATAAGCGACAATGACTATACTGATGCTGCTGATTCTCGCCAAAATGATGACAACACCATGATTTTGATTGTGCGTGAAAACATTTAAAAAGAGTATGTTTACATTATACCGATCTTTTTTCTTACGTCCGTTATGATAATTTTAATGTCATTTCTCTTTCTCTCTCTCTTTCTCTCGTCTGAACAAAATCTTGAGAACGTTGACAAATTCATCACAACAGTTAAAAGAATTTCTGTTATCGACTTTATATATGGTTATCATTAATATATTATCAAGCGAAACAAATGCCCGACCGTTAATACAGATCTTTTTCTCTCTACCCAACTTTTAATAAATATTCTCTCTCTTTCTCTCTCTCTATCTTTTTCTAATTTATACTATTCTATTGTGTATTATAAAAAGTTTTTAATATTCTTTCTATAATTTACCTTTGCATTCCAAATTTATCACTTGTCTCTTCATCGTAGTAATTGACGGATAACTAATGAGATATTTTTTGAGTGATTTACTTTGTTTTTTTTTTTTCAGCGTGTGAATCATTATATAAACAATCCCAAATGTTGCAGTTTATCAATAACCAATTGGCTTGAAAAGTAACAAAATGATACCAAGAAAAAAACTGCATTTACTGCTTTTCATGCTGCAAATATCTTATATTTTTGGAGACTATGATACAAGTATCGACAACTTACTCTTAAGCACTGACTTCAAAGAGAATGTCATTGATGATTCTTTCAATGCTAATGAAAAATTCAGCAAAATAGATAAAACAGTCGAAAATGCGAAAAAAGATTACTTACCACAGACTACCACTATTGACATTCGTGAAGAGACAACTACTTCAGTGTTTGAATCAAGCACAGACCCAAGTTCAGAAGGGGAAAAGGGTATATTCACGTTTATCACGTAGAATCGTTATTTTCTACCATAAAATATTCTCTCTATCATACCTTCATTTCTAGCAATAGATATCAACTTACAAATCGCTGATATTAATGCTACTTTTGCAAATGTATCATGGAATTATGAAGGCCAGAATGTAACTTTTATTCTCAAAGATGATCTCGAAATCAAATTACAAATAAAGCTTAATAAATCCGAAAAATATCAGGAAATCAATAATCTAGAGCCCTGTTACAATTATATAGTTGAATTGATATTGGACGACGAAATCTTGAACAAAAATTTTACTAAAAATTTTACCACGTCATATTATCGTAAGACGCCAAAAACGTTATGGTGATTTTATTAATTAATTTTTCATATAGCTAATTATTTTATTTAATATACTTTTAGCTCCAGGGAAACCAAATAAATTAAAATCGTTTGCAAATCAAAACAATTCATTGAGAATTGAATGGGTTAAACCTAAATATGCAAGCAATTGTGTAAAGGGCTACAAAATTGATTTAGATTTGACTCACATGGAACATAAACATGTTGGACCTGCTTATACTAATGAAACTTTTTATGAATTTGAAAATCTATATTCTTGCACTGTCTATTTGGTATCAGTAGTTGCAGTGGACTCATCAAACAGCGAATCCGATAAAGTAGCTACAATAGAATCTGCACCGACCTTAGCAACAAGTCAGTATTTAATCATTAAGTTAAAGTAGGTTTTAAAGATGTTATAAAAAAGAATTTTTTATTCAATTATAGTTTCTCAATCGCCTGTGCTAAGCAATGCTACTCAATATATTACTAAAAACTCGATAAATGTGACTTGGAATGCTCTTGACCCATCAAATAATTGTACTTTGAAAGAGATTTACTTTAATTGCTCGTGGGATAAGACTCATGGCATGGGATATGATGTTTTCAACAGCAATGTTACTGTCAGTATTGAAAACAAGACTATTGATGAACTTCAACACATCTCTACCATTGTTGATAATGTATCCCCATTTACCGATTACATCTGTCAAGCGTTGATAAAAAATGAGGCTGGATCAAGCAATTGGAGCACACCAGTACTTATTACAACAGAAGAAGACCTTCCAGGGGAACCGTTGAACTTTCAAACGTACAATAAAAATCATGGAATCGAATTTACTTGGGAGCCTCCGAAAATAATGCCAGGTAGATTTATCGGTTATAGATTAGAATATACTTGGGAACCACTGTACATGGTACCCACGCATTGCAAAGGATCAAAGCCAAAACGTAAAGTGTGCTCTATACCAGCCACTAATAAATCGTGGACTGAAAATGAAAATGAGATAAGTGCCTTCTACGAAACAAAACTTGCAGCTGCTACATCTATTGGTGTGGGTCCATATGTTTTTAGTAAATTTTCAAGTAATAAGGTGGGAAGTACGTAAAACATTTTCTACAGCTTTAAATTATTTTCTAATGACAAGGAAAATAAGAAAAAACATTTTTTACAGTTCCTTCAGCGGTAACGAATTTACAATGCCGAACGCAGACGTCAAAAGAGGATTTAAAGCTATTAGACACAATTTTGACTTGGCAACTGCCGTGCTCCTTACGAGGCAACTTGATAAGTTTTTCCGTCGAGTACTCGGGGGAAAGGGATTGCGAAGGTTGTTCACCACACAAAGGTGTGACAGAACTAAACATCGAATACGACATCACGAACCCAGACGAAGTGTTTTCGATAAACCTGGGCGAACTGAAACCAGCTTACAACTACACTTTTACTGTGCGAGCAAAGTCAACGGCTTCGGACGATTATGGAGATCCGTCTCTCATTAACATGATATATCCATCTGGGCGTAAGTCATTTCACATTACAATCGAGTCTTTGTCGTTTTAAGCTTTTGCAAAAAAGAAACAAATTAAAAAAATATTCGGCTGCCTCAGTTCCAGCGATGCTCCCAGCTGATTACATACAGATCTTGGGCATGGGCGATTACAGAATGGATCATACCTCTCGGAGCGCCACTTTGCTCTTGCCGATTTTCGACGACTCGAACGGTCCGGTCCAGTTTTATGCCGTTATGGTTACAGCTTTGAGCCCGCACAATTGGACCAGCGAGGGCCGATGGAACGTTCATAAACAAGGCTGGCCGGCTACTTTTTCGTGGAAAAACGCCTCTGACAATGATTTCACGCTTGTCTATCAAGCGACTGTGCCATTTTGGAGTCTAAGTACGTGTATTTAGAAGAAAAAAACGTTTAATTATTTACACTGGATTTCCAGAGACTTTAAATTTTTTGTTTTTTCTTGGAAATTGCATAGAAGATGCAGAGATTGCCGAGTACGGAGGATTTTCGGCCGTCAAGTACACAGTCGGCAAAGATACGACATGCGCCTACATGGAATTTCGTTCAGAATCAAAAGCTTACTGCAACGGACCCCTCAAACCCAATACTTGGTACGAGGTAAAAATGCGAGCTTTCACCTCTGATGGGTATATCGATTCACCGACGTTTCGCATTAAAACTGGTAAGTTTTGAGTCTAATCGAGATCGATCGTTATCCGATTGTTCTGAAAGAGCAAAAGCTTTTGGCTCGATTCTTTTGGGTCTTCGCGAATAATTGGAAAACGAGACTATGAATGAAAACTATAAGGTGTTTAGCTAAATGTCCTGATAAATATTTAATTTTCAGATCCGGAATTAAATCTCACACTGACGATCGGTGCATTAAGCGGAATTTTGTTGATAGGTTTCCTGCTGACTGTAGTATTTGGCTTAAAACGCTTCTCTCTGTGCGAGTAAGTATTTAACATTTCGTTCATTAAACTTAGGCTACACTACATTGCAATTCGAACGGGCGACAGCAATTCTTTACCCGCTTATAAGTGTTTGAATATGTTTTTTTTGGCAAGAAATGAAATTTATTTACGGATTCAATATGCGATAATAGTGCGTCTCAAGAATACGTCATACTCGGAGTAGTATTCTTGCAGATTTCATCCAAATAGTTTTGACCATTTCCTGGACAATTTATTACTTTTGTATCGAAATCGTTAAATCCATATGAAAATCTAAAAGTGAATTCACCTGAAAATAGCCAGAAATATGTAGTTGAAAATCTACTTGTAAATATATCAAATTAGACAATTGGCCCATCTAGCTCAAATGTGATCAAGCGCTGGTGCTTTTTTGCTCACTCATCACACCACGTATGTCTTACGGAAGATCTGACTGAGCTCAGAGCCTTATTCCTCATTACTATCCCATCCAAGTGCTTTCTCTCTTTCTCTCTTTGTACATCGAACTTACGGCAACTTACAAGCAAATTGACCGATACTGGCTAGAGCGCCCATTTTACCAGAATCCGAAAAATTATTAATATATAATCATCGGTTCGCCGCGCATGACCGACACGGCGATTTATAAGCCTAAAAACCCTCGAAAGGTGCCGATATATCCGTGCCAGGTGCGCCTTGATATCATACGCGACATTCATACTCCTTGCTTTCCCTCTTCTCCGCCCGAGTAAGCGAGGCTCGGGTCTTGGGATCGGTATAAAGCGAAATTTGTGCGTGTGCGCGAACGATTGTGTTCATATTAAAAGCGTTTATATACCTATTATGAGTGATATGAGTCACTAGAGTATAGCATGTTGCATCAAGAAGTAACGACACATCAGCAGGCGACCCACGCGCGCGCACAGTACCACGGACGCACGGCGGATTCTCTCTGCCAAACTCGCTACTCTGCACAATTGGCGCTATCGTTGGCGCTCCGTGAGCTGTCTAGTGTTTCGTGTCCATTTAGCATGGATTGAAAATCTTAAGTGCACCAAGGGCCACCTGCACTCGTTAAAAGTTGGCTTTTGACCACAATTTTTTATTTTGACATGGATTATTTCAAGCATGTTAAAAGCAGGTGTGTGTGTGTGTATGTGTACGTTTGAGCGTAGGCGTTAGTTGCGTTTCAAGCGCAAATCGTTCGTTGTCTCTGTGATTGAATTATTAAACGCGTGCGTTCGAAATTTTCCAACGCTTACACAGGTATACACGGTTGTTTCGTTGAGATTTGCAAATTGTCTACGGTGATTTACTCGTACCAAAACGCAATGCAGTGACGTTAGAAAATAAAATTTCACAAATAGTTTAGGAGCTTTTTTAGAGGCACTCGTTATGTAGGTAGCGCGCATCATGATACATACGAGTGAAAGATCGCGCAAGGTCGCGCGCTGACAAAAATATGTCTCTAACGCGCTCGTGGATGTGTCATATATTTATTCAGACATGCATGCATTGCATTTGCATTATGTATCGCACGCATACTCAGCTCCTTCGATGGCTCATTTGCTTAGGATCGATTATAATTATGCCTTCTCGGATAAGCCAATTTTTTGAGGGAGATAACTCGGATTTTTTCAACGAAGCTCTTTTCGACCATTTGCAGATTTTTCAATTGCGCCCGACTGAAATTCCGACGCACCCCGGAACCCAATCCGATGACGATACGCAAATTTATGAGGCACTGTAAAGTCATTAAGGATAATCCTGGAAAGCTGAGCAACGAGTACCAGATGCTCCAGACGCTCAGCTTGGACCTCATTTTGCCCTGCAACGCTGCTTGCTTGAGAATCAACCGTTCCAAAAATCGATACTCCGACATTCTGCCTTGTGAGTCGAATCAAATGAAAAATGGATTATAAAAATCTTAGTCGTCGAAAGCTTGACGATAATACTTGACTTTTGCAGATGACTTTACCAGAGTCAAATTGAGCATTTTGGATGGAGATTCTGCTACAGATTATATCAATGCCTCGTACATCAGGGTAAATTTCCAATAGGTTTACTCGGGAACAATATCTAAATTTACTGCAAGAGAATTCTATAAAGCCAGTAATTCATCTTTTTCACAGGGTTACTCTGGCAGAAATGAATATATAGCCTGTCAAGGACCAAAATCTGATACTTGCTACGATTTTTGGAGAATGATTTGTGAACTTGAAATTGAATTTGTAGTCATGCTCACAAATTTGGTAGAACAGGGAAGGGTATAAACTGATATTTCTTTGCCTTTTTTATCTACTAATTGATATTAATAAAAATTTTCATCCCATCAGGAAAAATGTTTTCGTTATTGGCCACACATGGGCGAGACTGCGGAATACGGAGACATCAAAATAACGTCCATAAAAACCATGTATTTTGGAACATTTGTCAAACGCTGCTTCACCGTTGAACGAGTAAGTTCATTAATTACGCTACCTGATCAATATTAATAAGATCAATACGATCGATGATTTTAATAAATGTTGAAAATTAGGATCATTATCAAAAAACAGTAAGTCAATTACATTTCGTCAAGTGGCCTGATCATGACATACCTGACGGTTACGAGCAAACGCTTTATTTCGTCAAATATTATCGAAATCAACTTAACATGAAAAAAGGATTATCGGTCGTGCATTGTAGGTTCGTAGAAGTGAACATTTCTGTACCGATTTTCAATCAAGATATTTTTAAGAATATATGAAAATTTCAATACTCTTTAGCGCTGGTATCGGGAGAACTGGGACTTTCATAGCTATTGATATGGTACTGCAACACATTGAGAATCATCGAAGGATAGATATTTTTCGTACAGTTTATGGTATGAGAAGAGATCGAGGCTTAATGGTACAACGCGAGGTAAATCAAGGATTTCTCGATCAGCAAGTCATTTTGTTTATAGTAAATTTAATGATTGATCATTTTTTCCCTAGAGTCAATATGCTTTCATTTATTTTTGCGTGCATTATGCCCTGAAAAATCCAGCTCTCTACGAGACTAGTAAGTACACTGCATAGCAAAAGTGATGGTTTTAATTATCTAAAACTTACAGTGTCAAATATTTTTTTTAATAATTTTATTGTTAATACATTGTCTTTCTTTCAGTGAGGAAAGACAGTCTATCGACTTCGATCGATTCAATGATACCATTGTGTCAATCCTCACCCCAAGCTTCACCAAAGATTTTAATGAATGGTAACTCGTTATTCTTAATTTAAATTTTATATTAATTATTTTAATAATATAGTAAAAGGTATTGACTCATTTCTCAATAAAAATTCAATAATATAAGAATATTTGTTTAAAAAGTATTTTTCTTTCAAGGATTGAGACACAGCCAATCAGCGGGTGCCATTGATACTAGATCCGATCACAATCGAATTGGTAATTGATGTGAAGTTTCTTATTATTGTTACATTATTTCAATGACTTTAATGTTGTAATTAAAATGCAGAAAGATATAATAGCGAAGGTTATGCCATTAGTGAGATGAAAGATTCTCTTTCCTCATCTAGTAAAGACAGTATCAGTGGAAATAATTTAAAAGGTTCGAATAGTTCTTTATATGAAAATATTGAAACAGCTTCAATGCAACCAAGTTCTAATCAAACAATATCTCCCATCAATTTAATAGAAGGTTCTACTTACAACATTTATCAATTTGACTTATTCAATATAGAGTTCAATTTAATAAATATATTTTTCAGATCTCACAGAAAACGACACATCTCTATGAAGAGCCAAAAAAATTGTTTCGTGCCATGTTAAATACCTATATGTAATGAATAGATAATAATTTATTATAAATCCTGTGAGTGGAATCTGCTGTTATGATATATTCCACATGAATATAATTTTTAAAACTGTTTAAGTATCTTGATAGAGCTAGTTTGAGTGAATAAGTCAAAGAATTGAGTTTTGTAAAATTTTGTAAGGTAAAATTGTTTCTGTATAATTTTCACATAAAGAAAAACATAGCTTTAAATTTAAATGAATGTCAAGTATTAATCTCAAATTATGTCATATGAAAAAAAAAAAAAGTTTCTACTTAAATAATTAAAAATATTTATTGATTTATCAATGTGCTTAAAGGAATTCTTATACTTATACATTTCATCAGACAATTCTTGATTGTTTCTCAAAACTAAAATAATACATGTATCTGATATTTTTGTATATATATTTACCTAATATTACAATATCTTAAAATTTTTATGTACATATTTTTAGCTATTAAAGTAGCTATACATGCTATATTGAATAACTTTGTATAGGCAATTATCCATTTGCCATTGATAATATTTGTGATAAATACTACTTCAAGTTTTGTTATACTTTTGAAATTATAATTTCACATCGGAATCAAAATCAGAAGTTCAGAAAACATAGTTCTATAAACAAGAATAAACTGATTTTCTAAAATTTAGAACAATCTTTATCAAAAATAACTACCTATTATTAAACTAAATTGTAGTTCTGCAATTGTATAAATTTTTACCATGATTCTCAATGGTTTTTGGATAGTAGTTTCTTGTAAATACCAAACAAGCATCAAATATAAATAAATATAATTAATATCTGTACTTGGTGGAATAATCTTTTGGGGAAACCACTAACCCTCTACCTTTCCTTGCACCTCGATACACTGTTTCTATAATATCGATCATTTCTTGCTTATCTTCTAGAGTCCAATTAATTTTATTGTTGTTGCCAGTTCCCAAATCGATCATAATATGCTTATTTCTGAAGAAAAACATAACTGTACATGGATCATACAATTCGTACCTAGAATAAAAACATGAATATTAAAAATTGATGCAACACTTTTTGGTGATTTCAATTTAAATATCTAATAATAGTACACTAGACCCAATCTAATTCTTTCCGGTCCATAGAGTAATGAAACTTGTACTCCGGCGTTCCAGCAGACAGAAAAAGATTTGGTCTAGTGTACACTTGAACAGGTTACAACTATTTTCACGAGAAATATATATTATCGTGTTCTCGAAAGTTCCCAAGAAATATGTACCCTCTATGTTTTTCCGAAATTTTGTACGCGATAAATTCAAGAATAATATGATAATTAATGAAAAAATACAAACTTACATTTTGTTAAAATCCGGCACTTGAGTAATGTCCACTAAATAAATAACAGCGAAGTTTTTAACTTTTTCAGCTATATTGTATAAAACTTCGTCCATTTTCATACACATGGGATCCCAATCATGGCCAAATCTTATAACGACAACACGGTCCTCTTCCGACAAAATCGCCTGGTCCACTTGCCAGCCGTTGTGAAGATGCGCTAACATATACGACATGTTGACGTTTGTATTATTTTATCAGTCTGTTAGTAAAAAAGAGCTCTTGATTTTAAGTTAATGCGAGCAGACCACGAGCGATGACTATACTGATGTACAACTTGGTTACCCGACGACGCTGAGTGTCTTACTCTATAATACTGATCGCTACTGCTGCAACAGTATAGACTACATAAGAATACGTTAGCTATATATTATGATGTGTCGTTCAATTTGAGAACGATTAGAGAACGTAAATCCAACGAAGTAGAGGCGCCACCTATACCAACCTGCATACTATTGTTATTATTGCTGTGTATGTTTTGCCCACGAGTAGCCCCCACTACGCTCAACTTACGCTTTGCAGTCGTTATCACTTGCAATATATATGGGCATAGCTTACATATAGTGGCCTAACTGTAACGTAGTCATTCATTCATTCAAATAAAATTTTCCATGTTTACAATTAAATTGCTCGGTCAACATCTTTTGGCTTATGAAAAAATTTTGTGCTTCTCTGCTCTCTCCAACCAAAATCTTAAATAATAATAAAGGTTAAATTGAAATGTTCTTGTAACTTTGATTATTAAAATAGTGTTTGATTGTTAGAATGTCGTAACCTTGTTGATTAAAATCGATTCGATCTTTCGGTATAAGATTGCACGACTTGACAACTACTAATATATTGTTCTCAACGAAGACATGTATGGTCCTTAATGAACCTATTGCCAACTTTTTTTTATTTAAAAAATTAAACCATTTGAATACTCAGAGAGTTCATAGGGTGTAGACAAATTTACTTCTGCAGAGGATTTGCAATAATGTGTCTAAAATGTTGTGTTGATTGTAGTCATTTTTCGTTCTCTTGACCTGTAAAAACAAGTATACCAAAAAAAATTAATTAAAGTAAACTTGCAAAACAATTCCCTGGAGAAAAGTTGCAGAAACACATTTGTTTAAACTCTATGAACCTTCTCCAATAATTCAAATCAAGGGTTGATTAGAAACAAAACCTAGACATTGTTGGTGCATTGGCAAGTTGCAGCTAGTAGTGTCTGCTCTTAATTGTTTTGGTGAAAAATATCCTATTTTTGACATAGTTCCAAGATTATCTTGAAATAATTTTAACGACAAATAAATGTTTAATTCTTTTCTTTAAATTCACTGTAATTTAATAATTAATTCATCATTTACTTTTAGCTTTGATTAAAAAATCTTCAAAAATGGCAGCTGTCAATTTTCAAACTCTTAGCACCGAAGAAAAGAATAAGTTCTTTGACTCATTCGATACAGTATTAACTGACTGTGATGGTAAATATTTAAAAATTACATTAATCAATTAACCGTTACATTTTTTATTTTATAATTTTTATTTTATTTTTTTTTTTCAGGTGTATTATGGATGGAAATGAATCCACTTCATCATTCTGCAGAAGTGATGAATCATTTTCAAGATATGGGAAAAAGGGTTTTTTTTGTAACCAACAATAGTACTAAAACAAGAGAAGAATTTGCTGATAAATGTAGAATTTTGAATTTTAGAATATCAAAAGATAATTTACTATGTACATCAAATTTAGCTGCGCAATATTTAAAAAATTTAAATTTCAAGAAAACAGTTTATGTAATAGGAAAATCTGGTTAGTGAAATCTTAAAAAGTCTACACATTTCAGTGATATAATTACAAATTAAAATTTACATTGGATAATGAATTTTTTTTAACTTATAGGTATAACCAAAGAACTTGATGAAGTAGGTATAAAGCATATTGGTACTGGTCCTGACAATGTTACAAGTCCTACTAGAAACTTCAAATTTGATAAAGATCCAGATGTTGGAGCAGTTATAGTTGGATATGATGAATTTTTCAGTTATCCAAAAATGGTAAAAGCAGCTTCATACCTTGCTGATCCTAATGTGCTCTTTTTGGGAACTAACACAGATGAACGGTTTCCTGCTAGTGATAATTTAGTTATACCTGGTAACATACTTTTATAATAAATAAGCATATATATTTTATATTAAGCATAAATTAATAACTTGTTTTTATATAGGTACTGGAAGTTTAGTGCGTTGCATTGAAACATGTGCCGAAAGAAAAGCTACAGTACTAGGAAAGCCTGAACCATACATTGGAAATTTGATAAAGAATCGTTTCAATATAAATCCATCTCGTACGTTAATGATTGGTGATCGTGCAAATACTGACATTTTACTAGGTCGGCGTAATGGTTTCCAGACTCTACTTGTGTTATCTGGTGTTACTAGTATGGATGATCTTGAAAAATGGAAGTGTTCAAAGATTGAAGAAGATCAAGAACTTCTCCCAGACTATTATACAAACACCCTTGGTGATTTACTACCACACTTAAAAAAATAGAAAATAGTGATTTGTTAAAAAAAAAAAAAAATTTACTCTATTAACTTCATCTAACACTAGTGAATTTCTTGTTTTATTTTGAAAATACTATGTATTGTGTTAAAAGTCTAATAGCACAATGAAAAAAAATACACAACAGTTCTTCCAATTTTATTTGAAGTGATTGCAAGTTAAAATTATATATTTTGACTTTAAAATATATACAGGAAACTGACTGTGTCACTTTTATATAACTTCAGTTATTGAGAAAATGAATAGTACTTTGATGAAAAATTATAAATTTGTAATTTTAATCTATACATTTGTTAATTATTGATTATTCTGTTGAGAAAAACTATTGTTATTGAATAATTTTCCAAACATATTTTTTGTATTTTTTAAGGGGTTAATTAAGCATCAGCAGTTGAAGCTGATAAAGAAACTAAATCTTTACAAATGTTTATAGTTACCTTTATGCATAAATAAAATTCCTATTTTGTTGTTGAAGCAATCGTTTTCAATTATTTTTGAGATCATTTGTACAAAATATAATTTTGTTTATCCAGTGACAATTTAAAATATTAATTTATATTTTATGCAAAATTAACGAAGTTATATGTAAGTAACTATGTAATTTATTTGTTTAGGACGAGCCAAAATGCAGAAACTTTTGTTACAAGACCTGTCACAAATTATTGGAAAAAAGTTTTTATGATATTGATAGATGAGTAAATCTTTAATAATGATGAGGTAAAACAATCAATGCATTTCAGATTGTTTTAAGGCTTGCCAATATTTTTTTTTTTTTTTTTTTGTCATTAAAAACTAATGAATAAACGTTTTATTTATGGTAAAAAAAATTTCTATTGATTACCTGAAAAAATGTATAAACGTCTCTTAGGTTGTATAGAGAATGATCTTTTATGACTCCTGAAGTATTAAAATAAGTGAATAAATTGTTAGTTAGATCGTGAAGAAAAGTGCAAGTACCTCGATGAAAATCGAATTTGATTATTAATTTTTTGGATTTTCTTATAAATTTAAATAAAAAGTAAGATTTTGGACTTTTATATAGAGTTATATAATTGCTCTTACTACTTTCTTTTGGTCTAATTGTAATTAACTTTTATACATTTTTTTAACTCGACGTTGACTGAAATTTTTCAGTCCTATAAAAAAACGAAAAAATTAAATAACTTATGGGTAAATTTTTTAAAAATTTTAGACGCTTATTTATAAGATCTTTTGTACACTTTTACCAGATTTATGCTTTAAACTTAAGTTAAAATTTCAGCTTTAAAAAAATGTTGTCAACATTTAAACAAGGTTTTTAAACTGAAATAAAAGTTTAGACTTTGTATAGTCAATTTCTGTAGGGCGATATTTGAACTTAATTGACTAATTACATTTTGAAAAATGTTCGTTTTAAAAAATGAATTACTACAATTTCTTTATAAAATTGTGCAAGGTGAAGAAAATCATATAAATTGCATGATTAGATATAAAACAAACAAACAGTCGATTTTTACAGATATGTTTATCATCCAGATGCAAGCTTCGGCCTTCACCGTCAGAGATTAAAAACGAGGACGTCCGAGTGACCATTTAAAAATGGTGCATTGAACCTTCGAATATATAAAAAAATGTTACAGTTGAATAAGTTGAAAAAAAATTGCGATAAATTGATAATTCAGAACTTTTCTCGGTTCTTTGAGAACTTGACCATTCTTCATAGATCTCAAAGGTTTCTATCAATTCGAATTGAGACGTAAACGTCAGACCGGTCGTCTCGTTAAATCATGTAGTACACAGTACATGACCGCCTCCACAACTTCGTATTGGATTTGATCAGTTTATTGGTCTTGGATTCAAACAAAATGTTATGCAGCGAAATCTTAGCCTGCAATAAAATAGATTAATTTTCAGTCAAATTCCAATATTAGCTCAAGATCCATCATTTTCTTTGGTAACTTTTTCTTTATACTTCTTTGTGTATACATTTGTTTACATCGAAAATTCTGCTGGACATAACCTGAGAAGAACAATATTTGTTGATAAAAAAAACGTTGATTTATTCATCTTGATCTAAAATCCGAGATGAAACTTAACTAAACGTATCGAGTAAGTATGTCGATTGATGAAGTACTTAATGAAAAGTATATGCAATCTTTTAAGGTCGCGAAAACTCGATTAATTTTGAATGGACTCACGCTTAAAGCACCCGGAAAATGATCATTCTAACTAGAACATTTTTCATTTCAGAAAATAATTTACTCAAATTTCACAAAATGTCTGATCTATCAATAGATTTAATTAGGAAGGAGATTTTAATGCGACATGTTATGAAGTTAACTGGGACCATTAAGGAGATTTCAAATGAAATCCAAAATGATTTAAAAAATATAGAAGCAAACCTGGAAAATAAAATCAGTACAACTGAGAATGCTTCTCAAGTTAATAAAGAAATACTCAAAGTATTGGAAAAAAATGCTATAAAGATTTCAAAAGCCAAATGTTACTATGAAGAAGAATATTCAAATTGGTCCAAGCAAGTCAGTTTTTTTTGTTCCACATCGAGGACTAGTTTAAATAATAATAACTCTCAAAAAACTTGTATAACAATTAGTTCTGATGAGTCTGAAGATGAAACGAAACCACTGGTTTCTGAAAATGTTGATTTAACTAATGAAACTGATTCTACAGATGAAGAAGAAAGCAAAAAGATTACTGATTCAAGCTCTGATAATTTCTTTGAATCAACAATAGAAGATGATAGCACTACAAATAATGTTGAATTCAAAACTACAAAACAAATGATAAATAATATTAATGATTTTGAGCATGATGAAAATGTAGAACCAGAAATGGAACAAGATCAACAAACAACCATCTGCAAAGAGGAAGAACCAGACAATGATTATAACAATGGCTACAAAAAAACACTGAATTTAAAGAATGTAGATGAATTTATTATTCTAGAAAAACAAAATTTGCATGAAAAAAGCACAAATACCATTTTGCACAATAATGAGGAGTCCAATGATGAAGAGGAGGATAATGATAATGATGATGGGGAAGATGATGATGATGATAATGACCATGATCATGATCATGATCATCCTATATCAAAAAGCCCCATTTCTAATATTAGTGTTGAAAATTCTACAAATAATTTTTCTATGAAAGAATGCAAAGTGCAGTTAGAACGAATAATCGTTGGAGCATCTTTTTCTGATTCTTTGAAAGATCATACCTCAGCTGAGAACATCAAAGTTCAGCAAAAAGAAATAGATATTAATAAGTAAATTTTATGCATAAAATTTAATTTATCTACAAACTTCAATAACTAATACTAATATTTTTTTAGATTATGTAATTTGGATTCAATAGAAAATAAAAAAAGAAGAAACTCTCAATCTATGAGTAGACCAAAGAAACCTAAAACAGGAAAAAGAGTGAAAGTTTCATCTGAAATGAATCATTCGGATACTGAAGACGATTCTCGTAGTTCCTATTCCTCTCATAATTCTGATTCTTCTGATGACCAAGTGGTTCATAATATTGATGAAAATGAAAGGAATTGTAGTGATGATGATTGCAAAAACCGTTTATTAGAATCAGGTAGCTATAAGCATCAAGTCAAAGTATTTAAATTGTCACATTTTGTACTATTTTTTTTGTTAATTTTCAGATGAAAGTTCAGATGATACGCATGTTACAAGTTCAAGTTCTGATTCTGATTCTGATTTTGATAATGAAACAAAACAAAAATTGAAAAAAAGGAAAAAAATCGCACACAATGGTAGTGGATCTGATTCATCAGATAATTCTTTAATAATCAAAAATATAAAAAAACGTAAAATAGAAACAGACGAGTTATTAGCCTTCAAAATCACCGAAGACGTTCCTTCTAGTATTAAAAATAAAAAATTTAATATTGAGTATGTACTACTTATACTAGTTATATTATAATTACCATAATGTTTTCTTATTTTTTGATGAACGACTTGACTAACGATTTAAAATATTTTTACAAGTATCAAACATAATAATCCTAAATATTTTTTCAGCTCAGATACAGAAAATGTAAGAGCTATAAAAAAGTTGAATCAAAACACCAGCAAGGAAACCAGTTTTTCCAAGTCATCAAAAATTTCTACTTCAAATGACACTACAATTGATAATAGGACCTTAAAGGATAGCTCATCAAGTATCACTTCATCAGATGATGATGAATCTAGTAGTGATGAATCTAGTAGTAGTTCATCAGACAGTGATTCAAATAGTTCATCAGATAGTGATGAATCCAATAATGATGATTCTCTCTTAGAGCTTCAAAAATCGACCGTAGTCAGTTCAAATGGCTGTTTACCAAATGACGAATCTATAGCAAATGAAGTTTTAACGTAAAAATAATTTTTCTAATGGTATTTAAGAGTATCAAAGAATTTTATTTAATGATTACATTCTGTTTTTAGTGACACTCAGTTAATAAACGATTTACCAAAGAATAATAATAAATGGAAAAAAAATTATGGACGTAAAAATATTCGATCTTTAATGGATGATTCCGAAATTGATGAACAATCAAGATTAGCGGAAAAAGCTGAAGATGAAAGATTAGAGCGATTAAAAAACCGGAAAAAAAGTGTAAAGCCATTGCCTAGTAAAAATTAAAACTTTCTTTTAATGTTTTCTTAATTTTCATATAAATCTATTGATTTTAGCTTAAAAATTTAATTAACTCAGATAATAATGAAAATGAGTTGGATTATCGGGAAGAAAATTTGATCTTGGATTATGACTTGGAAAAAAGAAAACCACTTTTGAGAGTTGATAAGGGCATAGCCAAACACCTCAAATATTACCAAAAGAAAGGAGTAATTTTTATGTGGGATTCATGTTTTGAATCTATCGAATTGACAAAATTTTCTCCTGGTAGTGGATGCATTTTAGCACACTGTATGGGTCTTGGAAAAACATTTCAAGTGGTTACTTTAGTATATACTCTTCTTACTAATAAAGTAACGGAAATGAAACGAGTTTTAATTTTATGTCCGTTAGCAACTGTGCTAAACTGGGTGGCTGAATTTGATATGTGGCAAAAAAAAGCTGAAAGTCAAAGCAGGATTAAAATTTTCCAGTAACTACTTCACACCTTATTGAGTTCTTACAAATTTTAGTTGAAATAAAACTTGATAAAAAATTTTTCAGAGCTGGAGAATCTTCTCAAAGAAAAAAAGTTCTTCATAAATGGCATACTGAAGGGGGAGTGCTTATTATGAGCTACCAGAAATTTTTTTCTTCGTCAAAAATCAAAAATAACCAGTTGTATTTACTTGATCCTGGTGCAGATTTAGTTGTGTGTGATGAAGGCCATATTTTAAAAGAGAAAAAATCTCAAATCAGTAATTTGGTCAAGAGAGTTAATACAAAGCGTCGTATTGTTTTAACTGGAACGCCTCTTCAAAACAATTTAGATGAATGTAAGTTATTAAGCCAAGTACAACTGCTTCAAAGTTTATTATTTATTTAAGTAAGCTACAAATTATTTCAGATCATTGCATTTTTGATTTTGTGAAACCTTATTTACTGGGTACAGAAAAAGAATACAAAAATTTATTTGTTAATCCGATTAAAAATGGGCAGTACAATAATTCGACTGATGCAGATGTAAGAATGATGAAAATTCGAACTGATGTCCTAGATAGGAAATTAATTGGATGCATTCAACGATACAACTACGATGAGACCATTAAGAATATTTTGCCAAAAAAAATTGAATATGTGATTTATTTAAAATTAAGTAAAATTCAAATCAATCTTCATAAAGCTTACGAGAAATTCATTGAAAGGTAATTTTAATTTGAATGTAATATTATTTTTTAATTTTGATTGCATTCATTGTGTAAAAACCAAATATTTTATACAGCACAAAGCCTAAATTCGCAGAAATACGTACCAATATCAACCGGTTATTATCACATCCTAAAGTTTTGCATTTAAAAGCTAAGCAGAAGCAATCAGAACAGGGTACCAAAAGTTCTACAAGATTAAAAGATAACAAAACGAATCAATGTGATGGAGAATCAAGTAATAATCACGTCTTTCAATTAAATTTTGTAAACGCAATATAATTTGGTATTGTAAAATAATTCAAGTTATGTATTTTTAGAAGATTGGTGGCACAACTTCATCACAGAAGAAGATGTATCAAATGTTTTTACATCGACTAAAATGGTTACTTTTTTTTCGATTCTTGAAGAATGTGAAAAAGTCGGAGATAAAGTGTGAGTCAAAATAAATATTTACGAATTTTCGTAATATTATGCTCAATAACTATTACTTTCTTTTACAGGCTTGTTTTTTCCACATGTTTATCGACTCATCGAGTAATTGAATATTTTTTATCAGTTTTTGACAAAAACAGAAGCAAACATGATTGTCCATTTAAATTTAAAGGCCGCTGGTTAAAAAATAGTGATTATTTTTTGATCGATGGTAAAGTTAAGGAAATAGAACGCCAAAAATTCATGGCCAAATTTAATGATCCCAAAAATTTACAAGGTCGACTTATGATAGTATCTACTCAGGTGGCTTGTTTAGGAGTTAATCTCATTGGTGCCAACAGAGTTATTATATTCGAACCTCATTATAACCCATCTGCTGACTTACAAAGTATTTTTCGGATTTTCAGGTAAATAGTACAATGCAAGAATTAAATGTAGTTTTTGAACTTTCAACAATTATTTTTATTTTAGATATGGTCAAAAAAAAGTTAGTTATATTTATCGATTTGTCGGCGTTGGTACATTAGAAGAGACCGTATACAATCGGCAAGTGACAAAATTATCTTTATCTAATCGGGTGCTGGATAAAAAAGAAACCAAAAGACATTTCAACGAAGAAGAATTAGATATTTCAGTAAATGTACCACTTCGATTGCCATCTGACAGTCCTGAATTTCCACCACCAGAAGATAATGTACTGAGGTCAATTTTGGAAAGATTAAAAGATTCCATTTATTGTTACACCGAACATGACTCATTATTACAACATCAAGTAAGATTTACATTAGTTATCATAGATTAATAAACTTAAAATTAATGAAAAATGTTGTATATTAGGAAAACGAAAGATTACCCGATGAAGTATACGACGAAGCTTGGGACTTACATAAAAAAGAGCGAAAAAATTCTCGAAAATACAAGAATTTGAAGAAGAAAAATGAAATTAAAAGTAACGTTAAAGATACGAAAACGTTGACTCCTGAAGCATCCTCATCGAAAGTTAGTTCTTCGTAAATTTTCAAATGGTTTCAAGTAGATCTAGAAATGATTATCGTAAAAAAACTGTTCCTTTGAGAGTCTTTTAATAACTTCTAATAGCTTTGAATAATCTATGTAGCAATGAATAGTCACTTTGTATAAAAGTCTTTGAAGAATACTAAGTCAGGTAAAATATTTTTAAAATGGTCCTAAAATTACTAAAACCACAATGATTTATGATGATTTAGTATCTGTGCCTTATTTAAAGCTTTACGAAACAGTATTCTACCGAACGTTGTTAAGAAAATTTTTGTACTTAATTAGAGTGATAAGTATGTTATGTAAATGTATTGAATTTATTATTCATAGTTGTACAATTTTTTTTTTACAATAAATGTACTATAACGGAGTAAAATATTCAGCGAGAAATGAATTTGTTATAAAGATTTTGGCGTCGCCCGCATTATCAGTGCGTCGAAAAAAAAAATTATGATGGCCTCTATCGCAGAGCATCGATCAAGATACTTTTTAGCTCGGTCTTCAAGTCGTTATGACTATTACTGTAAGCAAGATTGACATTTTCTTCTTGATCTTGGCGATGATCGTAAAGCTCTTCAGCGTGAATTTCCTGCCAGTTGGGTCGCTTATGAGCGCGAGAAAAGCTCGGCCAGACGGTGTAACGATAACGCTCGACGCGCAGCGAGTAACCCATGATCTTTATATCGCGTAACTTTGGCTCGTCGCTGCTTGGATAGCATTTGGGCGTTAGACCGGGCCTCGGGTACTGACTTATCGCAGGCTTGCTCCACTCGACCGTCGTCTGTGCAAAGTCATTCGATCGATCATTAATCATCGGTCGCTCAGCTGATCATGATATGTTTAGGTAAAAAAAAAATTTTAATTCATATTATATAAAGTGGCACCTTATTTTTAAATGCATCTTGGACGAGCTTCAACAATGAGCTACCCTCCACACAGAGGTCGGGCAGTTTGACGTCCTGCTGGCGTCTCGGGCACTTTTGCACGGGTGCTCCAGCAATTTCGGCCAGGGTCGGAAACACGTCGAGCAATTCCACCGGGCTCTCGATGGATTTGGCTTCCTGGCAATCCATCCAAGTAGAGCTGGCGTTGATGGACGCTCGAAAAGTGAGGTCGGGAATGGACATGATGAGCGGTACGCGCAGAGCTACCTCGAAATTACTGTACTTGGCCCACAGGGAATGTTCGCCGAGTGACCATCCTGAGTTCGCATCGAAATAACGATCGATTATTATCTTTAGCTCGGCTATTAAAGATTGCCTATCAATCGGAAGAAGGAGAGAATTGTGAGATAATTCGCTCACCGTGATCGGAGGTCAGGACAACCACTGTGTCGTTGGTCAAACTCAGCGCGTCGATTTCGTCGAGCAGCTCACCGATCAGATCGTCGACGTAGGAGACGGCAGCGTAGTACGACTGTATAATCTTCGAGCCAAAGGTTTCTGTAAATTTCCGTTAAATTAAAATAAAGCAAAAGTAAGAGCGAGAGAGAGAGGAGGGATTTTACCTACTCGGTATTTTCTGCCAGGGACACTTGAGATTGAGCTTGGCCACGTCGCTACGACGCCGAAGATCCGTCCAAGGATTGTAAGCTACGCTGCTGACATTGGCTGGCCAGTCGTAATTGTCGGGCAGGGCGAACTTGCGCAACGGGTGCAACTCTGAAACAACAACATCGCCATGAGGTAAAAACATGTATCTTTGCATTAGCTGCGATAAAGAAGCCGAGCCGTAGCGACTTACTCAAATAACGTTTCGGATACTTGAGCGGTATGTGAGGTTTTTGGAATCCCACAGCTAGGAAGAAGGGACGTTGGGCGTGGTCGCTGCGTAAAAATCGCCTCGACGCTCGAAGAGTCTCGAGATCAGGTAAGGTCGAGTTTGGCATGGCCGATACCCTCACCGGACATAACTGTGTGCAACACGTGACAAAATCCTTAAAATCACGATTCTTCTCGTTTCTAACTATGTTATTGGCCGCAAATTAAGAAAGCTAAAAGCAATTGAGTCGTCAAACGGAAAGGCCGATGTCGGCAGTAGAGAAGAGAGATATGCCGACGACGACGAAGCGTTAGTGTGGAAAATAAGGGCATTAGTAGCGGCATAGCAAGCGGCTCGAGTTGGGCAAGGTTCGGTCATCGGTCGATCGGATTACTAAATTGCTGGCGAGCACGGTGGTGGCGCCGGCGCTGCTCTGCTCGTCCGGGCAGACGGGCGCGTCCTTGTACTCGTCGGTGACGGGATGAAAGGGCCGCTCCGTCCAGGAGTAGGGGCTGTCGTCGTTCCAATTGGAGCTGGCGCCCGGATGGAAGACCTTGCCGAGCGAGGCGGTCCGGTAGCCCTGCTGCTTGAGGTGCTGCGGCAGAGTCGTGAAGTTGCCGGCGACGCAGCGCCAGTAGCTGTTGAAGTCGTAGAGGCCGAGGCTGTCCGGCCGTCGACTGGTCAGCATGGAGTTGCGGCTGGGCGCGCACAGCGATTGCTGCATAACGACACGAATTTTAAACATGCGTTAATATGCGAGCCTATGATCGGCAGCTTACGTACCTGAGCGTAAGCTCGATGGAAAATGACGCTGCGTCGAGCCAGCCGGTCCATGTTGGGCGTGTGCGCCCGAGCGTCGTCGTAGCAGCCGAGCGCCGGTCTCAAGTCGTCGACGATTATGAAGACAAAGTTTTTCCTTTTCTGCTGCTGCTGCTGCTGCTGATGCATTTCCGTTTTAGCGTAGACGCTTCCTGTTGCGCCGCTGGCGTCGTTGGGATCGTTGGCGTCGTTGCTCGGGCCGCCACCGCCACCGCCACCGTCGTCACCGACATGATGTGCATGTGCTGCATGATCCGCACTCTTGTTGTTGCTGGCGCTGCTGCTGCTGCTGCTGCTGTTGCATGACGAAGTGTGAAGCGTCCAAAGCATGAGCCACGTTAGCCACAGCATCGACATGCCGACTGCCGAAGAAAAATTGCGGATCGGGCGCGACTGGCCTTGCTGCGCTACAACTCTTGGTTCGGAAGTCCAGCTTCCACTGCGCCACAGGCACTTTTTCAATGAATCCGATTCAATGCCATTCCAGCGAGCTGCCGCGACTGCATATACTTAGCCGACGACTCCTCGTTAATTTGCGCCTCTCAGCTGATAGGCTACTGACCCACTTGTATACGCAGCATATACGCGTATATCCGATACTGCTGAATATTAATCTCGTGCGAGCCGACCCAACTCTCGGTCGAATGATCGCCTCTTCGAATGGCATTGCGGCGTCGCGCAGCATCGAGCCTCGACATCATCCGCGTCTTCCGTTATTCGACCAACTCCCTTACCGATCTTGTACAATTGCATTATAGACTCGACTGTGAGATTGCGTTCAAAAGAAAAGACAGCGGAAAATAACTGAAGCAATAGTTGTGAAGGTTCCAATTTGAAAAAGCTTGAGCTATATTGAAAAAGCTCACATTACAGCCCTCGATGACTCAGCTCGATAAAATAGGTAAAATAAAAGAAATGACTGTAAAAGTCGATGCAATGACTAAGAGCTAAACATCCTATACTCGAGGATGTAAGTAAACAGAAAAAAGCTCGATACGAGCCATTGATTTTCGAGCTTTCCTAAGATCATAGAGCTAGCTACGCACGAGCAACTGAGCTTTATCGAACGAAAAGCTGCGCAGAGAGGGCCGAGCGCTGACGAAACGGGTGCCAGATCGAGGGAGCTACTCGATGCAAACGTGAAAAATGTGGAAAGTCATCAGCTAGGCTCGATGGTAATTTCTCCATCTCGCTGGCATAAAGAGTGCAGCGAGATTGCCGCGTGAAAATGGCACCTCAGTCTCGCACAAAGTGAGCTTAATATCTGTTTGCCAGAATGACAATGTTTCAACAGCATGGGATAGTTTACAACGTATACCGTTCATCAACGTTTGTTACGATGCATAATTATTCAGTGCCGATCATCGACGGCATCGGCTATCCTTCTCCATCCGACAGTCCGAGCAGCTCCTGAAATCTTCGTTTCTAGAGCGTACATCGCTGACGCTATATAGGTATCGACAACCCTAGCTCCGCAGTCTGCAATACTCGCATGCATCGAGCAGTTAATTTTTTCAAACCGCAGCGCCTGCGCCCGCGGCAATTCGGATTACCTACGGAGCTTTTGTACGACGAGTGCAATGACGACACCGTTGACTGCAGCAGCAGCAGCGAGCCCGAGCTAAGCCGAGCCACCGCGAGCAAGTGGCCAAGTCGCGCAGTGGCTGCTGGCGACTGGCTCAGTGCTGCAGAGTGTCGAGTCTGTGCGCAGCAGCAGGCAAAGTCAGCCAGCAGCAGCACATACATACCTATATCTATCACCTTCGTATACTCGGTTGCGAATAGCTCAGGCAAAGTCTCGCGTGTTGGTGTGTGAGAGTGTGTGCGTGCGTGTGCGTATGTATGTGTGTGAGAGTGTATGTGCAGCTAGTAAGAGAGCGAGAGAGAGAGAGAGAGAGTGAAACAGCTAGTCCGCGCGCATGTGTGAGTGTGTATACGCCACATACACACAAACTTAGCAGCAGTCACTGAGCACTCAGCGCGAGAGCTAACAACGTATGTATATAAGCACAGCATAGATTCGCGCGTCCTTTGTTGAGTAAGCTTGCGAAAAAGGACGCACAAGATGACGATTCAACGGTTCGATTGACAATGAAGTGAAGCAGCGACGATTCTTGCATCTCGGCGAGGATCGCTACCAAGCATCGGGTGAGTCTTTTGGCCTTTGAAGCTTTGTGACGTTGTTGTTGTTGTTGTTGCCGTCGTCGTCGTCGTCGTCGTCCCAAAGTTTCCTTTGTTGCCACTCCGCGCTGCATCGCTCCGTCTTTCTTCTTACGCAGTTAAATACAATCGCGTCGTTTTCAGCCAATAAACGATGCACATTTATACCTTTGCAAGTGCAATTAAACTTACTTTATGCGCATATTACACATGTATCGATGCACGATCATAATATGCATATTTATAAAGAAATAAGTATATATCTATATCTGGCATATAGGTATCGGTCGGACTATACGTTGACGTATAAAGTGCGTAGCGTATAATAGTACCTCTGCGCGTTCGCTCATCGTCTATTCGTCTTTTTTATTGCGTGTATATAATATGTCGTGAGAGAAACATCCGAGTTGTTTACATACGTACAGCAACATGCAATAGGCCACAGTTCTGAAATCATTACTTCTCGGGCAGACGCCAGAATTTTTACTCTCTTTATAAATCCCCCCAAAGTAACACTCGAGCTCCGAAATTTGCCTTCGTAATAGCGTCTCTAGCTCTCTCTTTCTCCCTCGTATTTGTTTTTTAAATCTCATCAAACTGTCTCAAATATATACAATCATTATATATATTTTTTTTATATTTATATGCGCGCGCCCATCGTCCGTAAGATCTTTCCAACGTCTCCGAGTCGTACAAGTGCAACTCATTGTTTTTGCCTTTGGTATCATAATATGCGCACTGCTACGTTCGAACACCACAGTGATCGTGAGTTGGCAGCTGCGTAAGTGTATGTGTGCGCGTGTGTGTGTGTATATGCGTGCAATATACATAGATGCAGTCAGCACTTGCTGCCACTGCTCCTCTTTCTTTACCTCGAATCTATTATTATGATTCTACGCGTATGTGTGTGCGATAGTTTACATGCATACGTCATGGTGTAGGTGAGAAGAGATGTGGCCAGTACTTTCTGCTCGCACTGACAGTCATTCGCATTGGCTGCGAGCTTTTTTTCCTTTTAAATCACAGATAAGGCGCAATTTTTCGAGTCCGTACAGACATAGCTTTGTTTACCTTATATGCGTTTTGACAACTGAGTTGTTGTGTGTGCGCGTGTATGTGTGCGTGCATGTGTGTGTGCGCGCGCGTGCGTGTCAGTCTCAGTCCGCAGTCGAGTTGACTCAATCCACAATATCCTCGGCAGAGTAGTCGGAACTCGGATAAAATATATGTAGCTGTGTGCTTATGTGTGTATGTGTGTATGCTCATCGTGGAAGGGGTAGCATTAAACAGCTGTGTACTCATATATATAGCGCGTACACGAACGTGTGTGGAGTACGTGTGCATGTACTCCTACACATACAACACGGCTCGCGCTCTGGCCAGTTTATACTTCATAGTTGCTGCTCGCTGGCGCGCGCGCGTGCATTATATACGTTTTCATGCATATAAATATATATACAGACACGTCAATCCGCCGTCGACTCGTCGACCGTCGTGTGCATCGCTCATGCATATACTGTAACGTACGCGCTGTGTCACAGCTATAAAAACTGTTTAGCGACCTTGACAGATGAACTGATTTTGTGCGACGCTCGCTTTTTCTCTTCTCTTCTATCTTTTCCCGCTTTCCAACTTTTTTGTCCGTCAATTATATTTTTTATTAAGCTTATTCGATGAATAATAATTTTGTTTACCATAATTCGTAGATTGATGAGAAAAAAGAAAGGAGTCTAAGATTTCGGGCGAAGCAGCAGCAGCAGCAACAACAACAACAGCCGCAAAATGTCAGCAGATTCGCCGAGGAGACCCGGAGGTGGTGGAGTGGTCACGGCTCAACATCACAAAAGTGGTCAGGTCGTGTCGCCTCAGCCAGTTAGCGATAGGTCCATCATCGACAGCATGGCTGGGATAATCAACGACATCGTACCACAGGTAAAAACTCGCGTATTTTTCTCCTTCACCTCTGTCCGCGAGCGTCGACAATATACAATTGCATTTGCACTCACAGGCCTACGCCGGAAGCGCGCCCAGCAGCGAAAATCGCGAGAGCATAACGTGGGCGAGATTCGAGTACGCCGACATCAGCAATCCGGCCTTTTACCCGGACTACAACGAGGGCTCGAGCATACCACCTCTGCTGCTCGTGCTGGGCTACACGACCGGCGTGCAGGTATGGCTGATCGCTGCGTCGGGCGACGCTACCGAGGTACTCTCCTGGCGCCAGGGACAGGTCCGTACTCTGCGCCTGCTGCCGTCTCCGCTGACTCAGACTCGACGCTCGAGCTCGAGCAAGGGCGAGCCCGACGATCCCTACAAGCTGCGAAGACCTTTGGTGGCCATCTGCGACTCGGCCGGCCCGGGGGCGCAATTTTGCAACGTCAGCTTCTTGTCGCTCAAGACAGGCGAACAAGTCAAGAGCATCAAGTTCAAGAGCGCCGTTTGCGACGTGTTGGCCAACAAGCGCTCGATCGTCGTTACCTTTCCCGAAAGAATCGCCGTTTTCGACGCCAAAACCCTCGACGATGTGCTCTCCATTACTACTTGCTATCCCAGTCCTGGACCGAACCCCAACCCCGTGGCTCTTGGTACCAGATGGTTGGCATACAGGTTCGAAACGAAACTTTTCACTTCCTCTTTGAGAATAGCTTCTTTTCCATCATTTTCTTCAACTCTCTTCAACTTTTATTTTAGCGAAAAAAAGTTGATACCAAGCAAACGCAGTAGTGGCGGCAGCGAGGGCGAAGGAGTCTCCAGCTACACGGCTACGGTACTCTACGCCGCCAAATCTCTCGGTAAAGGCCTGCGCGGTCTGGGAGAGACCGTGGCTTCGAGTCTGACAGGCAATTCCGTCACACCTATGGCCCAGCTGAACAACTCCCATCTGGCGGATAACTCGACTCAGCCGGGTGTAGTCACCATCATCGATCTTCAATCTGCCAAAGACGAGAGAGAATCCGACAGCGCCGAGTCAGGAACCATCATAGCCCATTTCACCGCACACAGCGACGCCATAGTCGCCATGACTTTCGATCAAACTGGTGCTCTGCTCATGACCGCCGACAAACGCGGCCACGACTTTCACGTATTCAGGTAGGCTCGCTCGCAACTAGATTCGACAATCGCAACCAGTCGACGCTGAATTTATCGTTGAATCTTTCATCCGCAGGGTACAGCCGCATCCGGGTGGACCGAGCTTGGCTGCGGTTCACCACCTGTACGTGCTCCATCGAGGCGATACAACGGCCAAAGTCCAAGACATGATCTTCTCGTCGGACGCGCGCTGGGCAGCGGTATCGACGGTGCGTGGCACCACCCACGTTTTTCCCGTGGCTTCCTACGGTGGGCCGGTGGGAGTGCGCACTCATTCGTCGTCGCACGTTGTCAATCGCCAGTCGCGCTTTCACAAGAGCGCTGGCCTCAGCGACGACGGGGCCCGCTCCCACTCGCCGGTTTCTCACGCCGAAATACCTTTGTCAATCTATCCATACACGAATCCGCGCTTACCGCCCTATCCACATCCCACCATCATACATCCCTTGGCACAAATCAGACAGCCTTCGAGCTTGAATCACAACAGTGCCCAAACGACCCCGAGGTTGCAGCAAAGACAGCGTCTGCACTCGGACGACAGCGCGACGCTCCCGTTGAAGATATGTGCTTGCTTCGCACCACCGAGAGCATGGTTATACGCACAACGCGATTCAGCTAATAAACTCACCAAGCGAGCCGTCGACTCTCTCTTTATCATGGCTTGTCATGGAAACATGATTCAGTACGATTTGGAGCCCAGACCAGCGTCCGGGGTACCGAAGGAAAAAGTCTGTGACGAAACACCGATTGAGCTGGATGTCGAGGCCAAGGGCCAATGGCCGCTGATGCGCACCATGAGCTCGTCTGACATTTTACCACCGCTTCCATCAACGAGCTTGTTGATGAAAGCCTCGACAAAAATTCAAAACGATCATCAGCTTAATAATAATGAAAGCCGCTGGCTCAGTCAGGTCGAGATATTTACACATGCTGGACCTCATCGGCGATTGTGGATGGGTCCGCAATTTGTTTTCAAAACTTACAATACTCCAAGCGGGTAAGTTGCACTTGACTAACTTTACTTTAGAATCAATTTTAAACGATTTTTTTTTTGTCTCGATAGGGTGGCCACTAATCTGGTCGAAGCAGAAACGGTGGAAGTCGGAGTCGCTAGTGGATCGCGTCCCGCAAGATCGAATCCAGTCAATATGCCTCATTCTGGTAACAGACCCCTAGTGCCCGTAGTTATTGACGGTTCTGGAAGTAAGAAATATCTTTTATCTTTAAGAAATTTTTTCAACTGAAAAAAATGTTAAATTCGTTTTAATGCTCGCTTTAGGTAGCTACGAGCAGTCACCTCGATTTGTCGAAGCTTACAGTGATGCACTGGACCACGAGACGCCAAGTACTTTCAACAGTAGTGGAGCTGGTGACGATGTCGGTGCTGGTGGTGAAAATCAACTTAGAGAAGACTTGGCTGAAGCAATGCTTGAAACTTCGTCAATGCCGCATCAATCGACAGGTATGTGTTGAAAACGTCATTTTGAAATGGTGTACTACCTAATAATCCTACATCATCATAAATTGGTTTTTATTGTGTGAAATTATAAATACCTAAAGAAACTTGTCAAAATTGTTTAAACCAAGACCCTTATAAGCATGCTGCTGTGATATATATATTTTTTTCCATAACTATGTTTCAATGAGCTTTTCTTTATACAGTCTTATTTCTTCATTTTTAATGTATGAACGATGTCTGTATGCTGTTGCTCATTTAAAAACAATCTTCATTCAAACCCCACTTTTTGTTAAAAATTTTGTAATATATTTTGTTATCATTTAAAAATACTGTAAAATATCTATAAATATTTGATATGAAACGTGAAACCGCTCTATGTATGATTTTATTTTATTTTTTTCACTGGCAAAAACACGATTAATACAATACCTTGTGAATCATATGTACTCTTCCCAATTTGATCTTGCAAAGTGTGCTTCTGCTGCAATAGTGATAATCTAGCATTTAAGGTGTGCAAAATTACACACAGAATCAGCCGAAGGCAGGTATCTATGTTGCACCTTACTCTTTACAGTTCTTGAACGTTTCTTTTTTTATTGAATTACGGCATATCATTTTTTTACTGGATTTATTTAATTTCCACAGTATTGGCATTATTCAACTAACAGAAATTTGCTTAATGGTATGCACAGTAACAAATTTTTTTTTATACCACTTATTATTTTCTCACTACTTTTAGCGGTAACAATGCGCAACGGGTAGTTTCAAGTAATTTTTTTTCTCGAAAGGTCGCAAGAAAATGACATTTAATCAAATAAATTTTCGTAGTAGAATAAAACGGTTAATGAATTTGATAAACTTAATAATATGAATTGTATTTGATTTAATGTATTTATGTAAAAAAGTGATCATTATGCCCAAAAAATGTAATTGCTTTTTGGTTATTAATTTACTGTGTACACCATACGCATATTATTAATTATTAAACAGTACAAAATGATCATATCGTTCAATATAAAATTTAAACTGATGCGAGAATGACTGATGAGTGAATTTTCCAATTACTTATTAAATATTTTTTATTCATCAATTCATTTTTATTAATTTTTTTCGGTTGATTTCTAATCAATTAAGTATAAAAAAAGAGTTAAATTAAAATTAGTATTTACACAGAGCTTTCACTAAACACAGAATACACAAATAGATTGCACTGAAATTGCAACTAGTGAACTCAAAGGTGCTCTTAATTTTCGTATTTGAATATAAGTATTATGTAGATGGATGAGAATGAAAGGAAAAATTATAAAGAAAGGGAGAGAGAAAGAGAGAGAGAGAGTGTGTGTGTGTGTGTGTGTGTGTATGTCTATGTGTTTGTATGAGAGAGAGAGAGAGAGAGAGAGAGAGAGAGAGAGAGAGAGAGAAAAGAAAAAATAGAAAGAGATCAGAGCTTAAATTTTGATACCTGCCTACGGCTTTTTCTGTTGCATATTCTGCGTAGTCCTGCCCATGTGCCGACGCAGCGCAGTAAGAAGCAATCATCAGAATGCGAGCTCGTCAAGTAGCGAACACCGTGTAATTGGTCAGCCGGTGGCCAAGGTTGTCAATCCCCTCGGCACAGTAATAACCCTATCGGTGAACGAAGAGGACGACACGATAATGCAACATCAGCTGCAGCAGCAGCAGCAAGACGTAGACGAAGAGTTGGCGGCTCTGCTGTCGTCGTCGTCGTCGTCGTCCACGATCTCGTCGGCCGTCTGCGCTCAAGAGGGCAAAAATCCCGTGCCGCAAGAGCAGCCAGAGTCGCAGGCTCTGAAGGAGCGGACGAGCATCTGCGCGGAAATGCGTCCAGCCGAGGAGCCGGCCGCCATCGATAGCGTGCCCGACGACCGGATCAAAGAGCTCAAGGAGCGGAGGCAGCTGTGCGCCGAGGCCGCCGTCACGAGCACCTGTTGCGCGGTCGACCTCGACAGGGTGGGAGCGTTCAAGGACGTGCCCAGCAGTCCGATCGTTTGCGCCGAGAGGGGCGCTGTGCCGGACTGCAGCAACGTCATCCAAACGAGCGTCGTCCATGCGTTGCCGAGATCGAAGCCACCGCCGCCGCAGCAGTCGGAAGCGACTCGACAGAGCGTCGCCGATAACTTGGCTTATCGGCTCTTCAACGCTTCGCAGAATAATATGCAGGTGCATACCAGTAACGAGCCGATCGTCCTGAAAGCAGCCGCTTGCGTCTCCTCGGACGACGACATCGAGCACGTCAATAGCGAGGAGTTGCCGGCGGCCATCGCGGAACCAGCGCTACCGGACAGACCGACTGCTGCTCACTCATCGGATGACGATTTGGAGCACATACGTCATAGCGATATTCCAGCCAATCAAAAGTCCAGCAAGGACAAATTCAGTCCAACGCCGGCTCGGACGCCTGAAGCCGACGCCGCGGCTTCGTCGCCGAACGAAGCGAAGACTAAGGAAGCAACGCCCGAGCGTCAAACCCACCGCATGCAACTCAAGCAAAAAAAGCAAAAGCAAAGAAACAAGCGTCCGATATCCAGCGATATGGTTGAAATAATAAATATGGACGCCGTGATCGTTGGTCCGGAAACGAAAGGATTAGTCGAACGTGTACCGACGCCCGAAGTCATTAAAACGTTCGAAGCCGAGCCAATCGTCATTGTTGGCTCGGAACCTCGAGAAGAAGCCGCTGTAGAAATCAAAGAATCAGCCGATATGATCGAAATCATCGATATCGATGCCGAGAATAATAGTTGTAACTTTACTCCTCGCCCGCTTCCGGAATGTCAAATTTTAACATCAACCAGATCGGAGAACTCGTCCAAGAAAAAAAACAAACGTCAGCGCAAACAGAGAGAATGGAGCGAGCCACCGATGCAAATCGAATCGGCTCTTGATACCGTAGTCGTAGAAGCGCCAGAAGAACAAACCGATCTTTCGGATCCGACTGATACTTTCAACTGGGCCTCGTTGACTCGTCGCGATAGTGGTAGTACTGAAGAAATGGGAAAACCCGATGCATGTATCCAGTCTATGCATAACTTCGAAACAAAAAATCCCGAAGCTAATAAAGAAAACATACCAGTCGATAATCAGCTGGAGTCTAACATTATTAATGTTGGAATAGCATCTCAATTGGAAGAAATTGAACATTTAGTAGAAGTTGAAATACCAATCAACCGTAACGAACAAACTGATGGTAAAAATAAACCACTACAAATAGAGCAAGAATCTGTAAAAAACAACTTTATCCCCGACGAGCAAAAAGAACTTACAAAAACCGATGTGTCTCATATTCTATGCGTCAACTCACTTGACGATACTGTTACTGTAGAACCTATGGATTTTAAAGAACCACTAGAAAAAAATTTGTTGAATTATGATTTACCCCTTAAAGAAGAAGAGGCCGTGAAGCCAATAATGTTGACAAACATAACACCGATAGTTGCTAAGAAAGCCAACAGATCGAAGAAAAAGAAGCGCAGATGAGTAGAGGATTGCGTCGATGTACCCGGGGCAGGTCTTGCCCTGTACATACTCTTTATGCAAGTATCTGGAGTTGATTAGTAGCGTGTGTGTCGTATAGAAGAATCAATTTCGGATCAATATAATTCCTCTCTCTATTTTTTGCCCTTGAAATTATTCTTTGTCAAGTAGTTTTTGATAATAAGTATTTAATAGTCATTTTTGGCACACTGTACTTTTCAAATTCCACTAGTAACTTCCGACGCCATGCATCGTCATTGCTTCTACCACTGTAAAAGTACAAGTAATGACAAGTATCTAATTGCCTCATCTTAGTTGTCGTGGTAGCGATGAAACACAGAAATAGTGTTTTGTATCATTTTTCTGTGGGTTGAAGAGGGTACAATCGATGTCGACGAGAGCCTTTTTCTGTAACATTAAGTGTTATGGTTTTTAATGCACGTACTCTCAAATAAATATATATTGTAAAAGAGGGGTAAGGGGGGCATACATCACATACATCACACGCATATTGATTGATGAAAATAGAAAAAATTGAAAATTTATGAGTCAAGCCAATTTTATACCGTTCAAACCATTTAGGTGTTTTAATTAATTCAATGTATTTTAAAAGCGTATAACAGAATGCGTAGGTTGACGAGCTAACAGTATAATGTTTTTTATAATTTTCTCGATCACTCAATAAGGAATTTTAGAAAATTATTTTTATGTATGATATGTGCATTTGCATAACAATTTTTAACTCCAACTTTAAAATATTTAATTATAGATACTTTTTTAAATACATGTTTTTCCCCCATAAAATGTTACAGCTTTATATTTTTTTATAAATTTTTTTGTCCGAAAATTTAAACATTAAACGCCTAATAAATTACTTTGAAAAGTCACTGCTCCATGCACGGAATTCCTTTTCACATAAAAAAATGCATAATTTTCAATATTTTTTGTTACATTGCACATAAATCTATTTAAATTGAGAAATTTAAAAAAATTTTTAATGAATCAAATTTTAAAATCAAAGCGGAAAATTTCTTGAGCATTGTTTGAATAGCTCAAGTTGTTGTTATTTTACTTGTATTCAAGTTGAATTCTGTGAAATTTTCAGAATTAAAATTTCTAATTATTTTATTACAATTTTACTATCGTCTCTGAAATTATTTTTAAATATTATATATTTTTGTCTGTATAACCAATCATATAGTTGTTTCACTATAAATATGTTCATGAATAGGAAGCTACTTCGTACTGTATAAAATTGAGTGATCTATTCGTATTTTCCACATTTCTTTAAATGTCATTGTATTTATGGCTTTTTGGCAATTGAATAATGGAATGTTTTCAAATTTAAAATTTCTAATAAAAATATGAATGAGCAAGGGTTGAAATGCGATTAAAAATGTTATCATCAAGTTGGTCTATACAATCCTTACATAAACATAAAAAAAAACTTTTATGGAAATATTTCATAAAGCCACAGCTATTAAGTATTCGTTTAATATTTATTTGCGTTCAACGCAGGTTTTAAAAATGATATGCACATATTTATTGTAGAGTATTAATAAAATCTTGTTAAAGTTCAAGATGTGCGTATTATGAACTAATGCTGTTTTAACGAAAATTGTATCAATACCTAGGGTATAATTTATTAAAATATTAAATTATTAAATTATTAACTAGCAATATATAAAATATAATTTAAAAAAAAAAAATAATAAAAATCCAGGCAAAGTCTGTATCAAACAAAATTACACGAAATGATTATCTTGAACATTAATCTGTTTTAGTGGAATCAGTAACTCAGAAATCCCAAATACTAAGTATTATGTGGTTCCCTTCATTTTTAAGACTCGCCAGTTCCGGCTTTAATATTAAAATAGCCATGCCAGTTAACTGGTTGAACAAAAGATAGCGCCTTTATTTTCGTGTGAATGATAGTATGTGATAATAAAATAAAATTATTGTACACTACTTAAAAAAATTGTTTTAAAGTCTGTACTGTGTATGGTCTACTCAATATGGGCGTATAAGACAAAGTTGTATAAATTGTAAAATTAAGATATTATATATCTTGATAGCGAAAGTGCGCCTTGCGCGACAAAAAAATAGATATTAATCATTGTTTAATATACTCTCTGACTCTTGTAGAAAAAAAGTATATTCGAGTAGAGATCGTACTTCTTGAAATGTTTTACATAATTAACAACATTTTTGGAAGCAATGTAAGCTTAGTTGTCAACAGAGTTGTACAAAATTTTGTGTAAGCAAGAATAATATTCTTTGTTAGATAATTCTGAACTCGCTTCATTGAAATAACGATTTTTTAAAATTTGCAAAAAAACGTTTTTCACTGAAATATTTTCGTTTGTATTACTTTGACATATTGTAAAGAAATTTTGTAAAACTTTGAGATTATAAGTATTGGCTAAAAGTTTTAATGTCCAAAAAAATTGAATAATAAAAAAATTCAGTTTGATTTTTGTAATAATATGATGCAACATGTCGGAAGAAAAACCGCTGCCGAATCATAGGCAAGTAGAAAAAATTATTATTATTATTATTAATAGTACGCAATTGGAATGAGAATTTTTCTCAGGTACCATGAATTCTATTATATAGAAGTATAAAGTGTTCATAACAACGTTTATTGTTTAAGAAAAAATTAGAAAAATGTATGTCACAGTACTGATCCACACACATATATATTATATATATATTTATTTATAATTGCATATGCGTGTAGTAATATTTATATATTTATTTACATAATATTTTTGTTTTTTGCAATAGTTTTGAAATTATAACAATTGCTTTAACTCGTTCATTTAGTTTGTAAATGAAAATTAAAAAAGAACATGATGGATTTATTCTTAAGTAAAAAAAATGATGATATGGATGATATGGATTTATTCTTAAGTAAAAAAAAATATTATTTTGAATGATCTCTCTCAATGTTTGATGGTTATATATTGAGGTATAGTCAAAAGGTTATCATATTTAGATAAGTGCATGGAATTAGTTATTTATGCTTTATTGAGTATATGTGCTACTGGAATACCCGTTTATATTTCGACCAATTCAATCTCATAAATGCATAAATTGCAAATAAGTAAATTTCGTCAAAATTACGTATTTTGACATTTTTCAAATGTCTCGAAATGCAATTTCAACAAAACCAAGTCACAAAATCTCATTAATAAACCGTGAATTTTCGCTTTAATGTCTGGATACACATTAAACGAAACTTGAATGTGCTTTTGCAAAATCATTTTGTATAAATACCTCTTGATTCAACTCTTAGATCTGATAGTGCATTGATTTTACGGTGTACGATAAAAATCACATGACATTGTGTGCATATGTGTATGTATGTAAGAGAGCAAATTTGTGAGATTCTTTGAGTCCTGTTACTTTCACCAATATTGGGTGTACGTATTAATCTCTAAAAAAAATCTTATAGCGGACTGTATTGACCGTTCAGAAAATTATTGAAATAAAAATGGTATATACTAATTCAGTTATATCGAGAGTGAGAAAAACAAAATCAATAAATAAATGAGCAAAGACAGATATTTCGTTGTTTTTACATAAATTTGACACATTATTCACTCTTATTTTAAAATGAATAAAAAACAATCATTACGATACTTATTCACAATAAAATTGAATATATGTATTAATGCAGGTGGTACACAATCAATGGCTAGCTGCGAAGATTTAAGTTCGAGTAGTTTTAGTTCCACCAGTCGAGCTTCACTGGACGCGAGAATCTCTCCATCAGCATCTTACAGCACCGATCACATGATGGTTTTTCCAGGCGATAGCAGTGGTTCCATCTAATTTTAGGTTTATCGGGTTCTTGCATTTTTTTAATACTGAAGACGAGAAATTTTTCTACAACTTTATTCAATAATTTAATTGTAGTATTGTGATTTTGCACGTATATTCAGCTGTTAAGTCAAGAGAGAACAGGAATAATTTTTTAGAGCCATTTTATTGTTTATTTACCAGACCTAATGATTTATTCTGTGGTTATTTTTTGTTTTTACTTATTAATCTGTAACTCTCTTTACGATAAAAATTCAAAGTTAATTGTAAGATAAAGAGGCCGTAAGTAGAATCTCGGGCTCATGTTTGTTAATTATTTTTTTATATTTTAATTATGTTCGAAAATAATTCGTGCATTCTTTGATTTTACTTAGAAAATAATGACTTTGAATTATTGTTTTTGCGCGTATTCAAAATCACATTATCTGCGAATTTTTTAGACGCGTTTTTATAAAGTGATAACTCGTTATTCTCATCCACCCTGTCAAAAATGTTAAAAAAAGCAATTTAAATGTTTTCATATTTAATACTTCGTAAAGGAAAATATTGTTTATTATTATAAGAGTTATCAAAAGTATCGATATCATGAAAAAAATAATATTATTCTACTCTTTTGAAAAATATTAATAAAAGCCGCCGAGTCGCCGTAAAAAGAGACAAAAAAAATTGTTAGGTCTTAAAAGATGAAAAAGTAAAGGGAAATCACGGTCTTAAGCATGCTACATTCAAACTCAAAGCAAGCAATGGCAAAATTATTATTTTTGAAAATTCAGACCAGTGATTATGATTCATGATTATGAAAAATGTATATTTAAAACTATTTTTCTACAAAAAGTTTTTTACAAAGCAAAATAATGTGATAGAAAGTACGAGACGTGCGACTCGCGACTTGAATATTATACAGAAATAATCGCGCATACCTGTCTGAATTCAATGAAATAAGTTTTTCATCAATAAGTTATTCAACGTTTGCCAAGAATCAAACAATTTTCTTTATCATATTACTGACTATCGTCGATGATCAATGATCATTTGTTAACGTTTTGTTCCGGGGATTGTTACTTTCTACACGACTAAGGTTCCAGTTTATTTTTTCCTAAGATTTTCAATTCGTTGCATGGTTTGAAAATGTTATGTTTGAATTTTAACTAACTCTTAGGTCAATCGAATATGAAAAATGAGTATTAACGCTAAACTTGTAAGAGAGTTGAACATCATTAAAAAAGTTTCTTCCCAGGTTGTTTTTTACCTTCTTTTTCATAAATAGAGTACGTCTTTACTTTCATCCTAGACTCAAGAAGAGTAAAGTTTTTTTAAATTAAATGATTATGATTGTTATTGTCAAGTGTGCTATATAAAATATTTAATTTAATAAAATAACGATTTTGATAAAATGTTGTATACCTAGTATATCGATGTAAATGACCATACTTAATGATTCACGGTTATTTTAAAGAAAACAGTTAATTGTATCGACACCAAAAATCTAGGTTCGCTCTACCTTTTACGATTGGCTAATTATTTATGTTTATGATTCAAAGACGAACATTCCGCTAATATTTTTCTACACAACATCGGCAATCGAAAAAAATTCCTTCGTAATGTAATATGCATAAAAACACGTGATATAGACCGTATATAGACATACATTCTTGAATGTACATACCAATGCTATTTTATTGTTATATTCTTTATATATAGTTTTTATTTTGGACCTATTGCTATTGTATGAGTAAGCTAACCGATCGATGAATAGGCTTACAATAGATAAACGAGTAGTTATTGAAATGACTGTTACAAATATTCTATGTTATTACATGATCGTAAATGTTGTATTAATTAATCAAGACTTAAAATACATAACTTTCATTGATATTAAAAAAAATATAATTAAAAAAAATACAAGCGGGATTACTGAATATGATGAATAATCATTTATACAGCAAATCGTTCATCTAATGAAAGCCCGTCCATCTATTCGATTGAGCCCTCTACATATTTTTAACGCAAAGGTTGTAATGTGAATCAAACTGCGAGTGCTCATATTATTCCGATATTAAATTGTACTAATAAGCAGTGTAAAATGAGAAAAAATAAATCATGTATATTAAATAGATTCAAAATACAGTGATTTTTTCTTTTTCTTCGATTTAAAAATACAATTTCTAAGCCACTTCAGTATGTAATTTTGAATACACCTGTATGCTTTCAGAAGAAATAATTCCCGTGCTCAAGATTCAATTGGACTTCGTGAGTGTAATTTTGACAGTGCGCAGTGTAAAAGTTCAACCCAATCATACCACCCGCAAAGTTACGTTTACCGGCGTAAAAAATGTGGTATAGAAAGATAAAACGAGATTCGGCTGGTTTCACAAAAAACGATAAGCGTAAGCTGTGAGCCGTAGACCATGAGTCTTGCCCAAAACATTCATAAGAAAGCGTTATTCTACTTCTAAAAAAGCTACGGTGTTTACAAAGTAAAATTTACATAAATCTACTTACTTTGAAGAAGAACGAATTATTTCCTATACGATTTCTTTGTTCGGTTTGCGGTAAGCCGTTGCATGTTTACTTAAAGTATCCGCGAGATTCTTCTCACAGGTGAGCTGTCCGACTCTTCGTTGTACTCGCTTTGCACTTTCTCCACTTTCAAAGTTCGTGCGTACTTGCGAACGCTTCCTATACAGCATATTCTAGTACGAGGCACGCTGCACTGCACATCAAACACATATACCTACCATAGTCACAACAGCAGCAGAATCAAAATAAAACGCACGCAAACGAGTGACTTGGAGCGAGATGGCTTTGAACTTGATCAAAGTTCTATTTTTATTCAAAGCGTGTACGACCGGTGGCATCGGTTTGTTGATCAATTTATTCGAACCTTATTTGCCGGTCGCCTTGTTGAAAGTCTTCAAATATGGCAAATTTGCATCGACTGCACAAGATAGATTTTTAGAAAAATTGGAAGTGCCTAAAAGGTTTGGTTGGATTTTTTAAGGAATAATTTTATTTCTATTAATTTACTAATGTTTACCATAACATGCTTATCTTTCAATAATTAGATGGTTTAAGCACTTTTATGTGCTTGCTGGTCCACTGTCTACCTTGACACTTGTTATTTTTGTAAATAGATATTTTATGAACCAGCCACTACCAAATTTCGTGGTTAATACTTTAGAATTTTGTTTAAATAAACCTATCCCGTTTAATGGTAAATACTTTAATTCAACATTGATTTAAATATCTTTTTTGTTGTTTTTAATTTCTTTTTTTTTTTTTTAAGTTCCAGCAGAAAATGTTCTTCTAGGACTTGTTATTTTCATGATACATTGTTGGAAAAGATTTTATGAAACTCATTTTATAAGTATCTTTAGTGACACATACATGAATTTCAGCATCTATCTAGTTGGCTTGTCACACTATGTAGGAACCATTATTAGTATTATTGGAGAAACTCATAATATTTCTAATAGTAAGTATAAATAATTAGTTTATTTCAATGCTAAACAAATAAGTAAAAACTAAATCTATACATTTGTTTATTAGATAAAAGTATTCAATTAGACTGGTCTCGTTTAACTGTGATAGATTATATTTTTGCCTTGATTTTTTTGTTAGCATCTTATGTACAACTAAGAACAAATAAAATTTTGGCTAGTCTCAGAAAAGACAAAAATGGAAAGGTTGTAACTAAAAAACACAAAATTCCTCATGGAGGTCTTTTTGAATTTATAAGTGCACCCTTGCAACTGACAGAAATAATTTTGTATGTATGTTTACTTGTTATTTTGAGAGGAGCTTCAACGTATTGCTATGTTGCTTTTTGGGTCATCGTCAATCAGGTAGGATAATTTTTTATCATAATTACTTCATTGATGACTTTATTGTTATAAATTTTTAATTTTTTCAGTTGGAATGTGCTTACATGTCTCACAAATGGTCGATAGAGACTTTCAAAGATTATCCAAAAAATCGATATACAGTAATACCTTATATTTATTGAAGATTGAGCTTTTGTTATTAATTTCAAGATGGATATAAATTTTATATTGCAAAGTATTTCAATAAAAGTATATATTTTTAATTCTCGACGACTTTTTTTCTTGATATTTAACTTGTGCTAATTATAAAGAGCAAATAATTCAAAATACAAATAGATTACAACAATTCACAAGTAACATTCACATGATAATTTAATTTTTGTAAATAAAATTTTTTAGTTATGATACATAAATTTCACACTGTTGCATGCTTATTTAGTGCTCAGATTTTGCATGTATCAAAAATTATTTTATGTGGAGCCTTCGAATTTCAGAAAGCTTTGCTCTCCTAATTGAAGTTTATTGTTGATTCTGATCATAGGCTGATATTTATCAGATTTATTTGAATAAGAGACTGGAAATTCATAGAATATTATTAATGAAAGTGTGATTAGTAAGTTAAAATTGTTGAAAAAAAAATCATTAACTAACCTGTAAGGATATCCTTGGGCTTTATTTCTAAAAATAGAAAGGAGTAGACTGAAGAATATTCCTACGAGAATTAATCCCATGATGGTAAATATTCGTCGCTTTTTTACATCACCTTTACGAGAAGCTGCTTCAGTCATAAGAATCATACCCAATACAACAGCACCATCTATTATTAATTATTGAAGAAATCATGTAACATTTTGCAAAAATAACAAAAGATTCAGTAATTGTCATTTTTTAAAGTACTCACTCAAAATCATCACAATGTATGTTTCAAAAACAAACTGTCCTTGAGAAGAACCATGAATGTAAGCTACGTTGCCGTTAGGAGATTTATATATAAATGGCGGACTTCTTATATGATTCCACATTTGACCAGATATCATAGTGAGAGTAAAAAGCTACATAATAAAATTGAATGAATATACATGTAATAAGTTTCTATCAAATGAATGATCAAGACTATTTACCAGTCCACCGAGACCCCAAATAGTTTTGTTGTACAAAAAATCAAGGTTGTTTCGCTTTAGGTACAAGAAAGCTGCGACCAAAATCATGAGCATAATAATTGCTACTGTTCCAGAATAGCTAGGTGGTCTAAATACTCTAAATTGAATATCAGTTCTTTCGATAATCCACTTAGTAATAGCTTCAGCTGAAAATCCAATTCTTTGAATATCCATGGTATCAGCTGGTTTAGGTTTGCCTTTTGATGGGAAATGCATGTATACTGGAGCAGTATTCAATCTCATCTAAAATTAAGGCAATATATTGTAGTGGCTAATAAAAATAAACCAAAATCATAATTTTTCAAAATACCATTTGGAAAACTTCAGATCCTTCATCGAAATCAACAAGTGCAAAGAACAACTTGTTTGAATGCAAATTAGCATACCGGTAAGAATTAGCAACAATTGTAAATTCTTCATTAGCGTGTCTGAAATGTCATAATTTGTTACAATATTAAATTATATTTTTAAACAAAACTAAGCTTGAATTCAGCCACTGACCTGCAAATTTGACATTGTCGTTGAGGCGCCATAGCAGTAAACATGACAATGACTGAATAATTTCTTGGTGTAGCTTTTACAAACTCTTTAAACTTAGCTGTATTAAATTTTAACAATGGTCTCTTCATTGACATTTCTGTAAGCTGTGAAACTCGCTCTGACAATGAATGACTATGAGTCTATAAATTAGATAAGCAAAACATAGAGGTTAATGGCTTGTCAAAGTAATATTTTGGATATCATAGTGTAAATGTTTATTTTATATAAAATAAAATATCGATGTATCGTTAAAAATTGTCTATGTAACATTCAATGATCATGCGTATGCAGTATTAACATAAAGAATACTAAATATTGTTTGGATAAATTTTGTGCAGAGTCTACTAGCATTGAAAGGTTTAAACATGTAGGTGATTGTTGTTAGGGTGAAAAACTTACGTTTTTCGTCCTGTACTGGCAGGAAACATCACTTAATAAAAATAAAATAACAAGTCCCCACAAGGGGATTAAGAATTTTTTTGCCATCATCCACATATTTTGATGATAAATAATAGACAGCCGGTACACACGCAGAATACAGCCGACGTCACCAATCGGCAGACGACGACAAGTCGAAGATATGGTGAGTGCGACTGACAACAGCCAACCAACAGGCAACAGCCACATGCTTAGCTCAGAATTTCGCAGCTCCACCACACCTGATGCGAGTGCGCACACGGCAGTCGGCGCCCATATGATAGTTGAAACATTGGGTTCAACTTTAATTTGAGTTTATTCTTATTAAAAAAAAAAATCTTTAGATTTCCATGTGTAATATTCAGCTAGATTCGAATAGAATTGTAACTCGATTCGATTCGAATTCTAGCTCGATTTTACGTTATCCAGCTAGATTTTATACCTGTATTTCCAGGTCGATTTAAAATTATTCAGTTTAGCATTATTTTTAAGTTTTATTCAATGAAAAGTCGAACAATATTTTCAATTACAAAATTCAGCTGGGTAATTTAAAATCGATCTAGATTTATAGCCGAATCCAGCTGTACATAGTTCACATGGAAATCTAGCGATTTTAAACAAGGAAGTTTTGCATATAATTAACTCTGATTTCATAAAAGTAGAAAAGATATCGACAAAGATCACGTTCGAAATCAACGAATATTAGCAAACAACGTTCGATATCTTCGTCGTCTTCTGCAAGATCTTCATCGAGTTCAACAAGTTCTTCTGAGAATTGAGTCGAGGTCTTTTTGACCGCAAAATTTATAATGATAAAAAGAAACGATTTTTCTGATTTTTTTTTACGTTAAATTGTTCAAAATTGGTTCAAGTCCCTCGCCAGTAAGCTTATAAAACCAAACAGTAATGCGAGTGTTGCTTTTGTTCATATGTTCGGTAGTGAAAATTTGAAAAGTACCGCCGATTCGAAAAATCGGTGCAAGTAACGATGGCATAAAGAGCTAGTTGTCGAAGACATGGCAAAAATCTCTTACTTATACCGTGAATCTAATTAGCGGTTTGGTAGATAATTATAGAATGATCTATAAAACTCACATAAATTGAATTCAAAGTATAGATCTTTTGAATGGTGCAATATTCAATCTCGATTGAATGCTGTGCATGATGTGCAGGCTGGACACAGCAGGTAAGATCGTGAGAAGGATGGCAGTTGGTCGCCTGGAAGTCTACACCGAGCCTTCCGCAGGATGGTCAGACTCACAGTTTGGATTTCGCAGAGACCGCTCATATCAACAGTCACTGCCGAAAGGGTCATGAGTGGCGATGACCTCTTCGACGACATCTTCGACGTTCTCTATGAGATGGGGGCTTCGTTATACTTAGCTGGATTATCATTTAGTTCATTTAGTAGAAAAAACAAAAAGGAGCGAAGGTCTAGTTATAATTTTGCTTACGACGACCGAAAAAATAATATTTTTATTATAGATGTTAATTCATAGTTTTCATAAACAGCTTGAAAAACACATATTATTATGTGAGATTTCTACCGATTTTTCATGATAGCAACATAAATGCCTAGAATAGACGTAGATTTATATAATGAAAGTTTTAAAAAACGATTTTGAACATTTTAATATTCACCTTGGCTTCGATAGTTCCTTAAAAATAATTATTACAGAGTATTCGTAGGAATTAATTTTAAAATGCTCATGCTATATCATTGTTAAACTTGTGAACTTTCATGAAATCGAACCACATTCATCGTATCTTTTTCTTCACATCGCAAGCTGATTTCAATTAAGAAATTATATATAGTTTGATTTCCTATTTGGTGTTGCATTTCAACCGGTTTTTTCGGGGTGTTTTCGTTTTTTTAGAATGCTCGATATTTATTTTTTATCGCATATGATATCCTGATCAATTGCATAACAATCAACAATGATATCGATGTTTGTTTTTCAAAATACTCTAATTATCTGTTAATCGTAAATCAGTAAATAGTTTTTATTTTTGTATACGTTCATTTACCAATTATTAAAAATCTTCATCATTGCCCAGCGACTTATCTGATGACTCATTCGGTTAAAGGTTGAGATTCAAATAGAAAATTAGACAAATGTGCATTATAGCGTTAACAATTTTCTTGTAATAAAAAATGACGTTTTAAGACTTGGACATTTTTGTCCTTAAAAATATAAAAATTAAACTGGTCTCTTTTAGGGCACGCTCAAGGCCAAAATTCATTGACCAGATTGGTGGCTTTTGCGAAAAAATGAAGTCTCCATGTTGTTTTTTAATAATTATGTTGATAAGAATAAAATTCCGGATAAATTTAATGTAGAAAGAGATCGAGCCAAAGTGCCCGAATAACAAGGCGTGATAGTTGCGAGCTAGCTTCCGACCGATCATTCTTTTTAAATCTAACGTACAGTTTTCTATCTCTGTCTATCTCTCGCTTTTTCTGGCTGTCTGTTTAGTCGTAAGTTGGAGAAACGGCTCGAGAAGTTTAGTTGCGGCATCCTGCAAACGGACGGCTGCTCGCATATATATAGAGAAAAAAAAAGGAGAGGAAAAGAAAAGGGAGCGGACTAAGAAGAGGCGACTTTAGCGTGCCGCAATACGTACTAAGGTTACGGTGTTGGGTATAAGAATTGTAACGAGGGTCTTGAAGCGCAGCTAGGCAGCAGCAGCCCCTGCGGAAAGCTGCTCGAGCTCGGTTGGCGGGAGAAATTCGGGGCCCCAATAAGTGTGCAGGGTATAACCGTTACAAAATAGCGAGCAAAGTGCCGCTGGCGCGCGTACAGGCACTTGCACTCGGCGAGCTCAGTCAGTCTCGCGTTCGCGCAACTAAAGCAGCATTATGCCGCAAAATGCGTAAGACGTCGTAGTAGTGATCTCCGCAGTGACACCTCTTTTCCTTCCTTCCTTCCTCTTTTTCCGACCGATTTTTTCTTCCTCCTTCGCGATCGAGCGCTCCTCGCTCGCGTAAAAACTCTCCCAAAACAGTGTGTAAAAGTGACGATTGCGGCTTTTAAACGTCGACTTGTCAACGGGAGACAATTCGCGACGAGCTTTTGTTTGTCGAGGACTACCTGGACTGTAGGATAGCGCTTGGATCTGTCGCCAGGGGATATCTTCCGCGTTACGTTACCGATTAACCAACAAAACAAATCAATTCTAACGAGATAATGTCGTTTTCAAAGGCCAGAATTCAGCGCTTCAACGAGCTTACAACAAGTACGTATGAATACAGTTCTGCTTAAATGGAAAAGCTTCATTCGTAACTACGCAGCAAAGAGCTAGTTTGAAAGTTTATAATAAATACAGATTGGTAGCATCTCAGGACCGATAAAAACTTTTAATTTTCGAATCAAACGACCGATTTAAGAGTGAAAATTTCAAATTTATTAGTTGTGCAGAGAGACAGGCGCGTTTTAGTTGAATCGTTTCAAAAATGCCCATTTAAATGTATGCATAGGGCAGAGCGGTATAGCGTTTTTGTGGGAAAAAAAGGAGTCGAAAAAGCGTCGAGTTTGTGTATACATAAGATTTTGAGCCATGCCTCGGATGCACGCGCGCTTTGTGCCGCTTTGCGCGTTATATACATGGGCAAGGGACACCTGGCAGCTCTTATCGGCTCTCACAGCTGCGGGCTTTCAGGCATTTCTATACATGCCTACATTATGTATACAGGCTGGCATGGCTCGGGCCCCGCGCAGTAGCAACGCCGCAGCGGCATTCAATTCCGGAACGTGAGAACTGGAGGGGGCAGTGACGTCCCCCCTATAACACAGTGCGGACTCGTGTACCCCGTACCTATATAGCTGTCCGTCTTTTTCACCCCCTCCAATGCTCTGCACATTAAATCCCAATAGCTGCTTCTATTTATAAAAAATGTTCGTGTGCGTGTGAGTGTGTGCATCGGAATATTTTTCTCTCGCCCTTTACTCCCCGAATTCGAGCTGCACACATCTCTGCGCGTCTTACAAGGGTGTGTGCTTCGTACATTATGCTCTTGTGTGTAGGGCGTTCATGATTGTTATTAGCTTATGCCAGACGCTGCAAAGGCTCCAACGCACTTTGCACCCCTCGCGCGCGATGCGTGAGACCCCTTGGGAAGTTTTACGCTAAATTGCATGAGAACTTTTGCGGGCCCCATATCGTTGAAATTGCAGGACGATGATCGGTGCTCGGCTCCAGCACCTTATATCTGTAGCTGTATATGCGCCAACAGAATCACGTATTCGCCTTTTGGTGCACATGCTGTGAAACGTATTTCGACGACTTTTTCAGTCTACCGAATCTTGTTTTGCACATGAGCATGTGAGATTTTTTGTATGTACTTGTGTATAGGAGCGATAAAACAAAATAATCTCATTATTTATACATACGCACGTAACGTTACGATATCGATAATCTGTATCTGAGCAGCTGGGTTCAATACTCGAGAAAAGCCCGCGATTTCTTTTTTAAAGACAGCTGTCGGAGCTTACTTATCGCATAGAAGTCAACTCTGATTTCAATAGCCAAGATGATGGAATTTGGCCCATTATGTATTCAAGTCGAGTCAATCGATTTGCAGGCCTATGCTTCCAAGAATTCGAACCGTTCGGTTACTCCTTAATAAGCAAGCTACATCGTTCACCATACTTTCGGTGAAAACAGAGCTGACGGGATAGATAAACAAGTCCCTTTTCATTTTCGTTGCATTATTTTAACTGAATCGCAGCAAAACAAAATTTTTTTCTGTCAACATTTCAAAACCAAGATATTTTTTATAATTTTCCAACGTCGAACTTTTTTAACTCAGAAAACTACGTAAATAGTCTAACATAAATACACGATTGCTGTCAGAAAAAAATATTTAGAATTGAATGATTATTTTCTTCTTCTTTTTTTTTTTTTTTTTTGAAAATTCTAATTGAATGAAATTCGATCAACAGGTGTAGCGCCGCCACCGGGTGCTTACGATCCGAAATTCGACAGCAAGGTACGCGCGCCGGTGCTGGAAAAGCCGACCGCGCGCTTCAATCAGGATGCCAAGAGTACGACTAGCAGCGGGGCCGATTGCAATGCATCGGTATCGAGTCGAGGTGGCACCACGAGCGGCAGCGCCCTCACCAGCGCCGCCAGTTCCGCCAAACAGTTTCGAACGGTAAGCCACGACTCGAGCTGAACAATTGTATTTTCTCTCCTGCGCGTATATAGCGCGGTGAAAACTATTCGACTCGATTGTTGTTGCAGCCTCAAGTTCCGAAGAGGCGCTTAGTCAACAAAACCAGTGGTATGAGTTGTCCGCGAATCAAGACCAAGCTCTACCAAGTGAACAACGAGAACAAGGATCCACAGCATCAGCATCAGCAGCCGCAGCAGCAGCAACAGTCACAGCAACAGGTTCCGTACGAACCGCTGCAGGAACTAGCCGATCTGAAGGTGGAATGCGCCAACAAGGACAAAACTTTGCTCGAGTACGAGAAGCACATGGAGGACATGAAAGCCGAGTTGCAGGACGCCGGCGAAAAGTACGAGGTTTTGCTGAAAAAACACGCACAAGCCGAGGAACGGTATCAAAAGGATCTGGAAGCTATGGTGAGTCAGTGTAGTGCACGTGTTGGCGGCACTCGAGCCAATTACTCAAGCAAATTTACACGCAATTACAGCAGCAGGCGATGGAAGACAAAAACGACAAGTACCAAACAGAGGTGGAGGCTCTGCAAGCCGAGCTGACCAACATTTTGAAGAAAAACGAGGACGCCATGTACGAGAAAACGATGCTCGAAGAGGAGCTGAGGAGAAAAATTACGCTGCTCATGTGCGAACTGGAAAAGTTGCAAGAGCAAGAAGAGATGATGGAGAAGATGAAGAAGCTCGAATTAGCCACTCAGCAACTGGACGAAAAAACCGAGGAGCTCAATCAAGCTTTGATCTTGAAGGACAAGACGGTGACGGAGCTTTTAGCGCTGCAGCACGAGACGGATAACAAATTGAAAGAGACCGAAGCAAAGGTAGGCCCGAACCTACTGGAACGTGATCAATGAGAGCGCGATTATGAAAATTGCCATTTATTCCAGTTGAGAGTATCGGAGAGTCGAGTGTCGGAATTGGAGGCGGACATAAAAAATTTCAACGACGACACGAACGCCCAGGTGCTGACGATCAACACGCAGCTGCTCGACGACATGACCAACGTGCTTCAGGAGTACTTCGATTACGAGAACTACGACGGCAAGTGGAACATCGAAAACATGTCCTTCCACCCGGGCGTCGAGAGCTTTCTCAAGCGCATCCGAAAGTTCGTGACCGATCTGAAGGTGACGTACGAGCGCGAGATCGAGCTGTCGCGCGACAACTTCAACGAGGAGCGAGAGAACCTCGAGCAGCAGTTGGAGGCCAAGCGCGACGCCATCGTCGAGCTGCAGGCCAAACTCGCCGAGATGGTCGAGACGAACGCCTTCCTCACCGAGGAGCTGCAGGACGTGCAGAAGCTCTACAAGGATGTAAGCTCCTATATCTGGGAACGCGAGGCAGCGACACCGATTGATTTAGTATAAAAAATTCCAAAAGTCCCTCGTTGTGTTGCAGATGAGCCGGACGCTGCACGAGGTCAAGGCCGAGCTCGAATCCGCCAACGACAAGTACACCAAGGCAGTGGCTGCTCACAAGGCCGAGATGGAGCTGACCTCGAAGATACACACGGACGAGCAGATGCAGCTCAAGGACTTGCTCGAGGAAGCTCGTAGCGAGTACCTCAAGGAGCTCGATAACGTACGTTGGCGCACGTGAACATTTATTTTCTGCCATTACTTTTCTCTTATAAAATATGTGCACTTATTACTCGTCGACGACAGATGACGACGGCCCGCAACGAAGAGCTCGCCGAGGTAAAGAAGGCCATGGAGAAGCGCATCGACGACGAGAAAAAGCGCATGAAGGAGTGCGCCAACAAGATGGTCGAGAACGCCGAGGCCGTGACGAGGGAGACCCTGAAAGCTTGCCGGGCCGAGAGCGAGGAGCGCGTGAGGCGCGTCATCGCCGAGACCGACGCCAAGGTCAACGTGCTGGTGCGAGAGGCCAAGAGCAGCTCCGAGGACGAGTTGCGTCAGGCCACGGAGAAGTACAACGGCCAGCTGGACCGGCTCGAGAGCGAGAAGGCGGCCCTGAACGTGAAGCTCGCCCAGCGGGACATCGAGGTGATCCGACTGACGGCCGCCCTCGACGAGATCAAGTGCACCGTCGAGACCCAGGAGAGCTTCAGCCAGAGCCTGCAGGCGGAGCTCGACCGGGCCGAGGCCGAGCTCGTCGAAAAGAAGAGCGAGCTGCGCAACCTCAAGGACCAGATTCGCACCGAGTCGGCTGAGATGGTGGCGCGCCGCAAGCGCTTCGAGGTCGTCATGGCCGAGAACCAGCTGAGCGTCGCGGCGCTCACGCGACGCCTCGAGCAGAGCGAGGCCGAGGTCGAGCGCCTCCAGCGGGAACTCGTCGCCCGGGACGCCTCGCTCATCGGCTACCGCGACCTCTTCGACACCATCACCCTCAACTCCAAGCTGGTGCAGGAGCAGCTCGACTCCATCACCGACAAGATCGACGAGAAGGTCGAGCTCATCAGCCAGATGGAGGAGAAGAGCGCCTCGGACATCAACGAGGCCAAGGCCAACTTTAACGCCAAAATCGAGTACCTCAAGAGCACGGCGATAGGCGAGCTGGCCAAAGTTCAGAAGGAATGCAACTTCAAGTCCGAGCGCAATGCAGAGGTACGAAGCTGTTTTACCCTTTTACCGACTCTTCCATCCAATTGCTGAACTTTCTTTTTTGCAGCTGAGAGAGAGCCTGCGCGAAATGTCCGACAGACTGAAAGAAGCCACCGACATGCTGCTCAAAATGGAACAACTTAGCGACGAGCAATCCATTCAAGTGTCGAGGCTGCAATTGGAAAACGAGAAACTTTGCCAACAGCTGGACGAAAAGAATCTTGCCATCAAAGACAACAAGCTGGCTTTTCAACAGCAAGTGGAACAGCATAAAATCGAAATCGAACAAGTAAGATTTAGCACGAGCTTCTTTTTCCTTCCTACTTTTCACTTTTATCCATGGGTCATTATTTGCTTCAGCTAAACGCCAAATTGTCGACGTTGCAAGAAGAAATCAAATCGCTCCAAGACAAAAAGTACCAAATCGAAGAGAAAAAGTACGACTTACAGGAGGCGAAAATTCAATTCCAGGATGAAATAGCGTCGTTGAGGCAATTATTAGAAAACGAAAAAGATCAGCGAGAAAAACTAGAAAAGTAAGTTTTTCACAATTTCTCCATCAGCCTTCCTTGAAAAAGAAATTTTGAGAAAAGAGGAAAAAATTGTTGTTGTTTTCTTTGTCAACAGACAAGTCAAAGAGTACGAGCAATCTTGCGAACGGCTGACAGCCGAGTGCCAGCAAACGAGCGACAAGTATAACGAGCTCGTGTCCAGCTGCAACAATCGGCAAAAAACAAAGAACGTCTCGCAGCTGAAAGAAAAAATAAGCCTTCAGCAGTTGGATCTGCTACGTTTGCGTCAGGTTCGTGATGTGCTAGTCTTCGTTATCACTCTGCTCGTTGCCGTTGGTCTTTTTTTCACCGATTGGCTTGGTCGATGTTAAACTGACGTCAAGTTTTGAACGTATTGTTTGAAGATACTTATATCTTTATGTGTTATTCATATATTATATTTATACATGTATACTTACATGATATGTATACAATTGTTGTTTTTGATACAATTAATGAATTTATTTATTTATTATGTTTATAAAAGTACCATTGCAATTGGCGTGTTGTAGAACAAAAATATTTTGCCGATCCTATAGAAAACATAAAACATGTAATCATGCAAAGATATGATTTCATGACAATGAACGAATGTACTTGTAACGAGCAATAAACTGTTGACGATCGTGCGTGTGGACGTTGCCAATTTTTTTCATCGGTCGTGAAACGAATCGAAGCGTTGATAGCATATAACGATTGCCACATCGAAAACGATCTTGACGATTCAACAATCATGTAATATATGTGACGTGTACATTTGTTTGTAGGAGCTCGACACGAAGAACGATCTTGTGGCCGAGCTAAGTCAGGCGAACGATAAGCTGTGGCTCGGCGAGCTGCGTCAGCTTGGCCAAGGCAAGGAGAACATGTCGCCGCAGCAGCACAAGTTGTTTCAGCAAAAAAATGCAGCTATCGCCGCGGTCACGGGCCAGGCCAACAACAACGGCACGACTCCAGTCTCGTCGCCGGCCCACAACCCCAAGCCGCTCACGCCTCTTCGGGATCGCAATGACTGAGCTTCGACGATTTTTGAGCTGCTTCATTAGATATTATCTCTATTATAATTGATAATGATTTCGTTTGTCGCGCGACCGAAGGCCAGCGTAGAAAAGTTGCATTATATATCCGCGTCTCTCGCGGACCGGAAACAACGTCTTTTTTATTTATTGTTTTGTTATGTATATATTATACACATGCTTATTAATATTATATTCTCTTATAGTAATATACGTGTTAGAATCTGCTTGGATCCATATAATTTTTTTTAATATTATTAAACGTGCTCATTTACGATTGGAACAGTTCATTGCGCCTCGCCAAATTTGCATTTTTTATCAGGTGCTTTTAAATTTGTTTGTTTATTATTATTGATCATTCACGTTGGAAATTGTTACGTCAAAAATGTACTCGTCGATACCATACTATTATCTTAATCGATGGATCTCGTTTTGATGCACGCCGTTATATATGTTCTTTGTCTTTTTTTGGAAGCAAACATTTTTTTGTTGAAATGAAAAATTATTTTTTTTAATCGTTATGTAACTGCAAAAATGGCATAGTAATCAATTTTAAAATCCGTTTCGCACAAAAAAATTATTTTTATATATAATAATATAATATGATTGTTAATTATGAGAACTTGAAGTATATTGAATATAATAAAATCACGTTTTCTGCTTGATACCGTATTTCAGAATGCTTTCGGACATAAAAAACTTATAATAGTTGTCATTTTTATACATAATAAGTCCAAAGTGAAAAATTGACCCTGGAATCCTTTGTCTCTGCATAAATTATTTATATATTTATCTAACATTACCATGTACTTAATTAATATTTTTCTGATAATATAAACAATCTTTATATGTAAAAGCAAATTATTTTATTATTTAAACACCAATTCAATTATTAAAGATTTCTTACTAAAAATCTTTTTTTTTTCTAATCGAATTCATTTTAAAAAATATGGTTTCCTGTAATGTCTTCTTTCAAACAAAATCGACATAGCGGGCATAGAAAACACCCGTCTTCTATTTGATAATAAGTGATTGTTTTTTTTACTAATCAGTAGATAACTAGGGAGTAAAAAAAGAAAGTCTCAGATCACCGCATATGAATTATAAACTTCCTTGTATAGACTAACTCGCTAAATTAGTCTCGTTGCTTTTTGAATTGGCCGATTTTGATTTATCGAATTATTGACAAGTGAAATAAAAGTTGAGAATCGTTGGGTCGATCGGCGAGCATCCTCGCGCTTGCTCGACACTCGTATTTGAAAAGTCGCGCGTATCGCAAAATGCACGGTCAGTCAAGACTCTGCGATATGCGCGCTCTTCTCTTTGATGCTCGACATTGTAATTTGTGTCTTGCAGTACTTATCACAGAGAATAGCAGTACCTACTAGCATTATAATAAGGCCGCTTGTATGCAAGGCAAGCAAAAATTGCAATAGGTTATTGTTGCCAGCAGCAGTCAGCAGACTGCGACAGTGTGCAGTTTTCGTTTGAAAACTGCTGGCCAAACGAGTGCCTATATAATCTTTGATCTCTGCTTTGATTTCTAAAGAAATTGAATCAAAACAGAGGGGGATAGCAACAAGTCCGAATCTCGACTTGTACATACATATCTGATAGTATTGAAATCGTAAACATAGAAGCTTTGCTATTCTGCTCGCGAGTTCCCAAAGGAAATTAAAATTCATCTGGCGTTGAGTCGCGCGTATACTTCTCACTAGTGCACACACAGCATCTCCTAGACTCAACCAAATGTTATCTGACAACACAGTTCCATTTTCAAAACTCGGTAATCATATGTATTATTATTACGTAAGGCTTATGTTAATGTCGTGTTTTCCATAATTGTTTGTTGAAACATTTAATTGATCGCTGCACTACAGCATTCATTTTCAATTTTCATTTCGTATTCAGGACAATTTGAATCAAAGCCCGCTGGCATTTATTTGCGCCACCAAAAGCTCCACTCATATAATTCAACGTGTAACGAGTACACGAGCGAGTCCGACATTCATTTAAACTTCACAATAATATTATCATCAATTTTTAGCAAATTTTACTTCGCAAAATTGTCCCTACTTGACCAATTATCTTACTGTTTGTATATATTTTTATGAAATACTGTTCTATAAACTCGATTAATGCAACTGCTCTATCCATACACAAATTTTACATATTTAAATACTTTGTATAAAAAATTCCAGAATTCATTATCTGGCATGAGCAAAATTTTACGATCTCATGATGATTGTTACAAAGCAAAATTTAAAATTGAATGAGTGGATTTTTAATTACTTCGATAATCACTATTACGTGGTCATTTTTATCTTTTGCACAAAAATAGCTGAAATTTTAATTGATTAAATGTATTCTGAAGTAAAAATCCGTTTTCTTGTCAATTTTTCCAATTTTTCAAGAATTAAAGATGCACCTGAAAATATAAGCCTATAGGTAGTAGGTCTTATTCGTAAAATATAGACGAGTTGAAAAAAAAAATTGGGAACATTTTTTGCCGATTTTTATGTCCATTAATTCACCTATCGAAATGAGCTTGAGTTTTTGAGAACATGTCTCTCAGAGCTTTTTTAATATAAGAAAGATTTTAAAATTTAGTACTTAATTTTCGTAAAACTAAAAATGGTAAAACATGTACTTTTGTTATACGGATGTAAAAAAGAATAAAATTTGTTGTGATAAAAAAGAGTAAAAAGAAAAACTTAAACTATCATTTTTCATTATAAAAAACTCGAATTAGCTTCAATTCATGGGGGTCATTCATCTCAATAATATACAAAACGAAACGTAATGAAATCGTTATGAATTTTGCATTAAGTCCATTTTTTTTTACCTTTTATTCGTAACGTATTTAATGTAAAACTTGTTGCCCGCCGGAGTCGTGCGCGCGTGCACGAGGCAGACTGCCAAGCGGAAGTGACGAACAATAACGCTGATAAAGGCCGATCGTATACTCTGTCCACAGATGGGAAAGCCCAGGAGCTGCTGATGGCCGCGAGCGCGGGCCGCAAACAAGCCTACGTGCCGTACTCGAGATTCGCGGTCGGAGCCGCCCTGCGCTGCCGGGACGAGGCGCAGACGATAGTCGCCGGCTGCAACGTCGAGAGCTGCTCGTATCCGGTGTCGATCTGCGCCGAGCGGACGGCCCTCACCAAGGCCGTGAGCGAGGGCAAGCGACACTTCTCGGGCCTGGGCGTCGTCGCCGAGCGGGTCGAGGGTCGCCTCACCAGTCCCTGCGGCATGTGTCGCCAGATGGTCCTCGAGTTCGCCCAAGATTGCCCGGTCTACATAAGCTCGCCCGAGCTCGATCAAGTGCTCGTCACGACGACCAGCCAACTTCTTCCTCATGCCTTTGCACCTCCGAAATCCTCCCTCGTGCTGACCGCTTGTCGATCCACGACCGACGACTGCCAGCAATGACGCCTCGATTCACCGTTCGACGCGTGCTGTATACGCCTTCTTCGCGGCTCCGAAAATTGCATTTTTCATCCGTCGCCTTAATTACTTTCTGTTTTTGTTTATTTATATAATTCTTTAACGTTATCAGTTGTTTTCTATTCGCAAATAAACTGTCAAAAACACATTATTATGTCGAACTCGAAGATACTTTTCAATTCCTATCCTACTTCATCGTTTAGCTGCTAAATTTTGAATTTGTCACTCATCTAACTGCACTGGAATCCAACGAATTAGCTCATTTTCTTATAAGTAACATTTTCAAAAGTCGTTGAAATTACAAATACGACTTATTTCAATTGAAAGATTGCACAGACCACAACGATTGCCGCCGGAATACACACAATGGGTAATCGCATGCCATATTGCATGTAGGCCTATATCTATAAGTACAGTAGCTATCGTATAGGACCTGCAAAATATCTTCACTGTACAGCATATACAGTCTGACTCGCGTTTTGCTAGTGTCAATAGCGGCGCTTGGTTCCGGAACGCTGGACAGTTTCTGTCTGTTAATTGGTTTATGAATTATATTCATAATACATTAACATAACGTGAAACAAATCTCATTAATTTTATTTTTTTGATGAGTATTTGTTAGCATTGTTTTATCTCAAAGTGTTTGACGTACAGTAATTCTTGAGTGACAACTACCCTATAATCATGGCTCCGGTTGACAATACTGTAACGGACAGCAAGGTTGAAGGATTCGAATTTATTTGCTCTCTCACTTCCAACGATATAATTCCGGTCCATAAATACCGATCAAAAAATACAGGACTCACTATATTTATTGCTGAAGTCGATGGTCCTGTCGTCGGCGGTTACTTCTGTCTTGGTTAGCGTCTTTTATGCTCTTTATAACCTTAAATGAACTCCACAGAACTACCCTTTCTAATATTTTTTTCTTTACCTATTTTTTTTATTTTTTTATATCAAAAAATGATACAGCTACTGAAGCTTTTGACGACGATGGATTACCTCACACCCTAGAACATCTCATCTTTCTTGGAAGCGAGCAGTACCCTTACAGAGGTGTGCTGGATCTTTTGGCAAATAGATGTTTAGCTTCAGGTACTAATGCTTGTACTGATGTTGATAATACATTTTATACAATGGAAACTGTGGGAAGTGAAGGTTTTTTGACATTACTTCCTGTTTATCTTGACCATATATTGTATCCAACGCTAAAGGTAATATAATAATGAATTGAATTAAAATATTCAAGTATTTTATCAATTTATTTCATTAAATAATTGTTAAATAAATTAAGGATTCAGCATATACTACAGAAATTCATCATATTACTGGAGAAGGTGAAGATGGTGGAGTAGTCTATTTTGAAATGCAAGAAAGAGAAAATGTTGGAGAGTTTCTGGTTCATCAGGAATTAAGACGTGCAATTTATCCTGGTAAATGTGGATATAAATCAAATACTGGAGGTACAACCATTTTTATACAAACTGTCATTAAATACCTCAAATAGATGTTTAAATGTTAATTTGTTTTTCTCTCTGTAAGGTGCATTAAAAAATTTAAGGGAGAGTACCTCTAATCAAAAAGTCAAAGATTATCATCAAAATTACTACAGACCAGAGAATTTATGTGTTATAATAACAGGGCAGGTTAAACATGAAAATGTATTTAAAGCACTTTGGCCTATTGAGGAAAAAATTATGAAAATGGTAATAACTTCTTCTCTGCCTTGCATAAATTCATACAATGTTTTAAATGTAATTTTTAAAATCTAAATTTTTTCAATAGGGTAAAAGAAGTCAGTTTGAAAGACCCTGGCAAAGTGAAATACCTCCATTCACTGAAAATGTTGAACGCAATGTTTTTTATCCTTGCAATGATGAAACTAATGGTCTAGTCTGCGTAGGATGGAGAGGACCATCTACTGTTTCACATAGAATTGATATGCTTGGTTGTATGTTATTGCTCAAGTATTTGACGGATACATCAGCAAGTCCACTACAAAAAGAATTTGTTGAGATTGAAGGGTCTTTTGCTAGTGATGTGAAATTTTCATTATCAGAAAATTCGGAATCTTTGTTGTACATTATATTCCAGAATGTACCAAAAACAAAAATTCCTAAAATTTCTTCAAAACTTATGAACTTTTTGAAAGACATTTATAAAAAAGGAATAGATATGCAAAGAATGGAAACAGTTGTTAACAGACACATTCTGGAAACATTAAGTAATTTAGAAAGTAGCCCACATGATGCAGTTGCTTATATGATCATTGGTGATTTTTTGTTTGGAAATGATAAAAATGATGCAAGTTTTTAATTTTAGCCAGTGCCTGATGAGATTTTTCACATTTCATATTATTATATTTTTTTTCAGTTGGAGGATAGACTAAATGAAATAAAAATATTAAAAACATTAACATTGAAACCAGAAGCTTATTGGTTGGGTTTATTGAAAAAATATTTGATTGATGCTCCTTCTGCAGTTATGAAAGGTATTCCAAGTGTTATAAAATTACAAGAACTTTCAGAGGCAGAGCAAAACAGAGTTGAAGAAGTAAAAACAAAGCTAGGTCCAGAAGGCTTAAGTTTGAAAGAAAAGGAACTTGATGAAGCAGTGCTTGAAAACGATGTACTAATTTTTTATTTTTATTTTTATTATGAAATTGAGAAAAGTTAAATTATTTTCATGGTGAATTCCACAGACAGCTATTCCTGATGAAATAATATCATCGGTACCAATACCAGACACTGAATCCATAAAATTTCATCAGTTGACAAGTTATGTTACCAATGGTGAGCAACATCCAAAATTCAATGTGGATAAACTGCCTTTTTTCACTTACTTAGATAATATCAACACAAATTTTGTATATGTGAGTATTTTTGTTTGCGTTTTCATTTCAACTTTGTGTTCTCATATTTAGTTTATTAAAAATATTTTGATTTTTAGATGTTTGTTGTCATGGACACATCTGATATTACTTTGGACAAAAAACCTTATTTACCTGTTCTCTTAGAATCATTGTTGGAGAGCCCAGTTCTAAGAGATGGCGTTTTAATACCCTATGAAACTATAGTTTCAGAATTAGAAATGGATACCATTGCAGTTAGTACCAGATTAGGAGTCGAAGAGTCATCAAGATTTTCATGTGGCTCTTATAGTCAGAGTGCCATTTTAGTACTACAGGTATGATTATGAATATTCAGAAAAGTATAAAAGTAACTTGAGCAAATTGTTCATAAGTAATAAAGTAATTTTACGCTCTCAATTTTTTTTTATAGGTTGAAGTTGATAAATACGATAAAGGTGTGAAATGGATTAACGATCTGTTATATAATACTCGACTAACTGCGGAAAGATTGAAAATTATATCAACAAAAATAATTAATGATGTAGCTCAAATGAAGCGTAAGGGTAAAAAGTTGGTTGATGATCTTTTAAAAAGTTTGATTTATAAAAAAGGTATTGAACTTCATTTTTTTAAATGTCATCTTATTGAGTATTTCATTGTTTTAATACCAAAAATGTTACTTTAGAAAGCAATCATTATAATGTCAGTATGCTTCGTCAGCAGCAATTTCTCACCAAAATGTTGGAAAAATTAGGCGACGATAGTGAAAAAGAAAAAGTTTTAGAAGAGTTAGAATCAGTGAAGAATATTTTAACAAATCCTAAAAATATGGTTTTATTCTTAACTGCACAAGTTGATAGACTTTTACAACACGTTACTGATCCATATAAGTCATGGAGTAATTTTTCAAACACTGATTCGTCATTAAAACAAAAGTAATTAATCGATTTATGTTGACTAAGGATAAAACTTTGATTGAATATTTTTGAAATAATTTTAGACTGCATGTAGTTCCTGAATACACTCTGATGAAAACTCCCGAAGAAATGGAATGCAATGGGTGCGTAACTGGAATCGGCTGCGTAGAATCTGCATTTCTTTCTCAATGTGCTCCTAGTATTAATAGTTACCTAGATCCAGATTCAGCTCCACTATTAGTATGCTTGCAATACTTTACACAATTGGAGGTAATAAAAAATTATCTTTAATTAATAGTTGTTATTTATATCACTTATAAGATTATTATTATATTTAAATCGTAAACAGGGTCCATTGTGGAAAACTATTAGAGGTCTAGGATATGCCTACAGTTACGATATTTTTGTGAAACCAAATCAGGGTCTTATTTACTTAACTTATTTTGGATCAACAAACATAATAGCAGCTTACAGAGAAACTAAAAAAGTTATTGTAAGTGTATACTTGACAATCCAAAGCGTGCTTATGAAATTCCAAATCCGCGTATCAATAAAAGATATATTAATAACTTTACATTTATTAATTTTTCAGTTTAACTCTTTAGCTGAAAATAAACAAGATAAATGGGACGAGTTGCTTTTTCAATCTGCTAAATCTTCTTTAATATACGAAATAGTTCAGAGAGAAAAAAGCGTAGGTGATATGGTACTGAAGTCTGTTTTGTCTCACTTCAAAAATATACCTCAAGATTTCAATCGTCAAATGATTCGAAACATTTCTTCAGTTAATATAAAAGATATGCACAGAATAGCATCCACATACTTAAAACCATTATTTGACCCAAATGTCTGTAAAACAACGGTAATATGCCATCCAACCAAAGCTGCAGAAGTAGTCAAGGCTTTCAAAAAGTAAGTATGAGTGCATGTTCGTAAATGTTGAGCTTTTTTTAAGAATGAAAAGTAATGTTTTCTTTTTGATTTTTTTCAGTCACAATCATGACTTGAAACTGTTCGATACTCTTGAAGAAACTTGGCTGAATTCTTGGTAAACTGTTGGGGAGTTTTCCTGTTACAAGTGTTATTCAGTTAATGTTTTCTTTCTTTTACAAATGACCAAGCAAATAAAAATTATTTTGTGATGCAATTGTGCGTATTATTAAAAAGTATATTTATTTACATCATTACATTTACTATACACATGAGCAGACTTTAAAATATATGTTATCGTGATTATTATTTAAGCTTATGATATTAATAGTACTTATTGTACAAGTATAAACATCCTTCCATAAAAGTTATATAGCATGATAGATAAAAAGGATTTTCCCATTGTCGATCATGTTATGTACATCTTAGCTTAGTAAGGAACTAATTAATAAATGCACTTCCATTTCTAATCTTTTATGTACATGGTATAGCCACCGCAATCTTAAGTGGAGTAAAAAATATTTGTAAGCTAGGCGCATTACCAAAACGGACACCTGAAATTAAAAAAAATAATTTTATCCATACAATTTTATATGATTTGTTAGAATATCATTGTCATTTAGAATAATTACCATCCAATATAACATTGACAGAGATTTTCATTATTAGTAGCTTGTTCTATTAGCAAATCAACTTGTCTCTGTACCGTCAGAGTCTCTTCATGCGAAAAATCACGGCCAGTTAATTTATCACGGACCCTATTGATTATTTGCAAGGCCTTCTTATTTAAGGCTTCTGGCTGGTTATTGTCACCTGCATACATTTAAAAAAGTTATTTCATCGTAATAAAATAATTTGCTCATTGAATAAACAATACATGGATTCGCTTACCTTCATTTTCGATACTGCAAGGGACGCCTTTTTTTGGCAATGTAGCAATCAATGAATCCATTAGATCTCCTTGTTCCTGACTGCTGCTGACACTTATACTTTGATTGTCGCTACGTTTGCCTTTGGGTACTGCGTTATCCATCAAACGCCAATTAAGCAAGGGATCATAAACGAATGCTTCGAGTACAGCCATCAGACTGTCCTTATTGCGGTGTAATACTGACATTACAGATTCACATGTACGACGATAAGTACCTTCAATGCCTGTTACTTCCATAGCGTTAATCAACATACGAGTCAGGCGGAATGGTATTTTTTCGGGGAATTTTTCTCGCGTCATAGCAACCTACAATTTTACATTATTTAATCAGTTGTCAAACAAAATAAAAATTTTTTGTACATCAATTATCTTCACCTCGAAACAGTCGCCAAAATCTATATGAAGTATCTTTCCACTCAAACGATCCAACATAAGATTCGAAGGATGTCTATCCCCTAAACCAAGAATGTATCCAACCATTGACATGACAGCAAGAGATCTTGTGTAATTTGTTCTCCTGTCGAACCACACTTCGCTGGATGGGGATTTCAGCCAGAGCAAACGAGCCAAGTCATCTCCATGAGTATGTTCGAGGGCGTGCTCGAAAACTTCGACTTTTTGCATTAGCATGAGGTGATCGTAATCTGGCGCCATCTTAAAATAAATAAACTCAGTAAAATCTGTCTGACTTTAAAAAGTTGAATATTAGGTCTAAATATTGATCATAACTTACCCTGAGCATAATTCTATGCTCTATGTTGAGCAAAATTTTCTTTTTCTCTCTATAGTCACGAATCAAAGTGTGCAAAGTGTCGCAGTGTGGTACCCACCCAATGAGACCACTGTTTGTTGATAAAGGAATTACGGCGTACCGCTGAAAAATTAAAGACCAAAATTAAAATTAGTTAATTTTAATAAAAACTAATTTTATTATTATAATTTTTTTTTAATTCATTTGTTTATAACGATAAACATACCTGAATCGTAAGATTTCTTCGGAAAGTATCAGGATCGTGTAAAAGTAACATATTGACTAGACCAAATAGCTGCATGACACGTTCGTCTTGTCGTAAATCTTCGTGTCCTTTAAGTAAAAACATGTAGTCTTTACCGTTACTTCCTACATAAAACCAAATTAACCGGGGTCAGCATAAAAATAATGAAGAATAAAAAATGATCTGAGTTTAAAAAACAATTATACCTTTGATGCAGAGTTTTCTTGGTCTCTGTTTACTTGTGATGACCTGCATGGAGCTGTGTATACTGGCAATTCTGATGATCGATTGTCCTGGTTGATAACTACCCGGTACGGCCAATTCGAGGTCTCTACAAAGCAATAGTTTTGGACTAACATATTGCAACTCAAGACTAGTTAACTGCGGCAACTGACGAGATATTCGCCGAAATACATGATAGTATAGATCCCAAGCTTGGTTGAGATCGCGCACGTTGCCCGAGCTCTTGTATCTGTGACACCATTCTTGAGCCTCCATCAGGTCACGGCCGTAGGCCTGGTTGAACGATGTCTCTTTTAGGGTCTGAGGGCCTCGTTCCAGCATTGCATGCAAGGGCTCCAAAGTGTCAAACATGCCTTTGACGTTGCGCTCGCCGAAATAAAGACGGCTTGCTTCTTCGAGACCCTCGTGCCAAAGCTCGTGCCACAGAATAGCCACACGAATCAATTCATCACTAACCATTTTGGCTTGTTGTACCAATGTTGGACTATGTTCGCTCATGCTGGATAGTATCTTGTTGGCCGCAGTCTTTCGCGCGTGACTTGCACTCTTCGATGCAACCGTCAACGGATAAACGAGCGCTTGAGGGTGAGTCTTACCAATGTCAACCAGCAGATTGTGTATGCAACGGCCTACCAGAGCTCTAGGAGTATCGATCCTCGCAATTAACTGAGGAATGACTTGAAGCCATGTATTAATTTCAATCAATCGGATACCCTCGATAATAGCCTCGTAGACTTCAGGCCATTGTCCGTATTCAAACCACAGTGTCAGTAGCCTCAACGTGTCCTGCAGCGAATTGCCGTGTGAAAGATTGATCGACTTAATGAATCCTTTTAATGCCGGTACAGTAAATTTCGATATGTAACCTGCGGCTAAATTATTCTGTTGTGAAGCTCCGTTTGACGAGTTGGTTTGGTCACCCAAGACCGTATCCCCTATCTGATGCTTGAAAAATAACACGGCTTCGAAATTCGTGTAGGCGAACGCGTGCCAAGCTTTGTACCACATTGGGTCGTGGTTGGTAGCCTCTGAATAATATGACAGTACTGCTGGTATTGAGTGATCGTTCATGCCTTGCAAGGCTTCGAGCCATTCTCCAAGTTTGAGGTAACATCGAGCGAGTAATCGTTTTCGATTTTCCGGTTGACGTTCTTCATCTGGCAATAGCTGCACCAGCGCCGCGGGCTGCGACGGTAGGAAGTTGTGCACAAAGCGTTGTAGTTGACCGTAAGCTTCGTTCCGTTTACCAGCCACCCACATGTGTTTGCAATAAGCAAATGTTACCTGCTCGCACAAGTTCATGAGGACCGATTATTTTTTTCATTCTTATAAGCTAGAGTTTTTAAGTCAAAAATTAACCATACCTGCGGATGATGGTCGGGAATGGGCTGATCGGGTCGCAATAAAGATGGATCTGATCCAAACAGCATTACGAGAGTTTTATGACATAATGCAAGATTTCCACTCTTGCGACATAAACTAGCGTACTTAAGCCATGTATGCATATCGTCCTGCGGTGATATGACCAACGTATGCACTTGAATGATTTTTTGCCAATCCTCGACGATGCGCTGACCACCTTGAAGACGTTCCCACCACATGTTTTTAATGGTCGAACGTCGTTCCGGCACCAATTTGTATTGTATCACCTTTAACATGGAAAAAGTAGATTATATCAGCAATTTTATCTTGAAATAAGAATTTGAAAAAATGAAACATCGATTAAAATTATACCTCTTCTAATTCGGCCAACTTCTGAACTTCGACCATAGCATTATAAGCTCTTTGGTAGCTTTCTCCAACCATAGCTGTAAGTTCAGTGTCCAACAAGTCTCTCGCACTATCGATAAGTCTATGGGCCAAGGAGTAATGCTCATCATGAATGGCCAGAACTGCACGATAAAATGCACCATCTTGAGTATCTTTAGGTATGAGCGCTACGTGCTGTTGCATAGCATCCCAATTATTTAAACCCCACGCAGCAGCAGCAGCCATTCTGGCCATGCGTTGCTTCGTCTCATGGCTATGTTCAGACCACTGTTTCATGGCAACCTCATGCAGTTGGCCCCATTCACCTAGAGCTTCGAGGCATCTCATTTCACCAAGAGTTGATTCGATATCTCCTGGGTCGGCGTCCAGACGTTCGTGGTACAACTGCAGTGCTTTGTCCCAGTTATGCAATTTTTCATACCAGCGTACTTGCACTTTGAGTTCTTGCTTGTTACTATCGTTTTGTTGAAGTTGCTGCTGATTCATGACGTACTCGAGCAAACCTTCAGCTGCCTCCTTTTGCTGGAGTTTATTGTTAATACCTATCAGCGACTCGAACACCGCACCGCTTCGACCTTTGTGGAACTCGTCTTCCTTGTAATGAAGAGCTTTGGCATAAGCCCGGCAATGCATAGCGCGTTCTCCGAGAATCTTGCTATCGAGAGGTAGTGGGCCTTTGTCGCAGTGTTCCATGAACTCAGCAAGATTGAGAATTGTTTGACTGATTTCTGGAAGATCTGGTACCAATAGGGCTTGTTGCAGCGTCGCCACAAGCTCGATACGATGCGCGTCGTCGAGCTCGCTCCAACACGAAACGAAAGCAGCATTAAACAGATCTCGAGGCAACTGCGAATATGTCTGGGCCAGTGCCCAGCACGAGCGCAACGCCGGTGACGGTGATTCCTTCAATAGACCGATCGACAAACTTCTTAGCCATTCCAGCCAGTCGTCCTTTGACACGCGTCTCGTTGCGGTCCAAGCTTTTTGCAAGTTTGACGCCGATACATTGAGCTTTTTGATAACGGTGGTATCAGCTGCATTAGACAATCCCAATTCAGCTCCTCTCTGACTTTGCTTTTTGTTTTGACGTTGCACTGCACTTCCTGACAGAAGCGATTCGTGCTCCGGTTCCAACTTGCCATGACATCCAGACCGCGCTTCGCTCACTACTTTATCGACTAATGAGTCGTACCTTGCGTAAGTGACCCGATTTTTTGACATTACTCTCTGCACCATTGGTACGAATATTTGAAATTTTGGACCCAGCTGTATAACGAGAGCACACAATGTTTCACAAGCAGGAATTTTCAGTTCAGGGCATTGATTGAAGGTTCGAGCTAGGGCTTGAATAATTCTAGAAGCAAAATCTGTAAAATCTAAACATTCAGCCAATAGTTCGATTGTTTCTAGAGCACAACGGCTGACGTTCACCGGAATATCAGGCGATGATTGGAATAGCCGTACGACCGGTGGGATTACCAGGTGAAGATAGTTATCCAAATTGCCACCAAATTTTTGCAACGCTTGCAAGAGTTTTATTGTTACTTGACGTTCTTTGCTCATATCATGAGTAAGTACACGTAAAATCTGTAAAATAGTTTGATTAGATATGATTTTCTACGTCATAATAAAATTAATTACCTGAGGCATAAGACGCGGTAAATATATTCTAAATTCAGCACCCAATGCTATGGCTACTTGTTCAACCAGATGTATGAGTGTGCTTTGAAGGGGACTGTTAAGGGTCCAAAACTCCTTCACCAATGAAAATATGTCGTCCAAATAATTACGTATGTGCTGTTTGACAATGACAATAAGTATGGCCAACTGTTGAAAAAGATACTCTCGAAAGCCTACATCTGCCGTTCTCAGTACATTGAGAAAGCTCGGCATGACCTGTTTCAATCAATCGTTAATTAGCAAGGTTGCTGACTTGATATGCGATTGTATATTATAATTGTAAAAAATAAGTCTTAGTATTACTTGAGAAATATAGGGTACACATTTAATTCCAAGACTCTTGAAAATGAAAGTAACAGCTTGAACAACCATCGTGTGATGCTGCGCCAAAGTTGGCTCTCGAATGATACGCATAAGCGTCGATATTGCTACGGCTGGATAATATTCTTCTAGAGTGGCCGAAGGCATATTGACTAACATCTCGCTTGTGCTCAATTCGTCGGCAGTCTCAGGCCTGGCATCGGCCGATGGTCTCAGTGACAAAGACTCCAACTGGGGTGAGGAAATCTGACCAAGATTCATTTTATGCTTATACGGATCTAAAGCGCCGAGCAGTCCCAGAACTCGAATAGTTTCCCGTCGAACAACCGGTTGTTGCTCGGTTTTTAGAAAATTCATCAGAATGTCGAGTAGCTGTGGATACTGTTAAAACGTATAAGAAACGTAAATTTTTTTTTCAAAAACGAGTGAAAGTGAAGGATTGAATAGTATTGTACCTGCATGTATGGTTTAACTACGTGTCCGGTACTACCGATAAGTTGCCCCAAAACCCATAAGGCAACACCTCGTTTTTCTGGTGACGATGCGTCGACCAACATTTCTAATAATATGTCCAATAATTCAGGCATCCAAGGTTGCATCTCAGCACCACTTACTTCTGCCAAATCGCCAATAGCTCGAAGTACTGCCAAAACAACGCCAGGATTTGTTTCAGTTTCTTTGAGCTTGGGTACGAGAACTTTTAAAACTGGTTCCATGTAAGGCCTTATTAATCTAGGAGCTGACACTACTAAATGATCCAGCATTCGAGCTGCTTGTTCTTTATTGCGTCCCATGCCGGAGTGTTCCAGCTCAGTAAGAAATTGTATGAGGGTTTTACGCAGAGCTGGCATCACATAAGCTGGATTCATTACACTCAAGCGTCCAATAGTGCAAATCGCTAAAATAAGTATAATGTTATATTGTTACAATTAATTTTATGATAATAAAATAATTATGTAGTGAGGTGAGAAAATACCTAATTCACGTATTTCAAAAACTTCATCATTCATAGCGACAAAAAGACAAGATAAACTTTCAGCTTGAGCCAAATGAATGTCAAAAGTTTCATCTAATGATCCTAACACCCAGTATCTGACATCAGGATCAGTATCGCTAATACCAACGACAAGTAATTTTCCCAATACTGTTGATACTGTGTTTGTTACTGTAGGCCCAGGCTGATTCAAAGCCAATCTCAAAAGTCTCGAACATGTTTTCACAGCCTCAAGACGTACTTCTGGCTCTTCCCAAGTGAGAAAGTAGTCGGCGCAACGTCTTACAAATTGAAGTAGTGGATTCCCATCAAAGTTAAATGTACCTAGTGTACGGAGTCCTAAGACTGTTGCAGCTACATCAATTTCAGTTGGAGGCATTGAGACTGGACTTGTTGCAGTCCATGGTGCCCCAGGGTGACGAAGAGGTTTGTACATAAGGACCTAGATATGTTTGGAATATAAAAACTTTCTCTAGAAAAAGATAAAGATTGGAATGAAATTTTAATCCATAAATACATACTTGAGATAACATCCTTAGCAGTCCTTGAGATATATCAGGCTTTAATGAAGGTACACTTTGAGCTAACTCTCTTAAAGATGTAGTCAATATTGGTGACAGCCCAGTTGCTAACATAGGCTCTAGTAAATCTTTAACATCGCTTGTGATGCTTGGTCCAACTGCATGTCCCAACAATGTGATACAAATAAAAACTGCTGGTTCTAAAATAGAACTTTTTTTCTTGCTAGGTGTCTCCTTTGAAGGCAATGACATTTTTATTACTTCCATAATTTTTGGCAAGTATGGTTTAATATCTTCACCAACAGCTACTGCAATTAAACCAATTGTTGCAAATGCAACTGTTCTATCTTTCTCTCTACCTCTTAGATTCATGAGCAAATACGTAAGACATTCAAGTAAATTATTCTCAACAAATCTTTTCCTATTAAAAGCTGCTAATCTTGGTAATAGGGTCATTAACGCATTTTGAATATGACTATTACGAGAATGACGTTGATTTACAACATCTGCATTTATTTGATCTAATTTTTCCATCATCAAACTGCGGCAAGCAGCTGATTCATGAATAGAATGCAGAGAATGATGTGTATTAGTAGTATTTGGTACTACAGCCCATTTTGAAACTAAGTTGGTTTTCATGAGTGGCATTAGAAAAAGAATGTCATTTTCACTTGACTGGAAAGAACAATTCAGACGTTCCATAAGATCTTCATAAAGTCTTTCCCATTGAAGATTACTGCATCTTAATAATTCATTCAAAACTAATAAAGAACCATGAATACGATCATCTCGCACATACCCCTTTTCTCTACTAAATGACTCTTCAAATCCTGTAGCAACTTCATCATAACATTGCTTATACCAAACAGATTTATGCATTTGCTTAGCTGTTTCTCGTTGTGCAGTAACCACCAGAGCTGCTCTAAGAGCTTCAACAGCTCCTTCGCGAATTGCATGTTTAGGATCACGTATAGCGTTGAAAATTAACTCAAAAAACTGGGTCACTTGTTGAAAAAAGTATGTAGGCATTGAAACTGCTAATTCTTTTAGGACTAAAACTGCTGCTTGCCTTTTGTTCTCATTTCTATCTCCGCTCAACCACTCAAAGGCTCTTTTAACTTCAAATTCAACATATTCTGCTGTGTAAGTACCTGATACCAAAGCTAGTTTGCTAACAGTTTTAGCTGCCATTTCCATAACACTAACATCGTTGGATGGGAGCAAGTTACGCAAGTAATTTGCATATCTAATAATTCTGGTATTGATATTACCAACATCTGCATTTATCAAACAAATAATAGCAAGTATTCCCCCTTTCTTTTCATTTATATCAGATCCAGTGGCCATTTCAAAGATATGGTGATTAAACTCATCCATAAAAACTGTAACTTCATCTTGAGTTGCTTCACGAAGCTCTGTTTTGACATAAAGACAAAGCTCTCTGGCTGCCTTATTTCGCACATCTTCATGTTTTGACTTGAGACGTTGAGCAAACTGCTGTACAAGTGAAGTAGTCATCTTCAAAGAGATAAAACAACTCCTGGTAAAAGTACTTAATACCAAAACATATCTGTAAAAAATTAATTCATTATAGCTACAGTAGTGTGCTGAAACTTATACTTTACTTCAAATTCATAGAAAAAGGAATGTAAAAATTAATCGGAGTTAAAAATTATTTGAAATTAACAAAAAACATGAAAATTAATAAACAACTCCTTTACAATGATTTAAACACCAATTATGAACTAAATGAGAGCATAAAAATTTATCATAAAGAGGTTAAATTAATTACCCCACATAATTATAGTAAGCAAGAAGTTGTTTAAAACGATGACACGTATTTGTTGAACCAAGCTTTTTTATCTTCAGAAACTTTAGCTAAGGAATTCACGCGGAAAAATACTTGATGTGATTTTGAGTAAATCACACTGGAAGAGATGCGGCTTCTTTCACTATTTACATGTTTTGCGACCACAGAATATACAGAGTATAAGTGCGACGTCAGTGCGTATGGACTGTTACCCTCTCAAATTATCATCGTCGGTCGTCGCTGGAGTAAAACTTGCTTACGTGAATGCAGAATGACTCGCTTTTTTCAACTACTTATCTCACAAACTATTCTACAATTTTATGAATTCAAATGATAAGTAAGTTAGTTTAACCAAGTAGGTGAGGCCTACGATATAGTTGTTTAAGATGAAAAAGTGGGCGATCGGAAAAAAAAAAATACCTATTCAAAAGTAGGAGAAAAAAAAGGAAACATACTTTACTTAAAATACTGCGCAATTTGTCACAATAGCATCAATATCGACTGCTTCGGCATTGGGCACGTAATGATTTCAATCGCAACCATTGCAGAGCCCCGTAAACAAAATTAAGACGTGTACTGTGTACAACACGAATGGTCGCATGTCAGTGCACGTGTACAAGTTTGAGCACGTGCGTGAGACAATAATAGTAACTTTTATTTGACTGTTGATACTTTTAGAAGAAAAAAAGCCATGTCTGGGACTGAGTTGGTGCCACAATTGACAAAGAAGATATTTAAAAAAACAAAAGGAATTAAAAACATTGAAAAGCACGTGATTGACAGATTGAGCGAGCTGCTCAAGCTAGGTGTGAAAGTTGACAATCTTATAAAGGATGAAAAGCGTGGAAATACCGCGCTGCATTGTGCGGTTAAACATTGTCAGAAAGAAGTCGTTTTGTTTCTTTTGGAAAAAGGTGCGGACGTTTGTGCGGAATGCCGAGGTCCCGAAGGGCCGGTTTCAGTGCTCTGGGTGTCAAATAACGTATTGAAGCACCTAACGAGTCCTACATTGCACAAAAGACGCTCGATCGCATTAGACATTCGAGATGCTTTGCTGTCGAATCTAGAGTCACGGGTGCAAACTGAGCCACGATTTTCCGACGCCGCGGGACTCAGTATCTTTCATTTAAAATGCGCCAGGGGACAGATTGAGCAAGCACGAGAACACTTTAGTCCCGAGTTGATTGACAAAAAAGTTTACTTTGACCTCATGTACGGTTGCACACCTCTGCTGATAGCGATTATGTACGGACACTTCAGACTCGCCGCATGGTTGGTGGAAAATGCGGGTGCCTCGGTCCGCTTGACTACGGCCGAGTTCGATCAACGCTCCAGTTTGCACGTTTTGGCGGATTATCCTCGAGCGAACAACTGCGAAGACAGAGATTCGGCTCAATTGGCCGAAACATTGATTCAATTTGGAGCGAATGTGAACTCGCTCGACGCTGACGACATGACGCCCTTGGACTACGTCTACAAATCGTCAAACGAAGTCAACTCGATCGAATTGCTCCGAGTACTCGTCAGGCACGGAGCGAATTTCGAAAAACTGTCGCAATCAATCGGTCATTTGGTCATGGAAGAATATCGACTTTTACTTGAGGAGAGCAGTTCAAGAGAACGGGTGAATTTTATTCTCGATCGTCGCAATAATAAGTTTTTGACATCGACGATTTTCGTCACAGCCCTTATGAGTACCGTAAAAGTGCCGGATCATCCTAGCACTAATTCAGAGTCGAACCAAAATTGAGAAAAATTAATTGAGTCATACTCAATTGTTAACTTTAAAAAAAATTTCACAACATGTATTTTTTCCCCTTTACAGCACATCTTTAATAGTTTAAATTTTCTGTGATAAAATATTAGTTGTACAAATTGTAGTTAAATTAATTTTAAAATTGTTTAATAGTATATTACTGCCCTAGGCCGCGAAAAACAGAAAAGTCCCAGAGTGCGTGTAATTAGTGGCCGAGGCGAAGCCGAGGCCGATAAACACGTGCTCTGGGGCTTTCTTTTTTCGCGGCATAGGCCTGTATACTATTTTTCATACATAGTGGCCAGAAAATAGCTCTTCTCGTTTTGCGCAGCGGCCGAGAAGTAGTCACTTTCTGGCCGCTGGTATGAAAAATTATATTAAGCTAAATTAATTTACAAATTGTAGTTAAATTAATTAATTAATCATCTAAGACACACCATACCCTCAGCCTTAATTTGTAAAAATATAATTTTTGAAAACAAAATCTAAATGTTTTAGAGAGCTTCAGTCAAAAATGCAATTTGATTTTTCTGTTCTTTTTTTATTCGTATAAATAAAAATGAAAATTGTAGTTGAGTGCTTGATAATTTTTTATAATATTCGTATATTGCGAGTGGGGTTTCCAGATGAAGAATAAGAATCCATTCCCTGACATAATAATACATAATTCTCTTCAAAAATATCCCACCAAAATTAAAATAATGAAATTTTTCGTATGCAGTTGCGCTGAGCCGGCAAGTAGAAAACAAAAATTCAAATATTGAGTCTTCATATCAATCAGGCCGCGCATTACGCATGTCCACAGACATCACTAGCTGACTGTAGACAGTACAAAGTTGACAAATCAGTAGTTTGACAGTTTGTGTTAGTGAATTTAAGGTTATGTTTTGAATGTATCACATTCTGATTGCTCAAGAATATTCAAAAAGTTAAAGTAAATTTAAAAAATGCATAGACACAAGCATTCTTATAGAGATAACAGCCGTGATAGAGATCGCAGTAAAAGTGGTTCCAAAGTATCCAATGAAATGTACGGTTCTAGTTCAAGAAATAGTTCCAACACTAAAAAGTCCAAGAAAAGAGATCGTTCAAAATCACGTTCAAAATCAAAGAAATATAAGAAGCATCACAGGTAAATTTTAAATAAATTGTAAGAAAACGAAAAGCTTGTTCGCGCACGTGAATAATACACAAGTGTATTAGTAATTAAATTTGATTTGCTTGTAGATTTAATACTTTTCATACTCTACCACATTAAATAGACACTTTCTTTTCATTATTCTACATTTATACCATTAAATATATTTATGTAGTTTTGATTATTTATAACCATACAATTTTTATAGGTCACGTTCAACGTCTTCATCATCTTCTGCAAGCTCATCATCAAGTTCAACAAGTTCTTCTGGATCGAACAAATTAGAAAAAAGATTGCATGAAAAACGCTTAAAACAAGCTGAAGAACGAAGAAAGAAAAAAGAAGCCATTAAAGCCACTGAAACAGCAGAAGAAAAACGAATTAGGCGACTTCAAAAAAAAGAAGCCAAAGAACGGAAACGTAAAGAAAGAATGGGCTGGGACAATGATTATTTGCATTACACAAATAATGATAATCCTTTTGGAGATGCTCATCTGTTGGAGCCTTTTGTTTGGGGTAAAAAACTAGAAAAAGAAGGCCTACTTGAAGTAAGCAGAGAACAATTGGAACTCAGAAATAAATATAAACAAGAAGAAAATAAAAGAGAACTGGAAAAAGTTAAAAAACTCAGGCAAGAAAGAGAGCTACAAAGGCAGCAGCGAGAAGAAGAAGCTGCTTTAGAACAACGTAGTAAAGAAGCGTCCCAACTTGAATTATGGCATCGTCAGGAAGACCAGTTTCATCTTGAACAAGCTAGACTCAGATCAAAAATTCGAATACAAGATGGGAGAGCGAAACCAATTGATCTCCTTGCCAAATATGTTGGTGCTGAAGATGAAGTTGATGCTGTAGAAATGCATGAACCGTACACATATCTGAGAGGCTTGCAAATCAAGGATTTAGAAGATTTATTAATTGATATAAAGGTCTACAAAGAATTAGAAAAAGGAAAAAATCTCGATTATTGGAATGATATAACTATAATAGCTGAAGATGAAATTCATAAGCTACAAAAAACTAAACAAACTGAATATCAAGTTGCACTAGGTCGTAGAGAAGGTATACATACTTCAGTAGAAGATGATGTTATCAAAATAATAAAAGGAAAAACCGCAGCACAGTTGGTTGCTCTACAAACAAGGATCGAAGAAAAAATAAGTGGAAAAGCAGAAGGAGTGGACATAGGCTACTGGGAAAGTCTTTTATCTCAATTGAAAGGTAAATATAAGTTTAATAATATATACAAAAGTTATTTAGTAACTAATTAACTTTATAATTCTTTCAATAATTTAGCACACATGGCTAGAGCTCGGCTACGAGATAGACATTCAGAAAATTTGAAAAAGAAATTGGATATTTTAATGGCAGAACAAGGAGTCGCGACTCAAGAACCAAAAGAAGAATCTGTTGAAGCTGAAAGTCCATCCACTAGTGCAGCTGGAATAAAGAATGATCAAAGTCAGTCTGAGTAAGTTTATGGGAAATTGTTTTATAAGAATATTATATATATATAGTTAAACTGAACTTTTTTGCATAATTCATCTGCATTTTATTTTAGAAATGAAGAGGAGGAAGAAACTGAATCGTACTCTCCACGATATATACCATTAGATAAGCTGGAACCTGGAACAATAGTTACTTTGGAAGAAGATGATGACAAACGTTTAGCATACTCTAGGAATCAAGTTCTTAATACAGGAAATAAAGTAGAAAATGTAATGACGGCAGAAGAAAAAGCTATGCACAGAGAAGTGAGTAAAAATATGGGAGGAGATGAATCACAATTTAGTGTAGAATCTTCATTGGAAGCACAAGTGTATTTATGGTCTGACAAGTATAGACCACGAAAACCTAGATATTTTAATAGAGTTCATACAGGGTTTGAATGGAATAAGTACAATCAAACCCATTATGATATGGACAATCCCCCACCAAAAATTGTGCAAGGATACAAGTTTAACATTTTCTATCCAGATCTAATTGACAAAAATGTTACTCCAGAGTACTTTTTGGTAAGAATTATAACTTGAAAAATTGTTTGTCATCTTTGCATTGAAATTCTCAAATAACTTCTTTTTCTTTTTCACAGACTCCATGCAGTGACAATAAAGATTTTGCTTTATTAAGGTTCAAAGCTGGTCCTCCATATGAGGATATAGCTTTTAAAATTGTTAACAGAGAGTGGGAGTACTCGTATAAAAGAGGGTTCCGGTGTCAGTTCCACAACAATATATTCCAGTTGTGGTTCCACTTTAAAAGATACAGATATAGAAGATGAAATCATCAATTAGAAATTATTATTAATTTCTTAAAAATTTTTATACAACTAGGAAGTTTTTCCTATTTCGATGTGTAATGATTTTGTCTGAATCATTCAGAAGATAGTAATTATGTAAATACCATATTGGAATTTATTAAAAAAAAATTTACTAACCACATTCTTTTGTTTTCTTTCTTTGATTACATTTTTTATCAATTTAAAAAATATTTTACTCTTGTAAAACCGATTAATTTATTTTTTTTAATTCTATTATTGTTTTTTACTGACCTACATAAAATTGTAACAAAAACGATTACATAAGGGTTTATCGTAATTTATCATTCCGTCAATGCAACTATGGAAATTGTTTAAAAAGTAAATGTAATTTGTAGCTTCTGAAGCTTAAAAACAATCTTTAGAGTTTAGAATGTCTCATTGAATTATTTAAAAAATTCTGAAATACAGCGCAACAAAAATCGTTTTTAAATAATATTGCGAGTAAAATAACTTGAGACGATTTGAAGAATCAGGAATAGCACATCAGTTAAAAAATTTAGTGACCTTTGTAATCAGCTCTAACAAATGGCAAATAGAACAAAAGCGATAAGTTTATTAGATGCTTCGGTTTAAGCTGCAGATGAGCGTGCACTGATGCAGTTGAGCATATTTCATCATTAGTTCGTTTACTCATAAGCCGTATGGACGTATCAGTTGCGTTAATACACTTGTATCGTAGCGCATTTTTCTCGTAAAAATGCCATCTTTTGAAAGAATGAAAGATGATTCAGTCGAAGAGACGAAACGACAACGATTTTACGATAAATTGGAAAAACGAGAAAAGGACCAGCTGGAAAATTTGCTTCGATGCGGTGGCAACGCAGTGGATCTCAAGAGGCACGATCACCAAAGCGCACTGCACATGGTGATCGATTCAAAAGTGGCCGATTATCCGACATCTTTTCTCGAAGTACACTTTCAGGACAAAATTGGCGCTGAAATGATCGAGTTGCTCTTGAAGTACGAGGCTGCCGATGTGAACGCTAAAAATGTACACGGTGATTCCGCGCTACAGATCGCAGTGTCTTGCTTCAATTACGATGTGGTCGAGGTGCTACTGAAGCATAACGCCGATCTGCGCGACATTCACTTCAAGGGAAGATACTTCGAGCGCGCCGGAAATGTTTTGCCCTTCTTCGAGGCCGTTCAAAATCTTTTCGGTATCATCGAACTTTTTCGATGTAAGGGATACGACATGAACTTGACGGGAGAGCTGGCAGTGTTGAACTTTTTAAATGGATATAATTTTGTGATCGATGCTAAATTGACCGAAAGTATACTACAACTAGGTAATATCTTATGAATATTTTAACATTACTATTAAACACACGTGTATTCGCGATGACAATTATCTTTTAGTTTAGGCTCTCCACTAGGAATTCGCAAATTTTTTGATTCCATTATCACCGAGTTTTTGAACGACTGCTCCAACAGAGGACAATATCGGAAGATAAATATCATACGACAAATTCGACGATACCTCGGAATTGTGCGGATCGGAAATATGTACATAAATATAGAAATTAATGATTATCTTCTCAAGGTCATACAAACTCTGCAAAAAGATCTCCTGGAAATGCTTTGGGACGAAACTTATGGTGGCTGCGATGTCAAAGGAATTGAGAAAGAAATCGAGCTTGCCAAAAGCACAATGATGAATAATCGTGCGTCGCTCCTCGACATTTGCACAATAAGCCCTGAAAGAGCCTACAGCCTCTTGAGCAATTCCGAATACTGTTCTATACTAAACTCCAAAAATTTCAGCATCAATTTTCCTCAATCTGCGGGAATTATAAAGGGATACATAGCTAAATGTTTGATTAGAACGTATTCCAAATTAACCGCCCTCAAGTATTTGCGAATATTGACGCGTGAAAATTTGCCAGATCTCTGTGGATACAACATCATGAAATATTTGACCAATGAGGAATTACTGACAATGTGTAAAGCAGTTCTTGGTTTTGATTAATATTGCTATAATAATGTTATTCTAATGTATTATAAATAATTTAAAGGCGCACGTAATTTAATTAATAAAATATTTTTTAAAAATAATAAATTACAAGTTAATGCGATCTATTTATTACATATAGACATTAAAATATGCAGGGGTTGAATGTATAATTTTCATAATTAAAAACGATTCTCCTTTTCTATTTTCTCAAATTTCATGTTTTTCAAAAATGTGTTCCGCTTGTAATATTCAGAGCAAATCCTTTCAGCTGAAGCGTCTAAGGTCAGGCTAATGTACACTCCTTTGGGACATCAATTTTTAATTGACGAAACTACTTTTGAAAGTGAACAAACCCCTACCTCACTCCGCACGAACACTTGAATATAATTTTTTTATTTCATTTTTTTGTGATCTAAAGTATATAATCGTCTAAATGGATCCGATCACTTTACCTATGTAGTGGTGATTACTAGGTCTCAATGAAGTGAACACCAACCGAACGTTAGATTATTAAATATTTTACGCTGAATGGTGATGAACACATTTATGAAGACGCAAAAAAGCAACAATATAAATCCCAAAATGGTAGGATATAATGTTAGTGTAAAAAAAACCACATCTTAATTTTAATAGAAATTCTTCGGAATTTGTAAGTCATAATTATGATGATATACGAAAACTGTAGTAAAATAAATTAAATTTAGCATTTTTATCGTGTTTATAATCTGACCACAGCGGATTATTAACCATGACATATTTTTTGGCTATAGTTATATTTTATCATTTAATGATGATTCAGTGAAATTTTCATTTAATTGATTCCTCTTCCACCATCATTTATAATAAATTTATATCAAAGGTTTTATTGACTTTGAAAAACAAATTGCAAAGCGATTTTCAAAATCATTTACTCTTACTATGCTTTTTTGGTATGTATATAAACTTCAAGGAATCGAGATGCTGTCAAAACTTGGCACAATAAAGCACAGATGAATTGACAGCTGCGCGCTTGGCGCCATTCTTGACTCTGGAGTTGATTCGATCGAGTGCCTCGGCTCTGTCGTCGGCAGTCACAACATCATATTGATACAGTACTACTTGAAATGCACGTGTTCATTCTCAAATATTGTAAATAAGTATTTCATCATGTTATCGACATCTCAAGTTCTAAATCTTCCCGTCAAAGACAACAAATTTATCGTTGTGGATGAAGGTACATAACATAAATTGTTCTTAATTTTAAAATTATAACCTCTTTATTATTCAAATCTAAAAATTTTAAATTAAAAAATTCAGAGCTCATATTTTGTTACTTGTTACAGATGTTAATGCAGCATATGCAGATTATTTAATCATAGCATGGTTACAGCAAATGAAAAAAAACAATGACCAGCGATCTGTACAAATATTATTGTTTTCTAAGCCAAGTCAAACTCTGCAAAAAATCTTTGAAAGTTCTCAAATAAAAAATTATCATGTGATAGATTTCTTCAAATTGACTGAAGAAAAAGATATATACCAATCGTGTGTTAATACTGTAGCACAGAATTTAAATTCAATTTTTGTGATTAATTGTTTAAGTACATTAGCATTACAAATAGGTACGGCCAAGGCATGCCAATTTGTAGAAAAATTATCTCAGAATCAAAAATTGACTGTATTTTGTATCTACAAGAGAGATATAAAACAAAATATTCCAAGGATAGAGTCATTAGGAAGTGTATATATTAAGCTTAAAAAATCAAAAAAAGTTACTGTGCATTCAAAAATTAACTATGAAGTTAGTGTTGTCAATAAAAAACTAGGTGGAAGTGTTGTTCAATGGAATGAATCAATTCAGCAAAGTGTTTTAGATTTTACTTTTACATCTACAATAATACCAAATACTAGTGTTAAAGCAGAAAAGTATACTCCACCAACAGTGTCAACTAAATCTTTAACTACATTCAAAATCGAAATGAGTGAACAAGAAATGAAACAAAGAGACAGTGTGCCACTGCCATACACTTTGATGAATAAAGTTGGTGGAGATATTATCTATATTCCAGATGATAATGATGATTATGATGAAGAAGATCCTGATGAAGATTTAGATTTTTGATAATTGAAAAAGAATTCAGAGTTTTCTGTCTTGTATTTATTGTGAGTTAATAAAAATATAATTGTCACTAGATAACAATATATTTTCTATCATTAGTCTGATAAAAATATTCTTCTTTCATACAAATAAGATCCATACATCTATTCCTCTTGAAACTAATATTCAAACTAAAAAAATTATTTACAGCACTCATATAATTTGTCATGTTCAACCTTATACATTTTCATGAAAATTTTAATAGATTATTAGAATTCTCTATTTACTCAGAAAAACGTTAAAGAAATTATTTACATTTTACAACCAATCATAAGTTCTTGACACACTTTATCATTTGGCATCCATTGAGTTTAGGAGTCCTTTTTTCACTCCCTGTAGCAAGTCTTAACAAAATATGACATATGTATTTCATGTATACATACATTTTAAAATAAATTTTCTACAAATTTCTATTTTATAAATTGAAATTAAAATTTTTAAAATGTTCTTATAACATTATTTTAAATTTTAAAATTCCCTTGCTTTATTTAATGTTAATATGTAGAAGCTTAAATAAAAATTTGGCAAGGCATACACATATGAACTCATTAACTGTGCATTGAATTTTGATTAATTAATAGAGAATTCAAGTACAAAAACTATAAATTTTCTCGATTTTTTCATTGTGTTGAGTAATGGAATAAATAAAAACGTCTGTTTGAAATTATTCTTCCCTATTTCAAATTTACATTAGTAGTATTTTCTTTTCTGGTGAAACATGGAAAATGTTATTCATAAGAAAAACTGTTATAGTATTTTACTTTTCACTAGAGTTTTGTTGAAAAAAAATCAGCTTCATAGACAAAATTTAATAATAGTATCACATAAAAGAAAAAATATTAATGTAGCAATCAACTAAGGTTGCTCACACATTACTATACTTTTTCCAGTTCAAATTTTGCTACATTTTCCTTAAAAACATACTAAAATTTAACCACTAAAAGTGTAAAGTAAATTTCTATCATGAAAATGCTGTGTACGATCTACATGATATAGAACTCTGGTATCCAACAGACATCTGCCATGGCGAACAGCTTCATCCCGGTCTCTGGCTATTCCAGCTTCTAGTAGCCAATCGCAAAGGTCAGTACCAGTGAATGACCCACTATACGTACGTAACATGTGGCGCCTGCAGGCTGCAATACGAGTACGGCACTTGGCTAAATAGCACCTTCGAAACTGTTCGCGGAAAGCTTTGGCCTCGGGACTGAGCAAATCTTCATCTGGAAGTTGTAGTTCTTTTTCTACAATAAAAGAATAAATAAGAACAATAATAAATTATTTTCATACTCATTAATCTTGTACAGAATTAAAATTTGACAATGACAATAAATAAAACTTTTGATAAATGTATGGTAAAGATATGGTTAATTTCCAAGCTACGGACTTGGAAGATTATCTGTAAGCTGTGTTTCATTGAAATTTCTGAGTAATGAATAATTTATATTATGTTTATAATACTCTACCTAATCTCCATTTTCTCAATATACAGCGCAACCAGCACATTAATTTTCCTAAACCAGAATCTAATCCAAAAATAGCAAAAGCTATTAAGGATTGACCAAAATTCAAAGCAATGTCTAAGAAGGCTAACTCGGTGTAAATACCGGTCATTTGTTCCATTATCAACGTAGCTACTGACATTGCAAGTCCCTATAAACAGTAAAAACAATATTAAGTTTCCTTAAAATATGTACAGACGTAATATCTTTAAGACTCACAATAAACATAGAACATGTCAGTAAAATAAGAAGAATTAGATGCCGCAAAGTTTGAGGATCTTGTGATTCATCAGAATTTTCGTCTTCCGTTGCACATTCTCTAGAACAATTGTGATTTTCTTCGACTGTACCTAAACAGGTTGTACAACCATTTCCCAAAGTAATTCTAAAAATTAAAAAATTAAAAAATTAAAAACTTTCGTGTATCGTAAATATTGTATGTAATATTTATTTACCCTGATAAATCACTTGCATTTCTCGGAGATGCAAGATCTTCAACATCTACAATAGATGGAGCCGTTGTAATTTCGGTTTCTGACGCAGCCGAAATTAGATTATTGTGCGGTAAAGAATTGATACTTCTTCTTTGGTACCTTTGCCGTAGAATTAAACAGCCAACAGTTACTATAATAAATTAATAAATTTTGTTATTGATATGAAAGATTCTGATAAATTGAGAAAAAACGGTTTCTGGTACATTAAACTAACCAAAGAAGCAAAAAAGTAAAATGCAAATTGATACTGCAACATGAATCCTTCCAAATTGAAAATTGGGATTCCTAAGATCAGTTTTTGTTGGAGGCATTGGTGTTATTGTCAAACACATGATGCAAATTATAATGAATGGAATTCTGATAATGAAAAATCAAGGATTTTATTACACCATTTAGTAACATCAGATAAATGTTGTTTAAAAAATACTGACCCCCAGCATACAATGTAAAACCACTTTTTTAAATTATCTACGAAAGGAACATTTTGGGAGCTCATAAATAACAGAGTCAGTGCAATAGCTGCTGTCCAAAAACGACTTGCATAAACTCCAAGTGTAATCAAAGTAAGTTGTACATACCACAAAAGAGTAGATGTATTATTATCATCGATTTTCACCCAAATGATAACACCTATACCAGTTATCAACTAAAAACAGAATTTTTAATTAGTTAAAAATGATCTCTATAAAAAGAAGTTGATCCTAATAATTGATTTACCTGAGCAATTATTAAACATAGGGTGCAATTATGAGTCATACTTTTTAGATATTTTCTTGAAAAACCTATGAAACATATTAATAGCCAAATACAAGCAGCAACAGATGCTGCACTAGTATCTAAAGAAAAAGCTCTTATTTCTTTGGCATAATCAGATGGTGATATTCCATTACTAATAGCATTAACTAATTTAGCTGATACAAACATCAAAGGTGCTGATAAAAAGGTACAAACAACCATAGCTGATGCAATTAAATCTATATCAATGTTGTAACGAAGTGTAAAAATAAATAAAGCTGGAGCTGTTGGAATTGTGCCATAGATGAATCCAAATGTACTGAGTTCTGATGTTTCAGAGGTATTTTCTCCAGCATTTAAAAATACTACTGCTTCTCGTATGATAAGTGGAAGGACTAAAAGTTTTAAAGATATGATGATTCCGGGAAGTACAAGGGCAGGACCTTTCAGCTTGTGTATTTTCCCAACCATCATAAGACCTAATAAAAATAATGCTGTAGCTGAGAATGCATTTCCAAAAACTTCTAGTATCACTTGAATTAAAGCTGGCAAATTGTGCTTGAATATAATATTTCCTAATATTCCTAAAACAGTCATCAACAATACAGGATTGAGTGCTATTCCTTTGGCAATATCTTTGAACATGCTCAAGTTTGAGGGTTCTGGGTGATTTATAGCCCTTTGTTTACGTTTGTCAATTTCCAAAAACACAAAACCAATTGGATTTAAAATTATAAGAGAAATTGGGGCAAGTAAATACAGATATGCGGAATATTCAGGATGTGCTGAGCCATACATAGCTTGAACTGAAATTGAATATATAATTAAGAGTTATTTTGAACTAATCATAAATTACAATTGTCAAAATTAACTTACTCATAGGATATCCAATAGCAAAGTCATTACTTTGTGTTGTAAAAATAGAAAAGAGAGCAGCTCTTCCAAGATTGGCTGGTTTTGTACTTATTAATGTTACAATTAGTACAACGAAAAAAACAACACTTTTAGCAATTAAAACCGCTAGTAAAAACCTCCAGTTAACTGTAGAAAAATCTAGTCGGGCCATTGATAAAAATATCAATGCAGGTAATGAAAATGTACCGATAAAAGTATTCAAGCCATTAGCTTCCAATTTAGTTAAAACTTCTAATCTTCCAGCAATGTACCTGTAAGTATTAGTTTATAATATTAAAATTATATCTTTTCATCAAAAGTTGCAACTTGATTTTCACAGCACTTTGCACTCACCCACAAACTATAATTCCAAAACATTGTGCTAGTGCTAGATATAAACTGTCAATGGGATCAACTTCTTCCGTATTAGTGCTATTCATTTTTGCGGAGGTAATCACTATGTTTCTGAATAAAGTGAATACATTAAAAATATATATCTTTTGAACGTGTACGTAAAATATAGAATAAAACATTCATATTCTTGCCCGTAGAGAAATTAATACACAAAGCAGGCGAGGTTGTTATTGATTCGTCGTTTGCTACCGACATGATAAAATTTTTCCATTCTGGAATGCGAAAAAAATTTAAAAACACATTTTTAAGTTCTAAACGCAAATCACATTGTAGCTAACACAGCACATTCTTTTTTGTTGATGGTCTAGAATGTATAAGAAAACGTAATCATCACGTACACTTTAGTTGCATTGAATCTTCATATGATCGTTGCAACAGATTGCATGCATGCAATCGTTGGCGAATTGTTCTGCAGTATTATGATCTAAAAGTGTCTTCTGCTGCGACCAGTGGCTAAGTCATCGTTGTTTTTCCTTCCTATCTGTGGTTTCTATTCGCCGATGAATGTATGTATGCTTATTATTGGCAGACAGCGCGCGCAACGCGCTCCTCCATATATATGTGTATACTACCATGTATATCGTTTCAGAAATACGTCACACGTAATCATGATTAGCAGGTATACGTGCGCGGATAACACTGAATCAGTGACGTCACGTCGCTGTATTCGCGTAATGATAAAAGATTTCGGAGAAAGCTTTTAATATAATGCACAATAGCAGAGAAATGCGCCTGATGCCTAACGCTTCGGGTGTCAAGTATTTTTACATCTTTTTTCGGATTCTGGAATATATTATAGATTTTATTAAGGAACATAAAAACAAATTTTCCTAAAATTTTAGACCTATAAAAAGTTTTTGGAGGTGCCCAGCAATAAGAAACGTGAATTTTTTTGGGGATTTACGGAAAGTACAGAGCTTTTTCACAGTCGTCAGTGACGGTCAAAAATCGACCAGCTGATTTGCCTGGAGGCAAGACAAAGCGACCGCCCATATACTTTACATGTTAAAGTTGGTTGGTAAAAGTACTTGTAATTAGTTTACCGTGTAGTAAAAAAATAAACAAAAAATATCTGGAGAAAGCGGATATCCTTGTGTATCGAAATATCGAAGCGGTTTTTATTTAAAGTCTTTAGTTTGTAAATAAAAAAACATTGAAATTTCGGCTTTTTTGTCTGTGATATTGTCAATAAACTCTAATAAAATAGTTATGAAAAGTGGGTTTTTGGGTTGCAATATAAACTCTCAAGCGGGGAAATTTTTATTCTTTCAAATTGAGTGGGTGTAGTGGATTTGCACTTGGGTGTAGTGCATATGCACTACGTATACCCCCAGGTTTCCCCTGCCCCACAGGTCTTAGGGCCTGGGCAAATCCGAGACAGTAGGGAGGGGGGGGGGGGGGTAGTTAACTCTTCCTGCGCACGGGCTCCAAGCCTCCTGCAGGCCCTTCTGAGAAGATGTCTAATAAAGAGAGAGAGAGAGAGAGAGAAAAAATTACCAACGAAAAACTAAGAAACAAACGTTATTTTCTAAAAATTATGAAAATGATCTCGCAATCGTCTTCTAACCCGAGTCTGCTGTTGGTGGAAAGATAATATTCTTAATTACGATTGTTTTTTAGTTTTTCATCGGTAACTTTAAAGAATAAAATTTCCTTGCTCGAGAGTTTGTATTGCAACCTAAAAAACCATTTTTTATTCGAGTTTATTGACAATATCACAGACAAAAAAGCCGAAATTTCAAAATTTTTTAATTTACAAACTAAAGACTTTAACTAAAAACCACTTCGATATTTCGATACACAAGGATTTCTGCTTTCTCCAGATATTTTTTGTTTATTTTTGAACTGCACGTTAAACTAATCACAAGTACTTTTACCAACCAACTTTAACATGTAAAGTATATTGGCGGTCGCTTTGTTTTGCCTCCAGGCAAATCAGTTGGTCGATTTGTGACCGTCACTGATGACTGTGAAAAAGCCCTATTAATAGATTGGTGATTTTCGATCGACAAATAAAAACTCTGTTAGGAGAGACTTTTGCGTTTCACATGCCAGAACTGCATTAACGATCACTGGCGCACTGAGTTGCAGCAGCTGCTAAAATTTGTCGTCAGATGGCAGCAGTCATTCTGATCTCCAAGATCTTTTCAAGGAGGCCGCGGTGGCTGTGGGGCTTGAGCTCTTGCTTCTCAACCGAGAAGTCGGGGGTTCAAATCCCGGCGGTGGGCTGGTTTTTTCCCGAGGATTTTTTCTGCGGGGTTTGCACCGTTGGGTGTAATCCGTGGAAATTTTCCTTGGAAAAAAGCCGGTGCACTTCAACTGCGGTCTCTGGTGTTGGAGGTCACACCATTATCAAAGCGTAACCTCAGTGGTATGGGAGGCGCAACCATATCGACTATAGGTACACGCTAATACACTAACACACACACTTACATATACACGCAAGACCCACCGTTAGGTAGAACGGTGAGGTTGGCCAATTAGCCTAGTAGCAGAAAGGGCCGTAATCAACTAAAAAAAAAAAAAAAAAGATCTTTTCAAGCACATTTTCTGGGAATGCGAATTATTTGCAGAACCGAGGAAAATCTTATGTGATAATTTAAGGAGCGCTGGCAAAGTCAGTCCATACAATGTGATATCGCTGCTTAAATGCGATAATAGAAACATTATCTATTTTATAGGAAAATTTCTTTATGATATCGAATGTAAAATTTAATATACGGATACTAAGTATTATAGATTTAAGCTTAATTATAAGAATCAATATGTAATATAAATATATGTTTGTATTTCGCGCTATTTTGTATTATACGTGGCTATGTACAAATTTCTTTGTGTTGCCAATAAAACTATATTCAAGTTCAAGATCTTTTCAAGGGCCCGCGGTTATAGCCCAGTAGGCAGAGGCTTCGCTCTCTGTCCGGGAGTTCGGGGTTCCACGACTCCTGTACAAACACTGAATACCTGCACGCCCAAGAGCCTTTTCAAGGCCAGAGGACAAGACCAGAAGACGAGACCAGTAAATAAACGAAGAAAGAAGAATTTAAAGTAACTAAACAAAAAATGTTACAACATTTAAAAATTATATGTATCTGAACAAAATGATGTATTAATAAAATACATTCTGAATTGTAATCGTGGCAATGTATCCTGTATGGAATGAAAGCTCATAAAGAGCTACTAAAAAAAAAAGATCTTTTCAACGATAATTCCACACTTCTGCGAGTACCTTGATTGGCGATATTTTCTTCGCAATTCAAGTTCGCATCGTTTGAACTTTCCCATCCATAGGATTTTCTTTCTAATTGTCGTCGCGTTATGCACTCGGTAATATGCACATGACGTCGACTTAGGTTATAAAGACATCATTGTCCAATGAACCGTTAATAAAAATGTCGTCTCTATTCTTCAGTGATAAATACACACATACACGTATCAAGGCACACGCGCGCGTGCACACTTATGCGCTTGATAGTCGAGAAAGTATGCCAATCTTCCACGTCTCTTACTCTTGGTATCTCGTCAGCCTATCAATTAAAATATCACTTCTCATGTATAGACACGTTCACCGGCGCGCAATAAGCGAAGCCCAGACGTGTGCGCGGCAGCCTTTTCTTATTACCGTTATGACCCGATGTCTTCCACGAGTGCAATTTTGCATGACACATTGCCCTACGTGCTTGATATTTTTCTTTCCTCCTTTTTTTTGCTAAACATTGCGAAAGTCAAATTTTTGATAGTTAGCTAGGAAAACATAAAGATCTCATCTTAATTTTACTCTATTTGGTAATGCAAGCCCACTATTGCGAGATTTGAATTTAAAAAAACTCTCGTGCTAATTCAGCTTGCATTCATGCAAGTCGTATTGTTGATTCTTGACTTATTTCGATTTATATGAGTTTTCGGTATTGAGAAGTAATTTCGTCTTGCTTCACGGACCTTATAAGGATACATTCTCGCGTGTCAACTGATTCCTGAAGCATCGCCCACTCCCAAAACTTTCAATGTACTTCGCGTCATCGGTAATGTTGAATTTAAAGAAGCGAGTTTCTCAAACAAATTGAGCATTGAAAGATTCGGCTCCTGTCTCGTTTTTATAATGTCGGTGACTAATCCATGTCATTTTTACGATAAATAGGACTAAAGTTTCTGAAATCTATTAAGGATTGCAAATGAATGTAATGAATGTAACTGTGTTATAATAAATGTAAATGAATTTAAAAAATTTCAAATACTTTGCCTTTATTGATTATCTTTTAAGTGCAACTTTTCTGTCCAAGTATAAAAAATTTTTAATTCTATTCCAGTGAAATACTGATTCATTTGATTATTTGTTGCAAGAATTAATAAATGTCTCACAACTCATCGAGTGCAGCTTTTCAATTTATGTACTATAGAACTATTCATAGTTAAAGTTGCGTTTTCCTAAATTGATTTTATTCTATCATTTATTGAAATAAATTAATAATCCGGAAAACATATGTTTATTTTAAAAACTTGTATTCACGTGTTTTAATACAATTTTACTACATGAATTGTTTATTTTGACAAATATCACAATAAATACTGATCAAATTACATAATGGCATAGACGTTGGATTAGAAATAGAATTTGAAATAAATTTATAGCACTGCGTGGCATAAGTTCACATTTATGGCACGCTTTTCGGTGGGATAACGGTTCGAAGTTTTCTTCATTTTTAATGAGATGCTGCGAGGTCCCTTTTTTTTATTGTATGGCACAGCCACAAGCTTTTGCTCCTAAACAAGAAGAAGCAGGATTTCTGACTCCTTTACAAACCTCATCACAATTGCAAGCTGGAATTAATGAAAATTAATTGGAATAATTCGTAAAAAACTGAAATGCTTGGAATTGTAAAAAGTTTTAGGCTTACTTCTTTTTTGAGCTTTCGCAAAACCTCCAAAAAAAGTCAAGAACACTAATAAAATGACGCTTGAAAAATAAATGAGTCTCATCGCTGGAGCAAAAAATTACTTGACGCTTCGAAGTAATATCGAGTGATATTTGCAAATAAATTTTATGTCCACGAGCTTTTATCTAAGAACAATGCATCAAGCATAATTAAATACAATGTCTTTATCAAAGAAGGAAAAAAAGTATGTAAAATGAAACAAATTTAAACCAACGATGAAGAATAAAAAGACTTTTAATAAAAATTGTTAACAATCAAATAACGGGTTCACAAAAATCCTATAGAATGAGCGGGACATCAGTACATAAAATGCAATGTTTTCACACCCACTAGTCTATATCAAAAAATAAAAGGATTATCCAGCATGAGACTCGCATATTATACGTTTCTGCATATGTATGCGTATATGAGAGTATATTTTCTCAAACGGCACATGCCTATCGTCGCGACACACCTCGTTACCATCGTCCATTTGTGTTTTCTTCGTGACTATTTTCGCCTATCGGCTTTAAACATTTTCTCGCTCTCTCTGTCTCTCTCTCTTTCTCTCTCAGTTGCCATAAGGAAATGAATTTACGCAATGCACAGTACGTTAGTGGCATCGACGAGTATTTTCTCAGACT